TTATGATCTAAGCATAATTTATGGTAAAATGACCGCCATTTCCGGTTTCTCCTTCATTACCGGTTCTACGAGTTTAAGGATGAATAGATATTTGAGGTCAAATTTCAGAGCACTGAAACGTACGGAATGACCACCAATCATCAAAATCAGAGAATTTTCTTTTCTAACCTCAAAAAATGCAAAAAATCGTATTTATGCTTGGATCATAAAATTGAAGATGTCATTGAAAAGAAGGGGACGAGACGGTTCCCAAACACTGGCTGTCGACTGTATTTGGTGTGTAAAATCAGGAGATATTCCTGAAAAACGGAAAAACATAAAAATATGCATAACTTCTATGTCAATGATGCTACGAGGTTGATCAAGGGCTTATATGAAAGATCTGGACCTGAGTAAGAAATTCGGCTCCCCCTATAGGATATCCCCGTCAAAAATGCCGTATCTCGCTTAGTTTTCGAGTTATGAGCGTTTAAACGTTTTTTTTATGTTTTATTGGAGCATAGCTTCGATTTTTGCCCATAACTCACGATCTATACGAGGTACATGGACCATAAGCATATCAATAGATTCCTGAGAGCAAGAGCTTTCCAGTGCACTAGTCAAAATTATGATCCGAGCATAATTTATGGTAAAATGACCGCCATTTCCGGTTTCTCCTTCATTACCGGTTCTACGAGTTTAAGGATGAATAGATATTTGAGGTCAAATTTCAGAGCACTGAAACGTACGGAATGACCACCAATCATCAAAATCAGAGAATTTTCTTTTCTAACCTCAAAAAATGCAAAAAATCGTATTTATGCTTGGATCATAAAATTGAAGATGTCATTGAAAAGAAGGGGACGAGACCGTTTCCAAACACTGGCTGTTGACTGTATTTGGTGTGTAAAATCAGGAGATATTCCTGAAAAACGGAAAAACATAAAAATATGCATAACTTCTATGTCAATGATGCTACGAGGTTGATCAAGGGCTTATATGAAAGATCTGGACCTGAGTAAGAAATTCGGCTCCCCCTATAGGATATCCCCGTCAAAAATGCCGTATCTCGCTTAGTTTTCGAGTTATGAGCGTTTAAACGTTTTTTTATGTTTTATTGGAGCATAGCTTCGATTTTTGCCCATAACTCACGATCTATACGAGGTACATGGACCATAAGCATATCAATAGATTCCTGAGAGCAAGAGCTTTCCAGTGCACTAGTCAAAATTATGATCTAAGCATAATTTATGGTAAAATGACCGCCATTTCCGGTTTCTCCTTCATTACCGGTTCTACGAGTTTAAGGATGAATAGATATTTGAGGTCAAATTTCAGAGCACTGAAACGTACGGAATGACCACCAATCATCAAAATCAGAGAATTTTCTTTTCTAACCTCAAAAAATGCAAAAAATCGTATTTATGCTTGGATCATAAAATTGAAGATGTCATTGAAAAGAAGGGGACGAGACGGTTCCCAAACACTGGCTGTCGACTGTATTTGGTGTGTAAAATCAGGAGATATTCCTGAAAAACGGAAAAACATAAAAATATGCATAACTTCTATGTCAATGATGCTACGAGGTTGATCAAGGGCTTATATGAAAGATCTGGACCTGAGTAAGAAATTCGGCTCCCCCTATAGGATATCCCCGTCAAAAATGCCGTATCTCGCTTAGTTTTCGAGTTATGAGCGTTTAAACGTTTTTTTATGTTTTATTGGAGCATAGCTTCGATTTTTGCCCATAACTCACGATCTATACGAGGTACATGGACCATAAGCATATCAATAGATTCCTGAGAGCAAGAGCTTTCCAGTGCACTAGTCAAAATTATGATCCGAGCATAATTTATGGTAAAATGACCGCCATTTCCGGTTTCTCCTTCATTACCGGTTCTACGAGTTTAAGGATGAATAGATATTTGAGGTCAAATTTCAGAGCACTGAAACGTACGGAATGACCACCAATCATCAAAATCAGAGAATTTTCTTTTCTAACCTCAAAAAATGCAAAAAATCGTATTTATGCTTGGATCATAAAATTGAAGATGTCATTGAAAAGAAGGGGACGAGACCGTTTCCCAAACACTGGCTGTTGACTGTATTTGGTGTGTAAAATCAGGAGATATTCCTGAAAAACGGAAAAACATAAAAATATGCATAACTTCTATGTCAATGATGCTACGAGGTTGATCAAGGGCTTATATGAAAGATCTGGACCTGAGTAAGAAATTCGGCTCCCCCTATAGGATAACCCCGTCAAAAATGCCGTATCTCGCTTAGTTTTCGAGTTATGAGCGTTTAAACGTTTTTTTATGTTTTATTGGAGCATAGCTTCGATTTTTGCCCATAACTCACGATCTATACGAGGTACATGGACCATAAGCATATCAATAGATTCCTGAGAGCAAGAGCTTTCCAGTGCACTAGTCAAAATTATGATCTAAGCATAATTTATGGTAAAATGACCGCCATTTCCGGTTTCTCCTTCATTACCGGTTCTACGAGTTTAAGGATGAATAGATATTTGAGGTCAAATTTCAGAGCACTGAAACGTACGGAATGACCACCAATCATCAAAATCAGAGAATTTTCTTTTCTAACCTCAAAAAATGCAAAAAATCGTATTTATGCTTGGATCATAAAATTGAAGATGTCATTGAAAAGAAGGGGACGAGACGGTTCCCAAACACTGGCTGTCGACTGTATTTGGTGTGTAAAATCAGGAGATATTCCTGAAAAACGGAAAAACATAAAAATATGCATAACTTCTATGTCAATGATGCTACGAGGTTGATCAAGGGCTTATATGAAAGATCTGGACCTGAGTAAGAAATTCGGCTCCCCCTATAGGATATCCCCGTCAAAAATGCCGTATCTCGCTTAGTTTTCGAGTTATGAGCGTTTAAACGTTTTTTTATGTTTTATTGGAGCATAGCTTCGATTTTTGCCCATAACTCACGATCTATACGAGGTACATGGACCATAAGCATATCAATAGATTCCTGAGAGCAAGAGCTTTCCAGTGCACTAGTCAAAATTATGATCCGAGCATAATTTATGGTAAAATGACCGCCATTTCCGGTTTCTCCTTCATTACCGGTTCTACGAGTTTAAGGATGAATAGATATTTGAGGTCAAATTTCAGAGCACTGAAACGTACGGAATGACCACCAATCATCAAAATCAGAGAATTTTCTTTTCTAACCTCAAAAAATGCAAAAAATCGTATTTATGCTTGGATCATAAAATTGAAGATGTCATTGAAAAGAAGGGGACGAGACCGTTCCCAAACACTGGCTGTTGACTGTATTTGGTGTGTAAAATCAGGAGATATTCCTGAAAAACGGAAAAACATAAAAATATGCATAACTCTATGTCAATGATGCTACGAGGTTGATCAAGGGCTTATATGAAAGATCTGGACCTGAGTAAGAAATTCGGCTCCCCCTATAGGATAACCCCGTCAAAAATGCCGTATCTCGCTTAGTTTTCGAGTTATGAGCGTTTAAACGTTTTTTTATGTTTTATTGGAGCATAGCTTCGATTTTTGCCCATAACTCACGATCTATACGAGGTACATGGACCATAAGCATATCAATAGATTCCTGAGAGCAAGAGCTTTCCAGTGCACTAGTCAAAATTATGATCTGAGCATAATTTATGGTAAAATGACCGCCATTTCCGGTTTCTCCTTCATTACCGGTTCTACGAGTTTAAGGATGAATAGATATTTGAGGTCAAATTTCAGAGCACTGAAACGTACGGAATGACCACCAATCATCAAAATCAGAGAATTTTCTTTTCTAACCTCAAAAAATGCAAAAAATCGTATTTATGCTTGGATCATAAAATTGAAGATGTCATTGAAAAGAAGGGGACGAGACCGTTTCCCAAACACTGGCTGTCGACTGTATTTGGTGTGTAAAATCAGGAGATATTCCTGAAAAACGGAAAAACATAAAAATATGCATAACTTCTATGTCAATGATGCTACGAGGTTGATCAAGGGCTTATATGAAAGATCTGGACCTGAGTAAGAAATTCGGCTCCCCCTATAGGATATCCCCGTCAAAAATGCCGTATCTCGCTTAGTTTTCGAGTTATGAGCGTTTAAACGTTTTTTTATGTTTTATTGGAGCATAGCTTCGATTTTTGCCCATAACTCACGATCTATACGAGGTACATGGACCATAAGCATATCAATAGATTCCTGAGAGCAAGAGCTTTCCAGTGCACTAGTCAAAATTATGATCCGAGCATAATTTATGGTAAAATGACCGCCATTTCCGGTTTCTCCTTCATTACCGGTTCTACGAGTTTAAGGATGAATAGATATTTGAGGTCAAATTTCAGAGCACTGAAACGTACGGAATGACCACCAATCATCAAAATCAGAGAATTTTCTTTTCTAACCTCAAAAAATGCAAAAAATCGTATTTATGCTTGGATCATAAAATTGAAGATGTCATTGAAAAGAAGGGGACGAGACCGTTTCCAAACACTGGCTGTTGACTGTATTTGGTGTGTAAAATCAGGAGATATTCCTGAAAAACGGAAAAACATAAAAATATGCATAACTTCTATGCAATGATGCTACGAGGTTGATCAAGGGCTCATATGAAAGATCTGGACCTGAGTAAGAAATTCGGCTCCCCCTATAGGATATCCCCGTCAAAAAAGCCGTATCTCGCTTAGTTTTCGAGTTATGAGCGTTTCAACGTTTTTTTATGTTTTATTGGAGCAAAGCTTTTTTTTCTGCAAATAACTGGTGGCAAGAGAAATGATTACAGCTATTGTTAGATGCCGGGTTGGCGTTCCATCTTGCGGTCATGTTAACGAATGCTGTCTGCATTTCTTAGTTCCTATATGCACTGAACTTCCATACTGGTCTCTCTTCTCTGTCGTAGGTATTGGTGTTCTGATTATCGCATTGAATACCGACAACTACATCAGATGGCGTAATTTTTGAATTCACAATAAAAAAAATAATAAAAATTATCATTTGATATGCAAACCTCAAAAGAGTGGTTATTCACAGAATTTGGAAAGAGAATCAGACCCATTTATCGTATTTCTTTGTACAAAAACACCTATTTCTAGTGACTTGCAAAATTAGTCAGGTTACAAACAGCACTAGAAAATCTTAAAATGGATAAACCCGTTTACAAATTAAGTTGTACTTTACTCGGACATAGTGAAGATGTGAGAGCAATTGCAACTTTTCAAGATGGAACCATTGTTTCAGCATCTCGAGACAAAACTGCTCGTGTTTGGTTACCAAACCGGTAAAAATTCCTATAAATATGATATATCATTCTTTTTTCCGGCTCATTAATGACGCTAAAAAGATGTTGTATTTATTATTTTTCTTTCAATTAACGGATGATTCATTTTTCAGAGGTAGTAATGGATATGCTGAAACAGCAGTTTTAGAAGGACATTCAAATTTCGTGAGCTCTGTTTGTGTTATACATTCTACTGAAAGATATCCTAAAAGTTTAATTATTACCGGAAGCAATGATCGTCACATTTGTGTATATCTCTTAGGTGAAAAAGAGCCCATGATAAAAATGAAAGCTCATGAAGATACAGTATGTAATCTTAAAGCTGGCAATGAAGAAGGTACATTTCTGTCATGTTCTTGGGATCTTACTGGAAAACTGTGGCATTTAGATAATATTGGAGAACCCAGATTAATTTTGCAAGGACATACACTTGCCGTTTGGTGTATTGCTGATCTACCAAATAAATTAATATTAACTGGTTCTGCAGATAAGTCGGTAATTGTTTGGACAAGAGATGGATTAAAACTTCATACACTTGAAGGTCATACTGATTGTGTTAGAAATATTGCAACTTTAAAAGATGATGAATTTTTAACGTGTGCTAATGATGCTACTATAAGACATTGGAATGCAACTAGTGGAAGCTGTATGGGAGTGTATTACGGTCATGAAAATTATATTTATTCCATGGCAATACTGTCAAATGGACTTTCAACTGTGACATCTGGTGAAGATAAAACAATTCGTGTTTGGAAAAATGGACAAATAGATCAAACTATAACTCTACCAACATCATCAGTATGGTGTGTTGACTTTTTAGTAAATGGTGATATTGTGTCTGGATCTTCAGATGGTATAATTAGGATATTCTCGAATGATTCATCTCGTTGGGCCTCTGCAGAAGAATTAGAAGCTTGGGAGCACCAAGTTAATGATGACCAACTTAAATCTCAACAAGAACTCGCTGAGAATATTAATATAAATACGTAAATGAATTTTACAAACCCAAATTTATTGTTAAATACTTATTATTAAATTAATAATTGAATAAATTATGTTTTTACAGAATGCCAACAATTTCAGAACTTAGTCAACCCGGAACACATGAAGGGCAAATAAAGATGATTAATGAAAATGGTAAACCCATTGTTTATTCTTGGTCTCAAAATGAAAAGAAATGGAATAAAGTAGGAGATGTTGTTGGAGCAACAGGAAAAAAATCCTCTAAGCAACTTTACAATGGAAAAGAATATGATTACATTTTTCATATTGATGTACAAGAAGGAGCACCACCATTAAAATTACCATACAATAAAACTGAGGATCCATGGCACGTTGCACAAAAATTTATTCATCAACATGGACTTAGTCAAATGTTTTTAGATCAAATTGCTAATTTTATCATCAAAAATTCTGAGAGTACACCAGTATTCAATACTAATTCTCAACTAACTGACCCTTTTACGGGAGGCAATCGTTATATACCAGGTTCAAGTTCATCAAGCAATATATCTCAAGCTCAAGCAAATATTTCTAATGCAGATCCATTCACGGGAGCTAATCGTTATATACCTCAGAATAATATTACAAATCCTCAGTCTTCTACGACATCATATATACCTCACAATACTTATTTAAAATTTGAACAAGCAAATCTTACTGCCATTTTAGGTATTGTACAATTTTTTATCATATACTTATATCTTTTATACTTCTCATAATAATTTTTATATTTACTGTTATAGAAAAATTGAAAGAATTTAATAGTAAGCAAAATGCTGAACAGCAAATACCAGAAGATGAATTAGTAGCTGTAGTAGATGCAGCAAAAAATAAATTTAATCCTGAAGTTATCAATACTTTGTGGAAGCTACTCGATTGGTCTGATGAATATGTTTTTCCTGCACTTGATATTACGAGGCTAGTTGTGCTGAATAAGACAATAAATGATCAGTTGTGTAACGACAATTTGGTACCTATAATTCAACGTCATTTAAAAAAAGATGCACTTCTAGCCAATCAAATGTTAACGTTTAGATTACTTAGTAATATGTTTAATCATGAAAAAGGTGAGAGATTAGACTTGATGAATGCCGATAATGTGCTCAAATATTTATCTGATTTATCTTCTCTTGGAAATAAAAATAATCAAGTAAGCTCATTAAATAAAATGCATTTAATTAATAATAAAAAAAGCTATGTGAATTTTTAAAAATTAATTCTTTTTTTTTTCTTTATTATAGATAGCAATTGCAACGTATATTCTCAATTTAGTTATTGCATTTTATAAAACGGATAATGTTCCTGGTAGGACGAAAGTCTGTAATGTAATAATCAAGATATTCGCGGGCTTAAAAGATCCTGAAGCTGTTTTCCGAATTCTTGTGGCTCTTGGTACTCTGTTGACAATAGCACGTAATAATATTGAAGAGAACAAAGCTTTGATCCAAATAATACAGCAATCTAATGAGACTGTTGAACTGTTAAAATCTATGTCTATAAGTAAATCTATGCTTGATCCTCATGGTAGGGTATCTAAATGTTCTACACACATATTAAACTTAATAAGCTAGATTAATGTATTATGTATTGGTAACAAAATATTTTTTCTATTAACAAATAAATGTAAGGAAATTTTGTTCAGTAAATGATGGATTTTTTTTATCATGTAAAATGAAAATCATAAAAGAAATAAATTGATGGTATTTTTTACAATCTTTTTATATGAAAATTTATATGAAAGGATATATATATATATACGTATATGTATAATTTTTGAATAAACATAAAATTGTGTGTTAACTCAGTGCGACAAAGTATACATATACAGAAGCGTAAGGAATATGTATTATTTCAGGTAAGATACGATATAAAATTATTCAAATTAAATATTGTGTGACACATGTACAACAATGATATGATTATAAAATAATAATTTGTATGCATTATTTATATATTTTATATTATTTTAATATATCTGATAGATTTTTTGGACAACTTAATCCAATAAAAGTACAACAAACAACGGTTTATTAGTAGAATATTGTTATTACATTAACATCATGTATGTATTTATTTTTGTTTTATAGATAGAATAATTTATTTTTGCAATTACAAGGCTTTAATTGTTTTAAATTCACATGTAATTACATGAAAAATAATATTCATATTATTCATTTGGGTGAATAATTCATAAATGATTACATTTAATACACTGATTTATTAACTTGTAGTAATTTGTAGTTGGAATGTAGTCTTAACATTTATTTTATTCTTTATCATTTTTTATATAAAAATAAATCCTTAATCATCTTGAGATCTGCATGATTAATCAATGTCGCACCGATTGTTTAAATTTTTAGATTAATATTTATATTTATATATAATTTATATTTGATCCTAATAAAAAAATTGTACAATCAACAAAATGTGCGCATACTTATATTATTATTTTTCAGATTTCATAATAGAATAGTAATATTGAAATTCCTATCCACCTATATAAAGAATATATCAATTTGTGCTCATTTAAAACATGGAAAAAATTATTGGAATATAAATTATTTTACTCTAACAATTTTCGTTTGTCAAGTATGAGGAATGCCCAGTATTAAATGCACTCATCTAACAGTAAGTGAATTTGTTCATTATTTGTAAATTGAATCAAATATGTTTACATTTCTCTATTACAATTAAATGTGTGTATTAATATTAATTCGGAAGCCAAAAAATGTTTTTATACATTATCTTGTATATTTTCTACTAAAGTAAGTCACTCTTGTGTATCTTTAAATCACATTTAATAATAGTTTTACAATTCATCCATTATTACTATTACGTATTGATAGTATTTTTGACAACTTTGTTTTCTTATTCTTGTACATAGTATAACAACGAAATATATTTTATCTTGCTCATACAGGAGGCATTTTAATACAACATTTGTATATTTAGATTTTACAACAGTAATGTATTTTTTTTTTACCAGAATATTATTTTTAATAGTCGAGAGAAATGAAACACAGCCTCAATAATCGACGGTTTTGAGGGAAGAATTATTAAAAAATAGCATTTTAAATTCGATTATATTACTATACAGGTATAAAATTATATTCTAGAAAATACAATGCATCGACATCACAGTGTCGGTTTAAATTTCATTTTCATCAATATATTTATTTTATATTTCTTCACTGATTCATAGTTAATTTTTCTTCAAGTTTATTCATTTATAACATATATTTTTTCTACTATTCATGTACTATATACATGAAAGAAATATTTAAATAATTTACTTTTTCACGTTTTATTCCATTAATCTTATAAAATACTTTCAAATGTCAAATACTAAAGGGAAATATGAGTTAAAAATAGAAAAAAAAAACGATTAGTCATTATATTTCATTAATGAAAGTTTTCTGAAAATTCAATTTATATATAATATATTTGCACCCATTAGATTACTATTGGTTTGAATAAATTTACATAGTAATTTAAACCGCGTTATAAAAATTTCGTAAATAGATATAGAAAAACGCGGTATCAAGTTTAATTATCCCGCCCTGCGGGATATTTATTTATTTTTATTTAATAACAGTGTAATAATTTTATGTTGAATTAGTTAACAGCTGTGATAACGATAAGTTTTAGCGATTGCACTGTTAATCATTCAGTTTAAATTGTTACAAAAAAAACTTGATTACAAAATGATTACTAATTTAGAAAATAATATAATTTACCATATAGTTAATTATATTTTTAAAAACTTCACTTTGACCCGTTCGACCGGCGAACAAAACCGTCATTGATTATACAGTCATTATTTCTACTCTCTCCCTAAGTCACAACCAATTAATTTAATAATTTTTTTCGTTGTGACTAAAGTCGCATCGTACGACATGAAAAAGTTTCAATATATATACATTGAATTTTCTTGTCGATTGATTTTTCTCTTACTATAAGGTTATCCTAGCTATTTTCACAAATGTGAAGGTAAGTGGGGAGGGACCTAAAATTTGTATTGGGTCCCTCCAGACCCGTCTCATTCTGCTGGTGTACTAGCAGCCCACCTGTCGAATTCAATACCTGAATCGGGACTCATCCCCAGATCAATTGGACTAAGAAAACTAGGAGCAGGACAATTGCAAGGTCCATCAGGTTGGCAAGCACCAATGCACCGTTGATTGTCACGTTTACGACCACCTCTATCTCTCAATTCCCGTTCAAAACTATGCAGCTGTTCCATGAAATGAAAATTAGGTGCAACATTTGTTTTTCTGCTCCTTACTAAGTTGAAAGCGTCGTTAAGACTGAGGTTACACTTATGCATGAGGTAAGCAATTGTGATAGTCACAGATCTTGATACACCAGCTAGGCAATGAACCAAAACACCTTTATCGGAATTACGTGCTTCCTCTGAAAAGGTAAATTACTTCATTACAATTTATCATCGTTAAGTATACGACAATTTCAAGTCTATGAATCCTCGCCGATAAGATAAGAACAATATTTTTAAAGTCAATAATGTGCTAAAAAAATTATTTAAAAATATATATATATATATATTCATAAAATTTAACTTAAATAAATTATTAAGTAGAAAATAAAAAAAAAACCAAATCAAATATTCAATTATCTCTACTATGTAAACACTAATTAATATTTATAGATTTTGAAGTTTTCTTCATTTGTATAAAAACTTGAATTTTTATTGTAGCCGGACGTCCGTTGTTTAATTACCAAATACTTTTTACACGTGAGAAAATAATCTATTTATAAATATCTCTTAATCTATTTCACCAGCCACTCAACTTTTTCAAACCGGAAATCCTGTCTAAAATATCATTTAATCTAGTTATTCTGTTTTAAGATATCGGCACTATAAATTGGACTTACGTCACATCACAAATTACTCCATTTATTTACAGTAAAAACAATAATAAATGAAGTATGATAACATTTAGAGGTTCATGTTTTAAAAAATATTATACATAGTAAAGAAAATAAAATAATAAACTTACCAATAAATTGAATAGCTTGAGGAAAAAAGCTCGCCAAGTTTTGACTCCAATGATCACTAATTGGTATCTGCATGTACTTAATAGAACCAGCACTTTCAAATACGTTTGGTAAATCAGGTGTTACATTAAGTATATATTGTATTTGATGGCGTGATAAAGCTTCATGATCTTCACTATTTGCTGCATTTCCGAGATATAAATGTGGCAAAATTTCTACTGGAAAGTCTTTGTCTTCTTCAGGACCTATATTTAATTAAAAGTTAATTAATTAAAATCAATAATTTATTTAAAAATAATTATAAAAAAAAAAAAATTGCTCCAAAAATACCCACCAACAGAATCACATGTACTATCGCTATCGGAATCAGAATAAGCTCTTATAGGAAGTGTAGAAATACGTAAGGACCGTAAGCCCATTAATTCGCCGACGTTTGTCTCTTGTGTTGATTGTCCTTCTATATCGGATTGACTACCTTCACACCATTCTGGATAACGATCTCGAAAGGCTCCAAAACCACCTGAATAGTTTAAAAAAAAAAAAAAAAGATTTTGTTATTCAAAAAAGTTTTTAAAAAAAAAATATAGACAGATTTATGGAATTACAAATTTATGATAATTAACATTAGCTAAATAATATATTGAATAAATTTTACACTAATTACCATTTATGTAAATAAACAACTATAGATGAAATTATATTAAATTAATCGATAAACTGACGTTACAAATTACAAACTATGAGCTCGTCTTACACCAGATTCCCTCCCACACAAATCAATACTCCATTCACAACTTCTCCTCCAACACATTGTCCATTTATAGAGATAGAAAATACGTAAGCGATGTAATATAGTAAGACGTAACGAATTTATTTAAAAAAAAAAAAAGGAAAAAATTTTTATATAAGAATATAAATTAATAATATTCATCATGCAACCAATGAAGCAACTGCAAATTTATATTCTGATATTTGATGTGAGGATGACTCTATTAACCTTTCAGGTCACTGACCATAATTGACAATTAACTGAATGAAGAAGAAAAAAGTGACATGAAAAAATGAGCAATAAAAGAAGAATTTATTATTACCAATCAAAGTAGTTACACAGCCACCACAGCTTCTCAATCTTCTATTCAAAACCTGGATTGTTTCCCCTTGATGACCAGCTGGATCTGTTGAATCTCCAATCAACACAAATGTACCCCTGCTGTCTTCATCACCGTATAAAAACACTTCGACTCGGTTTCGGAGTTCTATGCACCTAATGGTAGCCAATAAATCTACTTTGCCAGCAGCTAACCTTCTCAGCATGATACTAGGTATGGCAAGAGGTACTGAATTTCTTATGTGAGCTTCTAAGAAGTCTGAATGTGCTCTACAGTCTAAAATCAAGAGCTTGTTGGGTCCACATTGAGATCGTAATTCTCTAAAAAGCCATTCAGGTCCAACAAAACCTTCCTCTGTTACTCCTTCTCCTGGCATTTTGAATTATAAAAAATTGTAATAATTATAATTTATACAATGTCACTTCTATCCGTACTTAAATGGAATTTAAGCATTAATATGGCACTTGATTTTTATGATAATGATGATCTTCTAATTTAAATAAAGCCACAGACGTATATTAATGGCACATTAATAACAAAATCTTCCAAATCAATTATAAGCATCTATTTAAATTCTTGACCTCTAATAAACAATTTAGCTTTTTTCATAGAAAAAAATATTGTTGTCAATCACGTTATAAAGAAACCATTTAACCAATATATTTGCAGTCTTTTTATATTTGTCGTCTCTCGATTATCGATCGCACCGTTAATCAAGACACATCTGATCAACTCTCGTTCATTGGAATGTTTATGTTTATATAAATAAATCATAACACAACTAATTAGGCAGTTCTTTCCATGACTTCAATAGTAGTTTCACTATTTAAAACACAACCACAATGTTTTATATTACTTAAACATTTGATGGCAACATTCCAAGCATCGTGTTCCTCATCCCTCTTCCGGTGCCAAGTGGTTGTGTTCTCTGCTCCCACGGACGATACTGCTTCACGGAGGGATGCTGCGCGTACGGTTAACTGCTCTCTAACTCCCTCTGTTTTTTTTTCACTTTGCCTGTTCATTCAATCCTAATTTTTTCATTATCTTCTTGATTTATATGACAATGATTGTTTACTAAATATCTTCGTTAGCTAATAGTTATTTCTAATTTTGGAATTACACAGAAATTTAATAAAGGAATTATATACACTTTAACACACAACATGAACAATCTAAAATCACACTGAATTATTCTGTTTTGAATGGTATCCCACGAACAGCTGTCTATTATTCTTGATACGTATTTGATAAATCTGTTTCTTTCACTAATAAACGAGTCTATCAAGTTGGTATTACAATTCTAGTCTGCTTATCCGTAACTGCCCACTCAGCCACCACAATCCCGTGTCGTAAACCTTTCTCAGCCACACCTTTCCTCGAGCGTCTTTCCGTTGAGAATGAACAAATGGCGGCATGGACAAGTACAAGGGGAATAACAAGATATTATGCCATTGGTTCAAAGTCACGTGGCGCACTACTTCCAACCAATCCTTGCACGTACTGACGTCAGTTCATTGACAAAAGACGTTTTCATTAACGATACTATACGTAGGCAGTCTCAACTTCACAGAATCATGCGGGGAAACTGCTTTAGGATTTGAAATAGTAGAGGGGAAAGTTACGTTATCTCTCTTGCTCTTTGTGTGGGCAAATGTTTGGTTTACTATGCTGGAGCAATGTTTATTATGTACTTATAAATTTATCCAATGAATTCCTGAAAAAAAAACAATATGATGATCTTTACACTGAAGTAACTATAATTACTTAATTAAATGCAGATTTCTTTAATTATTACTTTTTTTTAAATAATATAATAATAATGAGGGTAAAGAATAAATGCAAAAGCTTTAAATAATTAAGTAGAGTTTAAAATAACCATGCAAAATGTTCAATATCACATGCTTTTAAAGCCATGTAGACTTTACATTATCGAGGTCCTTCAAGCTGAAGAACTCCCACTCATAAACGTGGGCTAACATTCCATTCATTTGGTGCTCTGACTATCATTAAACATCTTCACATTGAATTGCGTCTTCCCCTTCTACGCATTTTCAACGTCTGTATGATGAAGAGAATTAACAATTCCAATCTTGAATCTAATACTGTAATTCTCACGATTTTATCCATGATATTAACAATAAAAATTACAATTAAAAAAAAATTACCAAAGCATAACTCCAAGACATGTATTCGCACCTTAAAGGAGACCGGAATGATTGGAGCTTCATCCAGATGTTGTCGGTGTTGTTGAATGCCTGTATGAACTATGTATACCGGAAGTAATGCCTAGGAGCATGGTGCAGGCATAGCACTGTGTATGTATAATGATGGTTGTAAAATTACGGATGACGTACAGAATGTGTGTTGTATGTGTGATTAATGTGAAAGGAGGACCCAGGTTGACAGGAAATGGTTTAAGATAAGATAATGACGTCCCTCGCCTTCTCATATCCGGCAGCGTTCTTACTACAATACTTTTTAATTCCTGTAAAAGATGTTTATATTTTATTATTCAAGTAAGTATTTGCACATGTTCAAATAAACACACTCATCCTTATAAATAATTAATACAGTAGAATAGAACATAGTATAAAAAAGGAATAATTATTTAATTTAGAAGTAGTTGATGTATTTGAAGAAAAAAAAAAGGAAATTCTACATAAACCATTTGGTAATTTAAACACCTTATTCAGATATAATTGAATCTTTTTTTATGCTATTGAATAGAAAGATAGATTACTTTTAAGATAAGTTTAACTTTTTAAGTTTTTAGGAAATGGTCAATGAAATGGATAACCAAGGTTCGTTTTTCTTGAAATAAGGATAAGAACGGAAAAAGGAAATGCACACAATGAAACATTTAGAAAAAGTCATTAATCAGAGGAGAGAAAAAAAACAAAAACGTGAAGTATGTTAGGCAAGTTAAAAAGAATGATCTTATTTTTATCTTGATCTAGGATTTTAAGGATAAAGAATGAACTCTTGAGTTAGGTCTATGGCTATTTGTTTGATTCTTGGAAAATAGTGTTCATTTTAACAGACGTGGACTAAGGAACTTTACCTGCTTGAACACACGGGTATAGGTAGGTGGTAGTAGTTTTAGACTTGTAAAAAAAATATACCAACAAGTTGAAGAAAAAGGGCTGTATTGGTTTGACCAATACCACTTAAATTTATAAATAGAAATAGAAATCTGAATATGGTCATTAGATCACTGAATGACTTTGGAAATTGATACACAATGACTTCTTTTTCAAGATTTTTAAAAGATTATTTTTTAAAATTTTAGGTGATTTTTCATGAAATTAACTCCTATTTTTATAAACTTAAAAGTATCTTTTTTTAAAAAGCTTTTGAATGTCGAAACCCTAGGTCCTTTTTCACTTCTACAGAATATTACTTTTGTATTATCAATATAAGAAAAGTATAATAAATAAAAAGGTGCTTGATATTCAATCATTTAAATAAGAGTTTTAAATAAAAATATAATGAATGAATATTTATTCGATATAAAAACCTAGTACTTTAATGTTTAATTCAATACCAGTGATAGAATATGATTGAAGATAATTTACAATTAAGATAAAGTACATTTATCAGTGATAGAAGTGGTTATAATATTTCAACTCTAAGCAAAAAAACATATAGCTATAATAGTTGTAGAAATCAATGAAAGCAAAAAGATGAATGTAGGATCAGATGAGAATCTGCGTGGTGGCACCCACTACACTCATAAACATCACATGGAAGCTTGGAGTAAGTGTTATTCTACCACACAACTTTACTTCATTTCTCCTAAATGTCTGAATTCATGACTAAATGCTCTCTCTTTTAATTGACATTGTTAAAAGTGATGTAATCATAATTATAATTACTCTTTATATACATTGGGAGTAATTAATATCAAATACTCTTAGGAATGATAATAATAATTTTTATTTTTGCAATGACAATGAAGATAAAATAATACTTACATTAATCCATTTCCTCCTGTTGATATCTACATTGTTTTAATATTATCACTGATTATAAATTATTGTAAATATGTAAAGAGTAATTGTTCAAATAAGTCCAAATCGTTTATGAATGAAAGCATTGCAAATGAAAGAGTATGTACTTATATATACATCTATAATGTCCATTGAATTTGTATAAGCGATTGTCTGAACCAAGGTCAAGGTCGTCTGCTTACCCAACCGTTGCCTATGAATTATAAAAACTGATAGAAAAAAAACATGTTTAGAGGTTAATATTAAAGTTAATGAATGAACTTACTAATAATTATCTATAATTATACTAATATTTATTTAAATAATTACTATTTCATATAAACCATCAATCATTACCGTCGCCATTTTTTTTAATACCTGACGACTGATGATAAAGTAGAAATCAGTTAGAAAAGTTTTTAGGTTATGATGTTTATCTTTACTGTTAGATGTCGCAGTGTGCCAATATCCAAATTGCCAAAATATTTTACACAAACACAATAAACAACACAATAAACGTTATTAGTAAACAAGTAAATATTTATTGTATTCTTATGGATGTTAAATGTAATTTAAAAAAAAGAGATATCTATCGTAAATGATTGATCTTAATAACTATCAACTTATTATTATTTTGATCTTTGTTTACGATTTATCGTTACATTTATGAGTAACGAATCGATAGGTTAGATATTTCATTTAATAATAATAATTATTCAAGTAATAATAATTAGTTAAATACAAATTATGGATATATTTATTTTATTTATTTTTAATCATAGTCATGGATTCAACGGAAGAAGCAAACAATTCAAAAGTAGGTACATGATCATTTTATTTGAAAATGTCAAAAATTTTTCTTGTTAATCTTTTGTGTTATTAAATATTTCAGAAACGTAATACTCGTAGTTATTCTAATAAACAACAAGTCACCGATACCGTAGCTAAAAAATTCCTACAAAATTTTGACCCTCAAAGCAGTGAGAGAGAAAAACGAAAACTTCATCGTCGACTATACCCCGGAAGCAAAAAACATATTTTATATGATGAATGTGGGGTTTTTATTCAAACTGGAACTAATATATGTGATTGTCTGCAGTTAGATTGTTCCGGATGTCATTTTCCATGTATTAAATGTGGTTCTACTAAATGTGGTCACGAATGCAGGTGTGGTATCAACATCAATACTATCAATATAGATTATTTGTTTATACTATTATTTGATAAATATTTTTTCCAACAGAATCCATCGACGTTGGGCTTATGATTCAATTGAAAATGAGGGCAGTGATGTTGTATTGAGAAACCCTGTATTGAAAAACTCTTAGCTTTGATAGGAGGTGCCTAGAACAAAACACTTTAATTCTAAGAAAGGTCATTATAAAATTTATAAAACTATTAAAGTTTAAACTTAGTTTTAAAGTGTTCCTGCATGTAAATAATCATGATAATTTTTGCTAAGAAAAATTTGTCGATATGTAATAAAATAATTGTACAAATTAATAACTAATTCAGAGATTACAAATTGTGCCATAGAAGGCTATTTAATCCAATACCATTTATTAATATATTGTTATAGTTTATCTTCGTAAAATATCTATTCACTTTTAAAGCATTCAGTAAAGTATCAAAATTGATCATATACATAACAAACACAGAAACCCTCAATTTTCCGTTCACTAACACACTCGGATATGTTATTGATTTTTTAGACTTTACACTCAACATTAGTGCGCACGTATCGGTACACAAAGTCGTTCTTAGATCCGGTGTACAGAGAGGGTGTGCTTTAGTTTCGTAACGTAAAATACGTAAACTTTCATCAGAACAACCTTTTAAATCTAAAATAACTATAGAAAAGTACGTAAACGTTTTTTTGACGAATTAAAGTATAAAACAAATACGTAAGTACTTGAATAAAATAACGTACATCGAAGATAATTATTATATCCAATATATTTTCCGAATAAAAGAGGAAATTGTTCAGAGAGATAGTGTTTCATGAAGTAAGAAATCAGTGATCCGTGGTGCATCGACCTACAGTGCAAGCAAGTGACTATATTCTTGACCTCTCCCTTATTCTAACTTGACTTATATCCTTATACTTTTATCAGGGATGTAACCTTTTAATTAATAAATTTGAACTTCAATGAGTTGCCATTTACAACTAATACCGGTTCGTAAGGGAAAAAATATTTAAAATAAATTTTCAAGACATTAAAAATTAATAAAGAAAAATATTGACATCATCAACTAGGAATTTAAATATAACGAATTTTTGAAAAAATATTCCCGTAATTAGAAAGCTATCACTGCTAATTCATCAATATTTTATTGTCAAGTGTAAAGAAAAGGATTGAACATTTATCGAAGCTCTACATGAAAGAGTTGATCACTTGACGTAAGTTCAAGTGAAAACTTAATTGTTATCCTGTAATATATAACGTCATATACGAATTGTATCAGTTTTTCCGTGCGTCATCAACAATTGTTGACATCAAAGAGGGGAAAATTTCTATCTTTGATCAGCTGACGAGGGACAAGATTATTGAGTGGAAAAAGGTCGGAGTAGTAAGACTGCGACGTGGATAGTCGCATGCTCGTGCGTTGGCACGGCGAACGCAAGAATAGAAGAACTTTATTAAGGGACCCCGTGGCTGGGGGATCAATCAGTCGCGACGGCCGATGTCAGGATGCCAGAACAGAGCAACGACTATCGAGTCGTCGTATTTGGAGCTGGTGGAGTTGGCAAAAGCTCTCTTGTTTTACGATTTGTGAAAGGAACGTTTCGTGAGTCATATATTCCTACTATTGAAGATACATATCGACAGGTACGTTTAAACTTTCAACTGACTTGTCATTAATTGGAAAATTTTTTTTTTTCTTTTAGTTACTTGATTTGTTGTATAGCCAATCAAGGTTAAGGTAATATGAAGAAGAAAGTTGAAGAATTTAGTCAGATATTTTATTCAATTTTACATATATTCATCTAATTATCATCATCGTTTTTTGTTACAAATATATATGTGTAATAATATTCTGCTGCAAGCATGTGGAAACTGATCAGGGACTCGTGCTGTATAAGCTATGAGATGCGTGCTCTATCGTGTTTATCTTTTTTTTTTCTGTAGATTTACGGAAATGATTTTCTGATATTTGTATCAAGGATATAATGGAGACATATATGATCGTTTGTTGAAATAAAATTGTTATTGAAGTAAAGTTATTCAAATGAGTGATAAAGTTTCATATTCGGCTAAATTTTCTATTGATCGGACTGTATACATACTGATAGTAATGTATCGTTAGCATTTTCAAGCAGCGCACAAATGGAGTAATTTAATAATTCGTTGAAGCTGGAATGATATATCTTTCAATATATTTTAATCTAATTGAGTAAATAATTGTTTTAAATGGGTAACTAAAAAGAGAATACACTTAACTTATAGGTGATAAGCTGTAATAAAAATATATGCACGCTTCAAATTACTGATACAACGGGGTCCCATCAGTTTCCCGCTATGCAGCGACTTTCAATAAGTAAAGGTCATGCTTTCATCCTGGTGTACTCGGTATGTTCGCGACAAAGTTTAGAAGAATTACGGCCAATTTGGGCAGTGATACGAGAGCTCAAAGGACAGGATATTTCACAAATTCCAATTATGCTGGTAAGTAAATTTACTGAAAACATTTCATGGTTTTTCATTATGTACTTAAATTTACTGGACTGAATTAAAAGTCAACATTATTCAAAGAAATCTGTAAAGCATAATGAAAGATTTAAGATGATATTTTTTTTTTATTAACGAATAATGAAATATAATAATGATCCATTTGATAAGCTCATAATGAAAGACTGATATCTAGTCTAGATATATGATGGTTTTATAATACTTGACAGGTCGGCAACAAGTGTGATGAGAGTCCTTCAGTTCGCGAGGTATCAATGAGTGAAGGTGCTGCTGAAGCAGCTAATTGGGGTTGTGGATTCCTTGAGACTTCAGCCAAGACCAATCACAACGTAAATGCACTCTTTCGTGATCTTTTAACACTTGAAAAAAATCGTTCAGTGTCATTACAGCCGGTACAAAGCAACAACGCGATAAGCCTTAAGGAAAAATGTGCCGTTATGTAAATTAAATTTATTTCATTTTGGCTTTTAATAGTATATTAAATTAATAATTAAATATGATCATTATAAGAGCAAGCGTAAATATAAAAATGATATCAATATGTAAGACCAGTCAGTTGAGTTTAAATAATCGATTGGTCTTTATTATATTATGTTATTTTATATAGAAGATTATTTACGAAGCAAATACGAAAGAAGTTAATTCATACTTTTATCGTATTATAATAAAGTTTGTAAGAACAACTCTGCCGAGTTCTATATATATATATATTTCATTGCTATAGTGTGATAGTTTAAATTTTTTTTAGAAATAATAAATAATTGAATAATCGAAATATTATCTAGATTCGATAAAAAAATTCAAAAGCATTTGTAGTATGAGTGAATGTACTCTATAAAACGCACTATGAAACGAAATCATGTCATATCAGATATATTTATTCAACAAATAATTATACAAATTATTATTTTTTATCTGTTTTAAAGATTTTTTAACTTAAGAATTATTCAATAATTAAAATAATCGATAACTCAGACTTAATTTATTTCATAATATTCAAATGTACAATTATCGAATTATATCATAAAAATTGACAAATTTTTGTAAAAGAAAAATAATATTTCTATTAAAATAACCAATTAATTAATTACTTATGGATTGTGGTACAACTATTTCATATCAATCACAAATATCTTCCGAATTTTTTGTTTGTTTTTCTACAAATGATATATTTAATAATTTTATATTGAGTAAATTTTTTGATAGACTTAAATATTATTCAAGTATTTATCATTAATTTTGAATGAATATTTTTTTTTCTTTTCGATGTACAACAATTTTATAGTATACAATATATCACACAACGAGAGAAATAAGTAAAAAATATAACGCACAATCAATTAAGACAGTAATTAGTTATTCAGGATCTGTGATTTATATAAATTTAAGTCTGAGTGATCGATATAAAAAATAAAAGCGAACACCTATAATCGTGGCATCATTAATTATTTTTTTTTTGCATAGTAATCAGTAAATATAAATTCAAAGTGCTTTTAAATGTAATAAGCTCGAATAGATTTGTTTTGAGCCAAAAAATAATAACATAAATAAAAATTATGCGATAAATGATGAAAATAAACAATTGTTATGAGATTGGTTTTTGTTAAATAGTTGTAAGATTTTTGTAATGATGCTATTAACATTTGTCATTATTGTGTGAAGAATATTGAGAGATTAGTAATAAAAAATAGGAAAAAACAATGAGCGAGAGAGAGAGAGAGAGCGAGAAAGGAAGAGAGAGAGAACGAATACATTTATGATTAAAAAAAAATACTTTGATGATTGTTGAAATAGTAAAAACTATTAATTAATTACTTATCATTATAATAGCAATTTAATTAGAGAATCAATCATTAGTGAAATCATTAAAAAAATTATTAATATAATAAAAAAAAAAAATATTCAAGACAATTTGATAGTGAAATGAATTCTTACTAAAAGACTTTTATGCTAAAGCATTCGTATTTTTAATTGAAATTTTATTCTCTGCAATTAAATTTCTGCTGAATTAAATAAAATTGTGATCGATGAATTTATTATTAATAAATCATGAATGGATATAATAATAATAATAATAATAATAATAATAATAATAATAATAATAATAATAATAATAATAATAATAATAATAATAATAATAATAAATGTAATAAAAACATTGAAAGACAGTATAATAAAATAGGGTATCATTTATCTGAAAAATTGATAACAAAGAATTAGGAGCAGAAATAAACTTCAACGTAAATTAGATAATGCCATGTTCTTATGAAATTAAAAAAAATAATAATAAAAAAAAAAATAATAATTTTCAAATCTCTTTGTAATATTCATAAAAATCAAAATGAGTTTTCTTATTGTAAAAAGTCAATATTGAATATTTCTTTTCAAAATTTATATTTGAATAATTTTTCTCTTATGTATTACATAATTATTATTGAGTGCAATATGCAAAATAGTCTTAATATATGAGACGCTTTTAACTTGAGCATATCGATGACAATGAATTATCGATTATTGATAAATAAAAATAATAATAGTAATAATTATAATAATAATTAGTACTCTACATATCTGTGAGGAAAAATAAAATTCTTCGCCATATATTTATTATATTTATCAACATTTTTTCGATCTTTCTGACATATATTCATGTAAAACATAATAGGAACAAAATGAATTTCATTAAAGATAATATTCAATATGTATTTAATAAAAAATACAGTATTTTTGTCTAATTTTATTTTTTAAACTATAAAATTATTTAATTCAAAAAATTTGTAGAAAATACAAAAAAGTTGTTATAGAAAATTCTATCGGCGCGTTATAATTATTGAAGAAAAAAAATAGTATAAAATTTTTATTACAATAAGTATGAATATTAATAAATATGAATATTAACGATTATATTAATTGTTACATCAAAATGAGTTAATAGATATCTCTGTTGAGTATTATATATCGACTGACAGCCAATGATAATACATGATTAATAAAATATTGGATGACATGATTGAACAAACGTGTAAGCACAACATTAAAAAACAAATAAATAATTAACACACTCAATAATGATATGCTAATGAATTGAAGTAATCAGAGAATGTTGCTATTCATATTAAAAATCATGTTTTGGGGCCAATTGGAGTGACAAAATGATGAAAGTGATCTTATCAATCACATGTTAATCATTTACAAGAACGCGCCGAATATATTGCTATTTTAATTAATTAACAAAACTTTTTCAGAAAATTCTGATCAATTGCTGATGATAAGAAAGAATATTTAGCAATATTGATTCATTATTGTAAAATTACTTGTTGATACTAAAAGTATGTATACGATGACAATTATGACAGAATTTTCTGAAAAGTTTATTTAAAAATGATACTTGCCTGCTTTACTTTAGTGATGTAAAATACTTTTACAGCTATTATTAACATGATTATTTGGTTTGATTTTTATAAAAAGTACATGAGTCCAAGGTCTAAAGGATAATTTTATTCTTAGATCTCAATAAAGCTTGATGGACATTTAACGCTAGGACAGCTCTCAAACGAAGTCCATTATATTTAGCACATGATCAAGATAAACTGACATTTACATTTCAGTCACATTCTAAAGATGTATTTTACGTGGCTTTAAGAATATTAATTAAATGTTTTCTTTCGTAATTAATCAATATTTTACTGACATAAATGAAAGCAGGTATATTTCATTTATTTAAATATCTTTGAAATAATAATGAATTGAAGAGAAAAAATTTCTGTTACTTTTGCCACTGAAACTTAGCAACAATTTCAACATTGTTCAACATTCTTTACTAAAAAGAAAATTATTATTGACTGTAGAATTTTCAAAATTGCCTGAGATATAGAACAAATATATATTCATTAAATTGTACAGAAGATGATGAAAACATTAAGTGACATTGATAGTAAAGTAGTAGCAGGTCGAGCACAGGATAAATTATTTTAATTGCTCATACAAAATTTATTATTTGTCATAGCAAAATTGTTATTTCATTAAATTATATTAAATAATAATAGATTGACATTAATAAATACTACTTCATAGAAAAAATATTTTTCATCAAATTATTATTTTTTTGTTTATATCTTTATAGGTTATATTCACCAAATTATTTTTAATTATCCATTTTAATGATCATCATATTTGTATTTTATCAGCCAATAATATATATAATATTATTATACATATCTACTAATTATTCTCATTTATTAAATATTTTGTTTTTGAGTATTTTTTCTTTTTAATTATCACAATTTTTCTAATTACTAATACTATGATAACAATCTTCTTCCTGTCTAACACTAAGATAAATTATCAATGAATAAAATACATAATGAGATCATTTTTTATTTGAGTAAACAACAAATTAATTAAAAAACTATTATTTACTTTTATTTTATAAATATTAAAGTAACTCAAATGAATTTTATGCTAATGTATTAAATACTATATTGATTAACTACAAGAGCAATAGTTCTATGTAACAATAAACTTACGTAAAAAGAAACCAAAAAATGCATTCTCTTTTTCTGACGCTATCTAGTTTCAATAGATATCATCCATGTACTGATGATATGTGGATGGTAGAAAAAAGTAACAATATATATAACATTAATCGTGTTAAACCTATACTAATAGTTTTAGAAAAGCCAAAAGCTTAGGAGTAGTAATATCAAGATAGTGAGATGGAAAATCTGTGGAGGAGTGGCATCTTGAACAAACAAGACAGAACCAATCGAGAAGAAAGGGTGGTCCAGCTGATGTTTGTCTTTTTACCCACCCTGAAAGGATGCTGGAGTCGCGTTGGTGGATATCCTGTACTTCACGTGTCCTTCCAATCGGCTTACTTGAACTGATAAATGAAATCATGTTGAAGTAAAATTCATTTGAACACTCTTCAGTTTGCGATTCATCGTGTAACACTTTATAGTTCATTGGTTGCTAAAATTTGATATTATTGTTTTTATTATTTACTACTAACAATAATTAAGTTGAATAAGAGTAATAAAAATAAATGAGATTTAAAGGAAAATATGTTAAAAAGAAAACCAACAGTAACCGATCTTGAAGATGATGATGGAAAACAAAGACGACCAAGGTGTGCTCGTTGCAGAAATCATGGACTCATTGCTCGTTTGAGGGGACATAAAAGAGAATGTCAGTATCGAGAGTGTCTTTGCCCCAAATGCTCTCTGATTGCTGAAAGACAAAGAGTCATGGCTGCTCAGGTAAATTGTTTTATTATTTATATAAACTCATTTAAGTTTATAAATTTCTAGGATAACTTGTTTTTTTAATGCAAGCAAAAAAGCTTTTTGAAAAAATCACATCACTTCCTTAGCTTGACATCACTCTTAAGTAGAATCCATTAGTGTCTGGTGCTCTATTTCATTGATGTTTGTATTTGCATTACGACACTTGATCTTGAGTCTACATATCGTAGCTTTCAATCGTCGGATTTTCCCTCACACTTTTGTTCGATACCATATAGATGTTAGTAAATCTGAAACTTTTGATATCATCAAACTAATCAGCAAATAAAGGATTATATTACCTCATAATTCACAGTAATTTACATAGAATAATATTATTTATAGGTTGCACTTAAAAGACAACAAGCTGCTGAAGATGCTTTGGCACTTAATATGAGTAAATCTACATCAAAATCAGAGATAGATTATTTATCGGAGCAAAATCATAAAATCAACACTCAATCTGACATTCCAAATATTCTAATTCAATCTGAAAATTCTGATATTAACAATAGTAATTTAACTAACAATAAAAGAAAGAAAATAACTTTACCAAATTCTATAAGTTTAACAAAAGATGATGATAACTCTTCTGAAATAAGTCTCCCTTCAACTTCAGTAAGTTTATATGAATATTAATTATAATCATAATTAAAAACCTCTTCTTTTATCAATACTATAATTTTATATTCTAGGAATGGAGTAGAAAAAAACCAAATAATCATTTAAATATAAAGGATACTTCAACAATTATTCAAACTTCAATAGAAACTCTTGTAAAGCTTTTTCCAAACATTAAATTATCAATACTCCAATTAGTATTCCAACGATGTGGCCAGGATTTAATTAAAACTATTGAATACTTTACTAATGACAGTACTAAAAGTGGATTTCCATCAGCATTTCGACCATTTTCTACATTATCTCAATCATCATCATTTAATTCTGAGTATTTTAATGTCTTTTCATTACCATCAGTTTATTCGAAAAATTTTTATAACGACAGATATTGTCTTTTTAATATAGTGCCAGATCAACTGTCACATAATATTGGATCGAGTGATTTATTTAATAGTAGCAATAGTAGTAATAGTAGTAATCATGAACAAAATAATGTTCTTAATACTCAATATAGTCATTATTTAAATACTAGTATTCAACAGCAACAACAATATTCACTACGAGAACATTCTTTGAGATCAGGACTCTTTCATTTGCCTCCAATTATTCCGGGAGTGTCTTGTGTGCAACCTGACTGTATTCAATGCTACAAGTTTCTATAATTGATCGTTCAAATAATGAATTTAACATAAAAGTGTAGTGTTCTTGTAATCAAGTATTATAATAAGATAATTCACAATGAAAACTGGACAATATTTATTCGTGGAGTATTTGATTTTTATTTTGTCTTGTTGGATTATCTACTATCACTCGTAAATCTAGTAAAGTTAACAATAAAAAATTGAATTAGGAAAATTCAATTGAAAGCAAGAAGAGAATCGAACATTGTATTGCCGGAAGATAGAAAAAACTCTGCTTACTTTGGGTTTAGTTTTTCGGCAGAAGAAAATACCTTCAATGTAATGCTTGAGGGCATTTTGGTCTATTCTCGTGTTTGGAATTATTAAACATACGTGAAACTTGACACCGCCTGAAGATACTTAATTTTATTTTATTTTTATTGATCTTAAAGGAAAATTCAATTGTCTGAAATAATAAAAAATCGAAGAAAAAATCGTTTAAAGTCTTTTTATTGTTTCGATAAACAGAAATAACATTCTTTTTGCGCTTTCTTAAGAATATTCATTCACTTAAATTGCGGTCACGTGCGCATAAAAAAACTTGACCAACTATTTACAAACGTGACTACTAAAATATTATATTTAAATATATACATAAAATGCACAATATCAATTAAAATCGTAAAAGAGGCTTATTTTTAATCATATGTTTATCCAGATGTTCCCAAAATTTCATCAAAGCAGCACGATCTAAATGACGCTTTGTGCGACTTAACTCTATCACAGTTACTGCCCATCGAGCAACATTTGTGTCAAGTCGCATTTCATCATACTTGAGATGGAATGCACAAATTTTTGAAAATATTTCAACTGGATTACCATCGAAAGGCCAGCCTTTAAATTGCCATGCTGGTCCCATTACAAATACTGCTACTACACGTTCCCAATCAGAGTTTGTAAGTTTTTGTGGATTATCAATTACTCGATAAGGAACAGTTAAACCTCCATCTTTACGACGTTGTAATAAAATTTCATGTTCTCTCTTGGCACCTGATGTTTTCTTTTCATCATTACTGACATATTTCAGATCTTGAAGGATATCTTTGGCATTATACATTGTAATTAGTGAATTGTTTGCACTAGGAATAATGATAATTGGAGTCCGGCTAGGTCGTTTATTTTGAGCAGCTTGTTGAGGAGTTAATTTAGCGGCTGATGTAGGAAGCAAACCTGATGATGGTGCAGAAGTAGGATTAGCAGGCTTTCGAGTTGCTGGATTAGTTCCTTCAGTTACAGATTTCAAAGTCATTCCATGATAAGATCCCATGGTATCAATTTTAAAACCTTCTGTTTCTTCCTTTTGAATAAATCTTTCTTGATCATAACGATTATAGACTGCAGGTTGAGGAAGTGGCCTCATAGGCGTTGAACGAGGTGTAACCATTGGCGTAGATGCTACGGGACCTTTATGTTTCCCGTCTTCTCTAGCTTTTATACTTTGTAAAATTGCAAATATATTTTTAGCAAATATTTTACCACTACTCTGTAATATTGTAGCTCTTGTTCTCCATTGTCTTTCTCGTGAAACAATATCTTTTGTATCATCAACATCCATATCTAAAATAACTCTTAAATCTGAGCCCATGCCAATGTCATCATTTTCCTTAATTGTTGTACGTTTTTTGGCCAATCGTTTAGCCTTAATTGCAGCAATTTTTTCAACTGACATAGCTTCTGACAGTGATTTGATATTATCAACTGTAACAGATGCTTCTTTCGGTGCATCCAGACGAGCTGCAAGTTGTTCTTTAACCTTTTGAACATGAGTCTCTTCAAATCTTGGTTTCTTAGATAAACCTGCATCCAATCCATCTTCGGCAGTTCGTTTTACTTGTGTTGGAATTTCTAAAGGTGCTGATTTATCTATGGCGGCTGATGTGGCAGTTTCACCATTGAGATAGGCAAGTAAATCTTTCCGGTCTGGTCGACGGACAACCGGAATATTTTCTGCAGCCGCTTGCCGTACATAAACTGGATGTGTAAGTTGAACATGTTTAAGTAAAAACAATAGGCACTCTAGGGTATAATATTCCTTAGGCGTTCCTTCCTTTCCAGATCTAAAATATATATTATGATTTAGAAATAATAACAATAGCAACAAATTTAATTATTAACAATTTATGACATATACATGTATGTCTTCTTGTAAGATTCAATCCGTTTAGTGCATGCAATAAAAGTATGCAAAAAAACATTCACTAAAAAATAATTATAATACATACCCATAAGTTAAATAATTAGTTTTCACATTTTTCGGCCACGAAAATTCTCCAAATATTATTTGATTTTCACGTTCAATTATTTCTTTCTTATTGACATTATATTGTCGTAGTAAACTTAATGGATCCGCCATGTTTATGGACTAAACTATCAAGAATGGAACGCATTGCTTGACGACCATCATACAAGAGGAACTACTCTCGGAATTGACTTCGACCGCCATCTATCCAATGGGAAGCTACTAAATTACTTTCATAGATGGCAACTAATGTATATTTTTAAAAATAAAAATTTTGCACTATTTGCGCAAATTTTAAATAGAAAAAATTAATAATTTTTTATTCTATATTAAATAATATTATATAAAGAAAAATTTTTTATTAATATTTTTCTATTACGTCAATAAAATTTTTACCAAAAACATGTATATACAGAATATTTTCAAAATCATTATCATAATCATTTTATTCGCATTAAATTTTACAAAAAATGTAAAATTAAATCATGATTACATTAGAGCAAATCAAATGTAAGCAATAGATGGCAGTTCTAGAGTATTTCTATCGATAAAAAATGCATTTTTTTTTCTTTTTAAAAAGAAAAATGATTATTCGCATTTGTATTGATCTTACAACATTGATTTTTTAACTTCATAATATTTTTAAACAAGTGACATTTAACTCATAAACTCAAATAAATATTATATTATTATAATTTTTACAAAGTGTTTAATTATTTGATCACAAATTAAAAAATGTTGACATTGAAATTCGTAAAATATTTATTGTTCATAAAACTTTTATTTATGAATAATTTTACTGGCGCGAAAAACTGTAAACCTAAAATAGGTAAACTTAAATCAATGTTTAAATTATTTACTTATTCATTATCTGCATGCATTAAAGCCCATAATAGTTTAGTAATAAATGTTGAATACTATGAATCGATGAAGTATTCAATGATTGATTGTAATTGATAATTGATTACGCTATTCTATGTTTGTAGCTATAATTGGTGGTGGAATAGGAGGTGCTTCAACATCTCATTTTCTCACAAAACTATTCAAAGGTAATTTAGAAATTGATTTATTTGAAGCTGAAACGATTGGTGGAAGATTAGCAACCGTAAACATTGATAATGAGGAATATGAAGCGGGTGGATCAATCATACATGAGAAGAATCAACTTATGAAGTATTTTGTTGATTTTTTAGGTCAGTACTATTTTTAATGATAAAAACTGACTTATTTACTAAAATAATTATATAATTTTATTACATAAAACAGTAGATAGTAGAAAAAAGTCATCAATATATGTATTTTCATTTGGTAGATCTTGAAAAAAAAACCGTCGATGATAGCAGTAAAATGGGAATATGGAATGGTGATAAATTTGTTTTCGAACAAAGTTCCTCTGAGATGATGACGCTATTTAAATTAATATATAGATATGGATTCCAACCATTCTGGTTATATCGGTATGTATAAGATTGCTTGTTTAATTTATGAGTAAGAATAAAATAAAAATTATTAGATTTATTTTCTATCAGTTCCTTTTTTTGTTAGACTAATTGATTCAATAGTTGATGATTTTGGAAAAATATACCTTCTACATGACAATGGTGTTGGTTTTAATAATGTATCAAGTTTATTATCTGCTATGAACAATGAATTTCCTCAGATGCTGCAGGTTTCTACAAAAGACTACCTCAAGGATTTAGGATATTCTCCAGTGGTTATTGATGAACTGATTAAAGCAGTCACAGTTGTAAATTATGGACAAGATACTGATATTCATAGTTTTGTGGGATCTGTAGCGACTGCTGGAGCAGGTTCCTCATTGTGGTCTGTCAAAGGTGGAAACAGAAAGGTATAATTAATTATTATATTACTTATTACAGATTAATAAAGACAATTATTTTTAGGTACCAGAAAATTTAATTTACCGGAATAAAAAAATAAATGTTATTTCTGCGCAAGTTGACAAAATTAGCTATCTTCGAAATAATGGAATATCACAATATGAAATATTCTATCGTGATAATGGTAAATATAACCGCACAAGTTATGCTATAAATTATTGAAATAATGCAATCATTATTGTTCACAGAAAGTTCAGAGCTCATGAATAAATTTTATGATCTAGTAGTAATAGCAACACCTTTAACTCATGATCATGAAAAATTAATTCAATTTAAAAACCTACCAAAGAATATTAATCAAGAATACGAGAATGAATATCAAACTATATTCGTAACGTTTGTAACCGGAAAACTGAAATTACAGTATTTCGGACTTGTTGATCCAATCGATGATATTCTATCTTGTAATCCTAATAATACCATCATTAATGCCGTAGCAAGACTAAGCACAACTGAAGGCGTGGAATCTAATGTATGGAAATTATTTTCTTCACGAATATTAAATAAAGAATTTATTCACACAATGTTTGAGCAAGTATGTAAAATAATAAGCATTCTTGAAGTATCAAAAAATATACATCATGTAGTAAATGTCGTTTTGTTTTTGGTTTAGGTCAATCATGTAGAGATCAAAAAATGGAAAGCATATCCAAAATATTCAACTAATATTGTAATGAATCAATTTAAACTTCATGATGCTTTATATTATGTAAATGCCATTGAATGGGCTGCAAGTGCAATGGAAATGAGTGCAATTGGTGGTAGAAATGTAGCAATTTTAATTCATAATAGCTATAAACAAACTTGTAAAAACTTATAATATTTATAGCATACGTAAAAGGTTAGGTATAGATTAAAAAAAAAACAGCTCTCTTTCCCTCGATAATAATTTATCATATCAATAGATGAAAAATATATTTAGATATATATAATGTAATTTTATTTTAATTAATATTTAGACAAACTGAATAAAAATAAATTATTTTCAAACAATACAACGAATTTACAGTTATTTACATTGAAAATTATACCTGCTGATAAAAAAATTTATGAATTAATTTATGTTTTTATTTCTCTGACGCCCCAATAGTTGTCGCTACATGCGCGCGCGAAGCTCGGATCGATCGTATCGAGGGGATGTAAATTTTTTCGATATATTTATCACTAAGATCATTAAGAACTCGTAAATTATAATTAAATTAAAAGTGGAAATAATTTTTATGATTATTTTGCCTCATTATAGATCATTTAATAATATTTTAAGTTATATCAAATGGCTAGATCATTAGAGAGTGAGTTTTCACGTTCTTTTCTTTTTGCCGCGAATACTTAAACATATAACGATCTGCGCGGCGCAGATGCACCGTTGTCATATCTGTAATGCAAATATTAGGTTACATTTCTATGAAATGGAGTATTTTACTCCATTTAGCATTATAAGCGGATTAAAAATAAAAAATATCAAATAAATATGAAATTTCGTCAAATTTATATCTTTTACAAGGTTAATATGGGTATTAAAATTTCTTAGAGTATTGTGAATTGAAATATAAATAATCAGTTCAAATGACATTTTGATATCAGCCTTTATCATAGAGAAACGTGACAACGTTGAGCTTTGAGAGATTCCGGCGACAGATTCATCAGAATCAACGCGGGTGTTTTTGTAATTCTCAATCGCGATTCACCGTGGAGTCGAGTAAGAGCTAAAATGGCGTCAGCCGAGAATATCAAGCGTTTTTAATTAAATCATTTATTAATAAAATACAAAAATGCCACGACCTAAACGTTCAGTAAGTTTAATAATGTGATTATTTCTGTTGTTTGTGTTGCAAAAATAAAAATCAAATATTTATATACTTATATAATTAATTTAATATGATCCGCGCTCTTGACATCCGGAAAAAAAATTTAACGTCGGAAGTCATGCTCTTGTCAATTCTTACTTGCGCATTTACGCATTCGCGGTTTTTATACATTGTCGCGTGGTTCCTGATTAATAAAACTAATCATTTCCGTTTTATTCAATCGATTTAATTTTGATAAAAAATTTTATTCAATATTTTATAAACTACGATTTGTGAGTGTGTTTTTTTTTTTGAATGTTTAAATAAATTTGGATAAATATTATCGAATTATGATTAAAAAAATATAATTTATGTTGTGTTATTAAGTGATTTAAATTATAATGAATATTTCTAATGGAAAATATTATGAATTGATAGCGTTTGCAACGTGCTTTTTGAGATGTTTATTGTAACATTCATTGAAAAAAAAAAGTGAATTTCACCCCTGTTCCCGCCCCTCATAGTAGCGCTGCCGTCTCTCTATGTCTTATTTCTTTCTTTCGTCAACTCGTCTGCCAGTCGCGCGTTTTTATTTCCTATCAGCATTCGTGTGATCGTATTGATATTATTAATTAACTATTTTTTATAAAATTTTTATATAATTTCGGAGTAATAGTCATTCGACATACATTGTTGTTGTATATTATTCTAATAACAATATCGGAGCAAGCTTAATATAAAAAAACGTGCATTAAAAAAAAAAATAGTTTTTTGTATTAAACAAATAGTTGTCAACATTTAAGTGACTATGCAGTTCGATTAATAATTAATCGTTGAAAAAATAATAACCCAACAGTGTCTTATTAATTATTATAAATATTTTCATGCAGGTTTGGAGCTAAACATTTGATACATAACCTTTTTGTAGTGACGCGTTTAATATACATAAAAATTAAATAACTAAAATAACCTTATAAAATTATTAATATGATTATATTTATTTTATTATAATTTAAATACTCGTAAAAATTATTGATTTATCGAAAGAAAATTGTTTTTTCTATCATATTCTAGAAACTCTAATTTTATTTTTTTTTTCTGCTAGGCTGGAAAAAAGTATAAGGATGCAATGAGTGATGAAAGCAGCGGAAGTGATTTTGATGATGATGAAGATCCAGATAAAATTGAAGTTCCTGGTAAAATTTTACTCATAAAATTTATGAAGTATAAATGAATCTGATTTAATTATATACTACGTTATCAATTATTTATTAGGAGGAGGAAAAGATCTTGCAACTGCTGCAGGAATTGCTAACATAAAGGAAGAAAATAATATTTCATCTCCTGATGCAACAAAAAATCTTGGAACAAATGGTTTGTTTGCAATTAATTAAATGTATATTTATAAAAGTAATTTTATTATTATTAATTTGAATTAAATAAATAGCAATGCAGAAAGGAGCAAAAATTCCTGAAGGTTTAGTCATGAAGACTCCAGTTCCAGGATATGAAGTAGTAAGGTCTGGTGGTTCCCAAGGAAATATGCAAGGTTTTTCAAATGCTAATCAAATGAATCAAATGGGTCAATTTGGTGGCAGTGGACCTTTTCCTAATTTTTCTTCAAATCTTGCATCTTTGGCAAACTTGAATCCAGCTGCTCTTCTACAAAGTAAGTTAATAATTCAATAAATATTATAGTTAAACATCAATACCTATGATAAACTGATAATTATGAAATTGAATAGCAATGGATATGGGCAATTTTATGAATAACGTCATGAATATGGCTAGCATGAATATGGGTGGAATGAATCCATTTGTACAATTTTTAAATAATTCTGGCCTTCATCCGAATTGGGCATCTAGTCTTCCAGGTATATAAATATTAGTTGAAAACAAATATTTCGATTATTTTCAATAAAATGTATTTTAAAAATTATTTTAGGAAAAGCTGTTTCACAACTGTGGATGAATGCTATGGATCCTACAAAAATGATGCAGCCAACTATTCCGGAAGAAGAAGAAGTTGACGATGAAGAGATGGGTGTTGCAGAAACTTATGCCGACTATATGCCAACAAAATTAAAATTAGGCCGTAAACATCCTGATCCAGTTGTTGAAACTGCATCATTATCTAGTGTAGAACCTACTGATGTGTGGTATAAAGTATCCATTCCTGAGGAAACAATAAAATCCGGAGCTCTTTCTGCCTTGCAACTGGAATCGATTACTTATGCGTCCCAACAACATGAACATTTACTTCCTGATGGTACACGTGCTGGTTTTCTTATTGGTGACGGAGCTGGTGTTGGTAAAGGTCGAACTATTGCAGGAATAATATTTGAAAATTACTTAAAAGGACGAAAACGTGCCATATGGGTATCTGTTTCAAATGATTTGAAATATGATGCTGAACGAGATTTAAAAGATATTGGAGCAGGGAAAATTGAAGTTCATGCTCTAAATAAATTTAAATATGCAAAAATTTCATCAGCAGCTAATGGAAATGTTAAGAAAGGTGTAATATTTAGTACATACTCGGCATTAATTGGAGAATCTTCACAGAGTGGTGGAAAGTACAAAAGTCGATTAAAGCAACTACTTCAATGGTGTGGAGAGGATTTTGACGGTCTAATTATATTTGATGAGTGTCATAGAGCAAAAAATTTATGTCCTACAGGCAGTTCAAAGCCTACAAAAACTGGTCTAACGGTTTTGGAGCTTCAAAATAAATTACCAAAAGCACGTGTTGTTTATGCTAGTGCTACAGGAGCATCAGAACCACGAAATATGGCATATATGGTCCGATTAGGAATGTGGGGTGAAGGAACACCTTTTCCAGAATTCAATGATTTTATCACTGCTGTAGAAAAACGTGGAGTTGGTGCTATGGAGATCGTAGCTATGGATATGAAATTGAGAGGCATGTACATCGCTCGACAATTAAGTTTTCACGGTGTAGCATTTAAAATTGAAGAAGTTCCTTTATCTAAAGAATTTACAAACATTTATGATGCTTCAGTAAGACTGTGGGTTGACGCGATGCAAAGGTTTCACGAAGCAGCTGAGCTAATTGATGCTGAAAACAGAATGAAGAAAACAATGTGGGGTCAGTTTTGGTCATCACATCAGCGATTTTTCAAATATCTTTGTATTGCAGCTAAAGTTAAACATGCAGTAGCTGTAGCACGTGAAGCTGTTAAATGTGGAAAATGTGTTGTAATAGGTCTTCAATCGACTGGAGAAGCTAGAACACTTGAACAACTTGAACGTGATGATGGTGAATTAAGTGATTTTGTTTCTACAGCTAAGGGTGTATTACAAACCTTAGTAGAGAAACATTTTCCAGCTCCAGATCGTAATAGAATTCAACGTCTTCTTGGTTTAGATCCACCAAAAATACAAGCAACAATACCTGAAGAAGAAACAACAGTTACAACAGCTGGTGGAAGTAAAAGAAAACCAGTACGACAAGCAGCTCAACGAGCATATAAAAAAGTACGTGGATGGTCATCTGAGGAAGAAAACACCGATGAAGATAGAAATGGTGGTCATAGTTCAGGTTCAGAATTTAAGTTAACCGGAACAGAAAGTGAAGACGAAAATCGGTCTGAGAATGAAAGTAATGTTAGTTCAGATTTTAATCCATTTTATTCTGATAGTGATTCTGATGCAGACCCTTGGGACAGAAGAAAGAAAAAAGGTGGAAAAAAAGCCAAGAAACCAGCAAAAAAGAAACTTAGTACACAAGATAAAATTCAATCAATGTTGGCTCTTAAAACAGCTTCACAACGAAATACTAAACGAAATGGAGATACTGTAACTGGAGTACAGGGTATTAATGTATCTGGCCGACCAACAGCTGGAGCACCTCCTCGTGATGCAATTGAACGAGCTTGTAGTATGAAAGAGGAATTATTAGCACAAATAGAAGCTCTGGGAGAACAGTTACCTCCTAATACTCTCGATCAACTTATAGATGAACTAGGTGGTCCTGAGAATGTTGCAGAAATGACTGGTCGAAAAGGTCGTGTTGTTCAAACAGAAGACGGTGCAATACAATACGAATCTCGATCAGAAGTTGATGTTCCTTTAGAGACACTGAATCTTACTGAAAAACAACGATTTATGGATGGTGAAAAAACAGTAGCTATAATTTCAGAAGCTGCTAGTAGTGGTATATCTTTACAAAGTGATCGTCGTGCTCGCAATCAAATGCGACGTGTTCATATTACTCTTGAACTTCCTTGGAGTGCAGATCGTGCAATCCAACAATTTGGACGAACTCATCGTTCAAATCAAGTAAATGCGCCAGAATATATTTTTCTTATATCTGATTTGGCTGGAGAAAGACGATTTGCATCCACTGTAGCTAAACGTCTTGAGAGTTTAGGAGCACTTACTCATGGTGATCGACGTGCAACTGAAACTAGAGATTTATCACAATTTAACATTGATAATAAATATGGACGTTCTGCATTAGAGGCTACAATGAAGACTATAATGGGTTATGAAGCACCATTGGTACCACCTCCTCAAGATTATCGTGGTGATTTCTTTAAAGATATTGCTGATGCTTTAGTGGGTGTTGGTTTGATATGTAATAGTGAAAGTACACCCGGTATTCTTTCACTTGATAAAGATTATAATAATATGTCGAAATTTTTAAACAGAATACTAGGAATGCCTGTAGATTTACAAAATCGACTGTTTCAATATTTTACTGATACTCTTAATGCTATTGTAACTCAAGCTAAAAAAACTGGTCGTTTTGATATGGGTATTCTTGATCTTGGTACTTCTGGAGAAAATGTGCATCGTGTTAAACTTTATCGATTTATGCGAAAGCATGCCACAGGTACAGCTCCAACAGAGTTACATGTGGTACACGTTGAGAGAGGCATGAGTTGGTCAGAGGCTATGGAACGATGGTCAGCATTGACCGGAGCAAAAGAAGGATTTTATTTAAGTCATCAAATTAGAAATGGAAAACAAACAGCTATTTTAGCAATAGCTGTTGATAATGGTAAAAAGAAAATTGAAAGTAAAAAAGATCAATTGTATATGGTTTATAGGCCAAATACTGGATTACAATTAAGACAAGAAACTCTTGGTGAGCTTGAAAAAAAATATAAAAAAGTTTCGTCCGAAGAGGCTGAAACACATTGGACTCAACAATATGATGCTTCAGTGGATACATGTTCACATGCATATTGGCGAGGAAATTGTAAAAATGTTACTGTTAACATGGACTGTGAAGTTGGATTACGTCGACGATCTTATAATGTTCTTGCCGGCTCCGTTTTAAGTGTTTGGAGTCGCGTTGAATCTATTTTAGCTACTCGTTCCGGTCATAATTCAAAAATGCAAGTTATTCGCTTACGAACAGGTAAATTTATTCGCTTAAAGAACTCTACTTTATTTTACTTTATTATTTATTATTAGAAATGTTATTTAATAATAATAAATATTTTTTTCTGTAGATGATGGCTTAAAAATTGTTGGAACATTGATTCCTAAAGCTTGTATGGAAACATTATGTGAAGCTCTCTCTTCCGATGCTGAAAAAACAGAAGAACAAGTATTTTGAACGTCCGATTGTTCATAAGGTAATTTTAATACTTAAAAGGTAAATCAAATGATTATGTCACAGGATTATTTATGATATATGATTGTTTTTTTAGGTAACACAAGATCCAAGACTGCCAGGCATGTAATATCGGAAGAAAAAAAATGGTAAAATTAATTATTTGAAGATTATTTAAAAATGCAATTATTAAAAAAAATACTGAGGCACAATAATAAGTCGTACGTTTCGTAAAATTCATTAATAATATAATAGAATTAATCATTGAATCTACGGCTTAATTAAAATGCCTGCACAAACCCAAAAATAAAATAGATCCTCCGGCAGTATATTGCTATGAAGTAAGACCATTAACACATTACGATGAAATTGTTATTATAAGTTTTATCGGATTATTTCATTTTAGATGTTACATTCTTCTTTAAATTATTTTACCACAATTAGAGTTTGCATAAACACATGAAATTCATGTTAAACAATTATATTATATAATATTGCCTCTTTCTAGTATTTTTTAATCAATTTTTAGCCTTAGGTACACATTATTAATGAATGATTCATTTTATATTTATTCGAAAAAATAAAAAAAAAACCTAATGGTCGTTAATGAAATTTATGAAGAGGCTTTTTTTTGTTGATTTTTTTGTCTATTTTTTTTTATTCGAAAAATTCCATTTTTGCCTGACTGGTGATAGTAATAATAGTATTTCGTGACATTTTTATTCAATAATAAACAGTCTTTTGGCTGCAAAAACTGCTAATTAAAAATTAGCATTTACCCTTATTATTAGTTTATTATTATGAGAAGTTACAAAAAAATTAATTAAAATAGTAATTAAATCAGTTTTAGTAACCTCATATTACTATAATTACAAACATTTTTAGTGATTAGATTCAATTATATTACATAATATATTTATATCGAAAAATTAATTCAATAGTATAATGGTACACTCTACATTTATGCGTATTTGTCTTATTATTTGATCAATTGTCCCAATGTAAGTTATAATTTTAATATAAATAATAATTATAAAACAAATACATGTTCAATAATTAAATGGAGTTTTTTAAAATGTATACGAGGAATTTAAAAATAGAAATTCCTAAAAATAATATTCATTTACTCATAAACGCAAGTATTTATTTACTTTTCTTTATAGAAATATCATAGATTGATATATTAATAAATCATACTATTTCGTTGTCATTCAATAAAAATAAAAAAATGTGAAAAGATAGTAATAATTATCAGGACATATTACATATCTGATATTACAAAACAAAACATTAATTGTACACACGCTTTATTAAGATTCAATTATCCTCATCCATCAATTCTTATATAGCATATTAATAATATAATAAAGAAAATTAATATTATACATATATACAATGTATGTGTGTATACTGTATACATGTATAAATGTATTCGTAAAATGTCAAGCTAATATATTATCTAGCTAATATCCTTAATTGCACTGCTTTTCAATTTATCATGTTACCAAAAGTATTAGATATTCCATTCAAAAATCAAATCTAAAAAAGAATATTATACATTTCTAATTTACAACTGTTAATTATTACGATAATCTGTTTTATTTAATTATTACACACTAAATCTTTTATTAAATATTTAAATATTATCGTATAAAATATATGTACAGTCGTATTCTGTGCTTATGTTTCTCCTTCATTTTATTTACTTCATTTTTATTGATAATCAGCTGAATCCTTCACAGCCTTTTAACATGATATTTAAAAAGAGCACAGCATTGAAAATTTTACTTTTGTTGCTAGAAAATTTCACTTAAATTGTTAGAATAAGTTTAAAAATCTTACTTTAAAAATTAAAATGATGAATATTTAATGAAAAGCATAAAGAAGCATCAAAAAAGTGCAAAATCCGATCAGAAGTCCAAGAATCAATGAATCTCGTCTTTTACGTAAGTTTATCCTTTGTACTAAACTATTAACCAAGGGAAATCGATTAGAAAGATCATTGAATCGGGTTTGGATTTTTTTAAAAGTCTGTCTTTGTGTTACTAAATGATCTCGTGTTTCCATTGCAATACTTATTTGGTCATTAATTAGCCGGTCAGAACTGAAATAAAATATATTATTTTTTTATTTAAGTAGTCCTCATTTATGATACTTTCGTGTTCAATTAAATACTTACTTGTGTATGTGCTGATTTTCCTTTAAATACATGTCTCTTCGATTCAAACCACTTGCATTTTTGTAACTACTAGTAAAAAAGTGAAATATTATTAAAACAAAATTATTCATTATGTTCATTCATAATCACGATATTTTTTATTAATATCAAGACTTACTCAATCTCTTTGCGTACACTTCCTAATAAATCTTCTCTATCTTTTCGGCTAGCGAAATTATTCTGGATTTTATTAAATTCCAATTTATAATCCTTCAAAATTTCTTTATGTCTTTGCATTGTATGTAGCATTGCTGCTCCATTAGGTTGAATACTACTCATTCTTTCATTCACATCCATTAGCTAATAGAAACAAGATTTGATTAATTTAATTTATGTTTGTAAAAAATTTTTAACAATAATTTAACTGAGTTGATCACCTTGGCTAATAAAGATTCAATTTCTGATGTCATATTTTCAAAAACATGATCCTCATCAAGAAGTGGAACAGTTTCAACTTCTGATCGACTGGGCCCACTATTTAGACCGAGTTTACTATAAGCTACTAATTTAGCATCAACGTCATTTTCCAAATGTCTTGCCTGTTTTCGAAGTTCTGTAAAAAAATAATTTCATTTATTACATATACGCTAATTCCAATAAATGTCTAAAATATGAATAATCATTATTGTTGTTGCTTATTTACCTTCCCAATCTGTAGCATCATTACTTTTCGCCATTTTCTTCTAAATAAATAAAATATCGCAAAATAAATTATTTTTCAATTATTATCGTTATTAATAATAATAAACTAATACGTATGTATAAATGTTATCGTGATGATGACGAGAAATATGTATTATCTCTTTTAATACTTGGAAATTTATCTGTCAAGAATGTTGAAAAAGTAATTTTGGTTGAGTGCTCGAGAGGTCACTTGTTGAGTGATCAATCACTATATCACTTTACGAATTTGACTACAATTTGTGAAGTAAAGTAAAAAGATGGCTAGGCAATATTAAATTTTGTAAACTTAGGAAAAATTTATTAAATTATTAGTCAATTTTAAATAATTAATATCAATAGTGTGTAGTTTAATAAATAAAAATTAGAGCTTTTGTTATCTGTTGTTGAGTTTCATCTAGGAATATAATAAAAAATCGTTTCAACAGATATTTTTTTGAATATTCGAATGCACTAGTGTAATACATGTATCTACTTTTGAGAGTATAAACTAAAAAAACGCGCTCATGACTACTGCCGAGTGTGAAATAAATTTTTATTAAATTTAAAGTTAACTTATAGCATAGAGAAAGATCAATTATACTTAAGTATTCATACAGATTTTTTATTAAAAATTGTTGTTTATGTCAGCATAATGATCCAATATTCTTTTGAAAATAATTTATTACTCCAAATTACAGTATAAGCCTATATAGTTCAATTCTAAACTAATTTAACATTACAATACATTCATCATAAATTTTTCTCAAACACATTTGGCTGTAATATAAATTAAAATACTATCTTTCTATTTTGTGACAATAAAAAATATTCATAATGGTAAAAGGTATGATTTGAATTATTTAAATTAGATTATTTAAAACTTTAATTTAAGTTTATTTTTCTAATCAGGTTATATTTTCTAATGATGTTTAATTACAGGAAGGCGAAAGCGTGCGCCAGTCGTAACAAATACTGTCACGGCTAAACAATCATCAACTGAAGCTAATGATTTAATTATTTCACCATTTAAAAAAGAAATAAAATTAGAAAAAAATCCAATTGATGAAAAAAAAAGTGGAATAAAAACTAGAAATCGAGTAACAAACTCAAAATCATCTGTTTCTATTGCATCATATTTTCCATTGAAGGTAATCGAACATATTATCTCTAATGATAAAAACTATTTTATTTTATCATTATTTGTATTAAGATAAATTATTTTTTAATTTGTAACGACAGGTTGAAGATGTTGATGCCAATATGTCTAAAGCAAGTTCATTATCAAATTGCATTTCTGCAGATCAAGTATTATTGAAGAATGAAGAAAATATCAAATCGGAATTAGAAGATATTGTTTCAATTAAAGAACTCTTTAAAACCGATGGTAATGAGAGTTTAATTAATATTTAAATTTATTTATGTAAAGTATTTTGTATTAAATTATCTTTTTTAAATTATTAGAAACACCAGTAGCTGTACCATGTCAAAATTCATCTACTCCACATCGAATAAATATGCCAAATATCCAGATTGATGACACCGATAAAGCTTTCGTTCATAATACAGATGATATAAAAATTCCTGAATCGGTGAATGCAATAAAACCAGTTGGAAAAAAAAATGCTGGACGAAGCCGAGCTAAATTAAAGTTCCATTCTCCAAAAAATAAACCGACAGATTCTGAAATAGTAAATGCCAATCACAAAGTAACTGAGTATTTTCCAGTACGTCGGAGTATTCGTAAATCTAAAAAGACTGTGCTTGAAGAAAAGCAACGATTAATTGCAATGAAGGTATTGAGTCAAACAGAAGATGGTCTAGAGGTTAGACATTTTGTTGGTAAAGGACGAGGAGTGGTAACTACCAGAGAATTTTGTAAAGGAGAATTCGTAGTTGAATATATTGGAGAGTTAATCGATCAAACGACTGCTAAAAAACGTGAAGCTGAATATGCTAAAGATCAAAATACTGGCTGTTACATGTATTATTTTCAACATCGTAATCAACAATATTGGTAACTATTTACCTGATATTCATTTTCATTAATTAATTTTAATTTAATTGCAAATAATTTGTTTTTTTAATTGCAGTGTTGATGCAACAGCAGAATCTGATAAGTTGGGTAGACTTGTTAATCATAGCCGGAATGGAAATTTGATAGCTAGAGTTGTTGAAGTTGAAGGTATTCCTCATTTAGTGCTAACCGCAAAGGAGGACATTCCCGTTGGAGTTGAATTAACTTATGATTATGGTGATCGAAGCCGTGAATCAATTCGTAATCATCCATGGCTAGCTTTATAACCGATATTAAATTTGTTAGAAAATTTTAGTTTCACAATCTTGACTGAAACCATACTTCTTCGCTCGTATTTTATTAATGTTGTTACCATATTGTATATATGTGAATAACAACAATTACAGTATGAATAATTAAATTTATCGAAGAAAATATATTAATGTACAAATGAAGCGAAGACCAAGTTTTAGAGTTGGAGCTATGAATATTAACATTCAAAAAATACAATATGTTTTTTAGATAAATACGTATGTAGAATTATCATCTTAGATATTTTACTATGCATAATGATCATTTAAATAGTACAATAAGGCATAGATAATGACAAATCAATTTATTGAGGTAAAAAATAGTATGTTTGAATATTTAATTCGTGAAAACTGATCTTTAAATAATCAATTATTATTTTAAATTATATACTCACTATTCATGTAAACATTTGATAATTTGTGAGAAATTCATTGAGTATTTGATTATTTTGCACTGCCAAATGTAAATGTTTTCATATAAAAATTTAAAATTAATTCTTTTTGTTATTTTAAGATAACGAGTTTACAAATAATTAGTTTAGATACAATATACATTTACATTTATAGTATTGTTATTTTTAATCTATTTTAAAATTACTAAGATTACAAACTGCCTTCAAAAATATTGTAATTGGTATATGTGAATTATTTATTTTCTCATCGCTTAGTTGAAACAAATTAATTATAAATAATCATTATTTTATAAAAATAAATGTAATATAAAAATATTTAATTTATTTTCATTAATAAACCATTTTTAATAATTAAATAATATCAAAGTATTTTGAAAATTACCGCCATTGTTTTAGTTTATATTTTAATTCACAAATCACAACATCGATTAGATGGCTCTTGCATAACTTCTTTGTCGTGCAAGAGCTTTCTCGCTGTTTTCGTAATAATCGATTCAGGGTTTGGAGCATTTTTGAGTGTTCATAGCTCTCGGAATAAACGAATATAATGTCAGACCAGTAAGTACTATAATTTTATCAAAAATCTCTAAAGCTAATAAATAGTTTAAATACATTTATAAAGAAAAATATCCCATCATTACTTTATTATTTTATTTTGCATTGTAATGTTTTGAGGCAAATATTTATAACAAGGTATCAATACTAAAGGTTAGAATGTTCACTTGTAACAATATGATAAAATTGCACAGTGTTTTTTCAATTTATTAACTAAATTTATCTAACTTATTAGAGTTGCTGTCTTTGTTGTTTATATAGAGACGATACTTTACTGGATGAAGATCTTGGGGATGAAGAATATGACCTTGGTAATGATGAGGAAGAGGCACTTCTGGCAGATGACTGTGATATTGATAGGGTGAGCTAGAAATTTTAAATGCCCATAATCAAAGGATTATAAATGCCAAATGATTAAATATATATATAATTTCTATAAGCATTTACAGTATTACAGCTACTTTTTAATCATGATATTAAGTTATGATTTAAAAAGTTTATCCAAAAATGATGATTTTCGCCTTGACAATGAAAATTCCCTTTTTTTTATTGTAAAATTTTTGTGTCAATCGTGAAATTTTTATAAAAAATATGAAACTGCAAGCGAAATCATTTGTATATTAGCTAGGATATATCTTCCGAACAGTATTAGCATGAATGGGTGTATTATTATTATTGATGAATATTTATTAATAATTATAATGAAAATCAAATTGGTCTCGTTCTGTCAACCTAAAATAACGTTATTCAACAATATCGTCACAACTTAAAAATATTATAAATAAATCCTTTTATTTATATTAAATATATGCCATTGTAAAGAGCTACAATTTTTAATTAAAGCCGTTCTAAATGAAATTACCAACAAGTTCAACCATACCAAAAGAACAACTCAAAGAAATTTTAAAGAGAATACTAGAACAAAAAATATTATAAAATAGATAAAAACGCCAAAAAAAAGTTCAATAATGAAAGAGTGATTTTTACACAATAATGTTTCATTCCAAATCTTTGAATAACATTCCGACAATGACCATAAATCTGTTCAAAATGTCAATAGACAAAAAAACTTTCTATAAAATGAAAAATCTAACAGGGGAAAAGAGTAAAAATATCTCATAAATACATTCACATATAATCAATATCAATACTATTCTTACTTTCTTTTCCTCTGTCGGCTGTATTTAAAATAGCGATATGAACTTATTGTATTATTATTATTTAAGATTTTAAAATAAGCATTCTAAGCTTTCCAATGCCATATCTATCTTATAAATAATCTCTCTTATTCTGTTAAATACGGGCGCGATCTTAAAATGTATGTTTTAAACTGATGTAATCGAAAATTTTCTATATACAGTAGTATAAAGTATAACACATTAATATTAGATTGGTTTCAAAGTTTATTAAACTTCAATGTTAAATTAATTATATTATGTGTTTGTTTTGAATTATTAAATACATTATATACTTTATGCTACTATGTGCGATTATGCGAAACTGACTGCTGTATTTTCTATAAAAAAAATGGAAGTAATTTTTTATAATTACAATATTTCGAAAACGTTTAACTGATTTTCTTATAAATATAAAATAAAAATGTTTATTAAATTTTCATAAAAGACAAAATAACATAAATAGATAACAACATTATCTCATCTTAATCCCTTTTGATTATAATATAATTATTTCTTAAAATTGATAGAAAAATTTTTAAAATATATGTTATATAGAAGAAAAAACAAATTAGCAATTCAGAAAATTATTACTGTTGTCTTTTAATACATGATGTGTGTTAGTCATTTTTAAATGTCGATAAATATCGGATATTTTTATACAGTTATATTTATTGATAGATATATATTTCACATTATTATTAAGCATAAATGTTAATAATAATAATAGATTAAATAATGTAAAGACATATCACAAAAAATTAAATCAAGAAGCAAATGTTTTATTTCAAATATTTGGCAATTTAATTCTCGAGCAGCAGAATAGCTATAAGGGAGAAGAGGAAACCGATGACGTACTGGATTTAGGAGTCACGGATGCACTTGATGATTTAGATGGCGAAGAAGAAAATGTTGAGTTTAGAAATCAAACTGATAACTATAATCAAAATCATTGTTATAATGATCCAAATACCAATTGTCATTATAATTATTATGAACAAGAAGAACATGAACAGTATAAAGAAGATCATACTCAACGATTTCAAAATAATCCTGCTAATTTAGAAGCGAATGTTAAGAATCCATTAGCAACTGGAGATTTGCGTGAAAAATTACAGAAGAATGTTCAACGCATTATCCCTAAAGGAGATAAAATGGAGGATGACGATCCTGAAGAAGCCACGGAAAGGAGAAATCGGTTTCAAAATGAAAGGACAATAATTTCACCAAAGATGAACAACAAGATTCCGGACTCGTTGGAGAACGTGGTCACTGCAGAACAAGTACGACCTGCATTCAGAGGTCGAGGACGAGGTCGAGCCTCTAGAGCACGAGGTGGTAGATTTAGTGTTCAAACTAATTACAATCCAAGGTATGTTTAAATTATATTGATTGATACATATTTCATTCTATTTTTATTAATATTTTTTATGAATGAAATAGTTTTGATAAATGACACATTCAAAGTTATTTTTACTCATTGTTATTCTAACAGATTCAGTGGCAGAGGTCCTGCTTACGAAGAACAAAATCCACAATTTAGACCTCTTGTAGCTGAGACACGTCCACCACTATTTCCAAATGGACCACCAAATATGATCAATTTACCAATAATGTATCCACAGGGACATCCAGTTCCACCTCCGCCTCCACCTCGCTTTCAGCAATTCTCTCAGGGCCCTCCGCGACCAATAGGACAGCATTTTAATGAGCCAGGAGTTCAAGTATTATTCAATCAATTCCCAGGAGTTGCTCAAGGTTCAAGAATGTCAAATCCTAGAATGGACTTTAGGCCAAGAGCTCCTGGACCTAGATTTCATACTCCACCTAATCAGCCTGCATTTATACAATCGCAACCACCTCACTTTCAACCTCCACGGCTACCTCATGGTCCAGAAGGTATAATGCCATCTAATAACCATGAGCCATTAATCTCAGGAGCCCAGAGTGGATCATCGCTTCTTGGGTTGGGTCCGCATTTACCTAGTGGTCATCCTCCTAGAGCTCAAGGTCCACCCATGCATTCAGGCCATCCAGGACACCCACAAGATCGCCCGAATGGATTGATGCCACCGAATTATTCTCGTCCATCAGGACCAAATCATGGACCACCAATGCCTAATCATTCAAATGCACCAGCGAACACTCAACCGAATTTTGAAAACCGTGTGCCATTTCAAGGTCCTCGATTTGAAGGGGCCAATATGTATAATGTGCGTCCACCATTTAACAATCCGCCGACTCAATTTAATAATCCTGTACCAGCTGGAATTCAACCTCAAGTACCAACGGTTTCCGGTCCACCGCTCCCACAAGGCCATAAAATTCTTATTAATCCTCACTTTAGAGGTAACCCACAGCCTCCTGATGGTAAATATTCTCTTTTTTCCGAATTTAATTATGATGATCTAAAGACTCCAAATACTTACGTCGTATATCTCTAGGCCGATCATCATGGAATGGTACACCCCAAATTCCTAATGAACAGTTCGCGCATCCTTCAACGTCTTATCAAAATCAAAACATGTATAATCAACCATCTAATAATCCATCTATAAATCAAGATTATCAAAATAATTATTCGCAAACCAAAAATGATGTAAGTTTAATGAATTATAATTGCAATAAATTATTATTTTTACCTAAAATGTATATAATAATTTTATATTTTTAATTTTTAGGATCCTTATGCTTATTTCTCCGATGTTTGGCAAGAAAATAAAACATCAAAACCAAGAAGTCTTAGTCCTTCATTGAAATCCTTATTAGGAGATAGTAATTATTCTCGAGAGAGTGGCTACAAAGATTACGATAGTAAATATAAATCTGATAGTCGAGACAATTATCATGAGGTTTTTATTTTTTTCACTTTTTATTGTGGTAATTATTATAGTGATAAAGAAATTTATTTACAATATTTGTTTTTTTAGGATCAAAAATATCGAGATCGAAGTCCACCACCGTCGCGGTCGAGAGAATACTCACAAAAATCTCGATCACATCAATCGAGTAATTCTTATCATAATGATTCTTATGATGATTATAAACCATCAAGTTCTTCAAGTAGATCATCAGCAAGAACAGTACAAAAACGTAGCCCTGAACCAGTTGATAAATCATCTAAAGATGTTAGCCCTAAACGAAGTAAACTTGGTAGTAGAAATCACCCAGATGATTCGACAAAAACTGCATCAAATGAACACTCAAAAAATACAGTGGTGGGTGGAGGATAATCGTCAAATATTTTTTTTGTAAAGCTATCAGTTATTATATTTACTTTATTGAATTTACAGGAAGAAGAATTAGATCCAGAAATGAAAGAATATCAGAGAAAACTTGAGGAACAAAAACGCCTTCGGGAAAAGATTTTACAAGAAAAAGAAAATAGGCGAAAACAAGCTGCTATGGGAAAACAGATAGAAGATTCGAAAGATCAAAAAGTTGTTGCTGGTATGGATTATATTAATAATTGTAATGACACAATTGTATTCATATGAGTTATTAATTTACTAAAAATAATATCATTACAGATACTCAACAAAATAATAAATTAACTACTAGTTGTGGAAATAAAGATGCAACAATAGAAAAAACCAGCCAAACAACAACTGCTCGTGGAAAGACTTGTTCAAGTAGTGCACTCATTACCGAGGTAGAGACTTGAATAACTTTTATTTTGTTTATCCAAACAATAATAAATTATGACTGATTCAATATTTAAATACTACGATTTTATGAATAGTATTATCTTAATTCATAAACTGTTTTAATTTTTACTATATTTTGATGATAAAGAGAAACAATGGGTTTTTTAATTAATTGATAGAAAATTTATACAGAATTTTTACACGAAAAAAAAATCATTTTAATATGATTGCTGAATAAATAACATGTTTCCTGTATTCTTTTTATTTTGATTAAAATACATTATTTTTTTTATCTATTTAGTTTTTTTGTTTCCTTAAGCTTAGTAAGTTAAAATAAATAATTTTGTTATAGGATGGAGAAAAAGTTACTAGAATTGTCCGTACAATTCTTACAACAGATAAAGATAAGAAAAATGAAGAATTAATGAATAATAATCAACTTGAAGGACAAAAAAAGTCATTTGCTCAACAATCAAGTAATCGTCGAGTTGTTATTCAGAAACCTTTATCAAATACACAACGAATAGTTACAATTTCTAAAACTAATACAAATCTTCAGAAATCTCCATCATCTAAATCACAAAATTCATTACAAAATGTACCGAATAAAACAACAATTATTTCAAAGAGTACAGCAAATAGTAGTTCCAAGAATGTTGTAAAAGAAGTTGCTAAGACTCTTCGTAAAGTTATTGTGAGCAACGAAAACTCAACTAATCCTAAAAAAATTATTTCAACTAGTCAGAATAATCAAAGGATTGTTGTACAGAATAATTCTAAACTCAATACTGTCATTGTTGAAAACTTAGCTGCTAGTACTACTGAAGCACGAATCCGTCGAATGTGTGTAGGAATTGGAAAAATTGAGGTAATAAAATAAAATTAATTAAATAATTGAAATATAAATAATGATTTTAATATATTTCTTTAGAGTATAACAATGGGTGATAGTACGGCAACGATAGTTTTCAAAACACACTCAGCAGCAATGGTATTTCAGAAAAAGTACGAACGGAAGATGATTGATTTATCAATGATAAATGTACGACTTGTTTCTCAAACTAATCTTAATCAATCCACAAATGTTACTATTAAAAAATAGTAATTATTTTTGTCTTATACAAGAACAATATATTTTTTTCTTAGTTATTAAAAAATACATGCATTAATATACGTTATTATAAGAATATTCTCTTACTAATTTTGCAGTGTATTTAATCGCTAGAATTTAAAAAAAAAATCCATTAATTTGTATATATATATAATGCATTTTGGCATGAAATGGAGCATATTAAAGTATATATGTATATAATATGTAAAAAATTTATAAATACAGCGTATTGTATGATTAAAAATTATGTATATTTAAAGTGAATAGTTTAAGAATTCTTCGATATTTGATTATTTGAAAATACAAACAAACAAACAAGATGTAGCTTTGAATTGGCGGGTTTTTAGTCTAAGAATTTAATATTTTAACTTTCCTAGAAATCCTTTCCTAGAAGCTTTTTTTAATAACTTATTCATACTGACCATATTTTTATTCAAATTATAAACTATGAAAAAAAATGAATAAATTTGTTACTATTTTTATGCAAAACTATTTGATAGATATATGTTTATTTTTCTTTCTCAATAAAACTCGTCCGTTTTTACACAGCATTTACTATATGTATACACACACTGAAGAACAATAGTATCTGTAATACATTTGCAGATGTCACTTTTCTTTATAACTTGATTTGATCCAACTTGATTCTTGTACTTGAACGGTAAGAATTTGATTGTCGCGTTTTATAATTGTTTAAAATTTACTGGAAAAATGATTATATAATTGAACATTTATTTTGCAGTGTGACTAGCAAATAATGGCATCTGCACAAGTCGATTGGGCAAAAGTAACTGAACAAGAACAGCTTTCAAAAAGTGTAAGTTTACTTAGCATCAATGACGTACCTAACCTAAAAATCGTTTGTCTTTTATTAAGACAAATACAGAATGCCATTAGATCTCTTAAAAATGATTTAATTATCACTGTATTATGTTTCTTTGTAGTATTTACATATTTGTTAGGAAACCCTTGACAAAACTTAACTGACTGTGCATGATACGTAATCAGTATATGGTCCTGATGATGCTTCATCATTTAAATGAAATGTTATATTTATTATTGAACATTAAAGTAATAAATAATTTTTATAGGTTACAAGTTTAACCCTCAATAATGCAAATCCCAACAACGACGATGACGGTGTTGATGGGCCAATTTCACCGGCAGAGAGATCTTTACTTCAAAAAATAATTAGAAAAGGTCTTGTTGAAACAACAAAAGATTTAGAAATACAACGTAAAGATCCATCTTCACCTTTATATAGTGTAAAAACCTTTGAGGCACTTCATCTGTATGTTTTTCAATACTTTTACAAGTTCTGCATGTGAAATTCAGTTATTTTATTCTTAATTATTATATATTTTTCACATTAGTAAACCAGAATTATTAAAAGGCGTATATGCAATGGGTTTTAATGCACCATCGAAAATTCAAGAAACAGCTTTACCTACCCTTCTAGCTGATCCGTAAGTTTAATCTTGTTTAGATAATTACTGTTTCACTATCGTGCGATTAATAAAGATTAAATTTCATTTTTCAGACCACAAAATATGATTGCTCAGTCTCAATCTGGTACAGGCAAAACAGCAGCATTTGTTCTCGCTATGCTCAGTAGAGTAGATGTGGATAAGCATTATCCTCAAGTGCTTTGCTTATCGCCAACTTATGAATTAGCAATACAAACTGGTGAAGTCGCTGCTAAAATGTCTCAATTTTGTCCGGAAATAAAAATTAAATATGCAGTAAGAGGAGAAGAAAGTAAATAGATTTTTCTTTATTTCTAAATAATGTTTTGAATCAGTTAATGATAAATATTTTATCTTTCAGTTCCTCGTGGTACAGTAATCACAGATCATATTATTATCGGTACACCTGGCAAAGTTTTGGACTGGTCGCTGAAATTTCGATTTTTCGACCTAAGTAAAATTTCTGTATTTGTATTAGACGAAGCCGATGTTATGATAGCAACGCAAGGCCATCAAGATCAGTGCATCCGTATTCACAAGTAAGTAACTTATTTGATGTGTAAATGTAAAGCTATTTATTAATACAATTTTTTCTGTATTACAGGATGCTTCCTAAGTCATCATGTCAAATGATGTTTTTCTCTGCAACATATGAACCAGATCTGATGAAATTCGCTGAATTAATCGTTAGTAATCCTTTGATAATACGATTGATGAAGGAAGAAGAAAGTTTAGATAATATTAAACAATATTATGTTCGATGCAAAAATCCTGAAGAAAAATATACTGCTATTTGCAATATCTATGGTGTGATTAGCATTGGACAAGCTATAATCTTTTGTCATGTACGTTTCTATTTTATATACATGAATGAATGCGTTTCAATGAGTATATGATTTTTAATTTTATTAATAATTTTATAGACTCGAAAAACGGCGAGTTGGCTAGCAGAAAAAATGACTCAAGATGGACATACTGTAGGAGTATTATCTGGTGACTTGAATGTTGAGCAAAGAATTGCAGTTTTGGATAGATTTAGAGCTGGAATGGAGAAAGTTCTGATAACGACTAATGTTTTAGCTAGAGGTGAATATAAAATAATTTTTTGAATAGTAAGTAATTAAAGGTTCTATAGTTATAATTGTATTTGTTAATTAGGTATTGATGTCGCACAAGTAACGATAGTTGTCAACTTTGATCTTCCTATTAACCAAAATCGAGAAGCTGACTGTGAAACATATTTACATAGGATAGGAAGAACTGGTCGATTTGGAAAATCTGGAATTGCTATAAATTTAATTGATTCACCACACTCGATGAAATTATGTCAAGATATTGAAAAACATTTTGGTAAAAAAATACATTATTTGGATGCTGAAGATGCTGAAGAAATAGAAAAAATTGGAACATAACGTGTATAAGCTTGAATGTTTTTTTTTTTTAATTTTCTAACAATTTTTCAAAAACAAAATTTACTGTCATGGCATTTTTCATGGTTAATTTACTCAATTCATAACAAATAATATAACGTGTCTTATGTAAATACTTTTTCAAGCTATACATTATGTTCTAAGTACTTTTTTTAATGAATACTGATAATGATAAAATATTATAAAATAAAGATTAAATATTAAGCAGATAAATGTAGTTTAAATTTAATTTTTATTTATACTAAGAATGAAAAATAAACAGTTGTTTTCTTCATAAAAAAATGTTCTGAACACTATAGTACGAACGAATTAACATTTTTACATTACAATTCTTAGGAATATTTTTTTTTAATAACAAAATAACAGATTTAAATGCAAGAAAAATGGAAATTCTTACAAGAAAAATATGGCTCATATGAATTTTTATAACCTTAACGTATAAAATAAACAATTCAGCTTCTTGTGCTTACATTCCTCATTCTCATGTACAAAACATTCATATCATGTCTGAAATTCTGAATTACGAAAAAGATGTTAAAAGGCAGCTTTTTCCATCATGGTAAATTACATATTAAAATGATTTATTCAATCTTAATGTAAGATTAACTCTAAATGTCAATGTTCAACGGTTTCTTAAGAGTGGCATGGCTTCAAAGAGGTAATCTCTATTTATACAAAACTTTAAATAACAGGAACTGATACATATTTTGTTGTTCATTTTAAGTGAAGCATTGTAATAACTTATATTACTATTTGAAAAGATACGTGAAAATAATTAAAATCTAATTATACAGCTAAGTTGTGATTTTCTATCAGAATCGTTGTATAGATAAAATAAATATGGATCCTGTTATTTATAAAGTTCTATCCCAGAATCACACTCAGTCTCTGAAGACGGTCATTTTTTATTTTACATTCCCATACCACCCATTCCACCCATACCACCCATACCTCCCATACCAGCCATTGGATTTGCTGATTCTTCTTTAGGAATTTCGGTAACTACAGCTTCTGCTGTTGTTAATAGTGATGCTACTCCAGCTGCATCAGTAAGTGCAGTACGAACAACTTTTGTTGGATCTATGATACCTTTTTCAATCATATCAACATATTCATTGTTCATCGCATCATAACCAAGTTTACCTTCCATCACTTTAGCGACAACAAGACTTGCATCAACACCTGCATTAGATGCAATTTGATGACACGGTTGACGTAAAGCATTTTCAACTATTTGAATACCGGTAGCTTGATCACTGTTACTTGGTTTGATATTTTTGAGAGCTGGTGCACATCTCAAAAGAGCAGTTCCACCTGAAAAATTAAAAATATAATATTTTGTCATACGTATATTTATAATTTATTTGAAGATAATAAAATATGTAAATGATAAATACCTCCAGGAACAATGCCTTCCTCAACAGCTGCACGTGTTGCATTCAAAGCATCATGGACACGATCCTTCTTTTCATTAACTTCAACCTCACTGCTTCCTCCAACTCTCAAAACTGCAACACCAGCTGATAGTCGAGCAAGCCGTTCTTGAAGTTTTTCCTTTTCATATTCAGATGTGGTCTCAGCAATTTGATCTCTGAGTAATTCAGCTCTCTTGTCAATATCTGCCTTATTACCTTTACCCTTCAAAATAAGAGTATCTTCTTTGGTAATAATAATTTCGCCTACTTGTCCCAAATCACTAGCTGTAACATCTTCAATTTTAACTAAATTAGCTTCGTCTCCAAAAACAATTCCACCTGTCGCAATTGCCATATCTTGAAGAGTTGCTTTACGATTATCTCCAAAACCAGGTGCTTTGACAGCAGCTATTTGAAGACCTATTTTAAGTCTATTGAAAACGAGTGTAGTAAGTGCTTCTCCATCAATATCTTCAGCAATAATAACCAAAGCTTTACGCATAGAGTTAGCTAATTCTAAAGCTGGAACAATACTTTGAATAGAGGAAATTTTCTTTTCACTGAAAAGAACTAATGCATCTTGAAATTCAACCTTTGCACCCTTTGTTGAATTAATAAAGTAAGGAGAAATATAACCACGATCGAATTTCATTCCTTCAATAACTTCAAGTTCATCATTGAGAGTTTTGCCATCTTTGACAGTAATTACACCTTCTTTTCCTACTTTCTTCATTGCATCTGAAATAAGTTGACCTACAGCAGTGTCTCCGTTAGCTGAAATTGTAGCAACTTGAGCAATTTCTTCAGGTGTTGTAACAGTTTTACTCAATTTTTTCAATTCATCTTTAATTGTGTCAACAGCCAACATAACTCCACGTCTAATTTCAACTGGATTAGCTCCTTTGCTAATTTTTTCAAAACCTTCCTTAGCTATTGCTCTAGCTAAAACTGTTGCAGTGGTAGTTCCATCACCAGCTTCTTCATTTGTATTATTAGCTACATCTTGTACAAGCTTGGCACCAATATTTTGGAATTTATCTTTTAATTCAATGGCCTTAGCAACAGTTACTCCATCCTTAGTGATCTTTGGACTACCCCAACTTTGCTCGATTATAACATTACGACCTTTAGGCCCCATTGTAACAGCTACAGCATCAGCAAGAACGTCAACTCCTTGCAACATTAGAGCTCTTACGTCTGGACCAAAACGTACATCTTTAGCATAAAATCTTCCTTGTAGCTGCATTTGCTTTGATGCTACAGTGCGTAACATTTTCGGTAATCTGTACATCTAAAAGTACAAGATAAAATGGTTAATTTAATTTTTTTTATCATCATGATTAAAAATACGAAAGATAAAGAAAGTATGGTTATGTATAATAGCCGCATGGAATCAAGCTTAACATGAATAATTCACAGCATCTCGATAAAGCAACTACATAATTACATTGAATAATTGAATAATATATCAGAATAAATCATTCAGTATTACTATTTAATTCAATGATCCTTTCAAAAAGGTATCAACGAAGTAACACGCTAAGCCGGCACAGTTCAATTATTTTTATTAATACTGTACTTATAGCTTAATAGCAAGAAAAAATTACAAATTTTTATTATTTCAATCTTGATAATAAAAAAATTTACCTTTGTTATGTAGATTATAGATGCTTTTGAATAAAATTGAGAAGATTTGTTGAATAATTGCAATAATACGTTTCGTGCACGTTGCTTTTCTCACAGAATGAGAATAATACGAACCTTGGTAGTATCACATGGACGATTCATCCCCTCTTTAGAATATTACCTAACATTAACTTACAACATTTTCAATTCATTCATAAGATTATTGTTTAAGTAAGAGCTAACATTGAATGAAAAAAGGTGTAACTTTTATTTTTATATTTTTTAATATTTTTTATAATAACTAAATGTCATTGTTATTAATAAATTCCTTAAAAATCATTAAAGTTCTAGAAAGTACTTTACCATTTATGACGCAATCTTGACCAAGTAACCAATCAGCTTTCATTGAACAGCACTCAAAAAGTTGGAAGCTTCCAGAAAATCCAAGGGAGATGGGAGTGCACAAGCAGAGTTAGGTTACTTCAGACAACGTGTTCGCGTGGTTACCGGTTAGATCTCCAATAGTACGCATTTTATTACTGACAATTAATTGACAATGGTAAGTAATTGATTGACTGACATTAATAATTATAATTAACTAGTATTTAATTATATCTTTCATTCATCATCATTCACAATTGATAATTCAAAAAAATATTGATTGATAGAAAAATTTCGTAGTATTGCATCTGAAGAATGATTAGTGATAAACATCTTCGACAATTTATAATAATTAATTTGATTTATTATTACAGGCAGCAGCAGCTAAAAGATTGATTCCATTGTTAGATCGAGTGCTTGTACAGAAAGCAGAAGCTATCACAAAAACGAAAGGTGGAATTGTTATTCCAGAAAAAGCTCAACAAAAAGTTCTCAGAGGTACAGTTGTAGCTACTGGACCTGGGTCTAGAAATGAGGTAAAGTTTCTTGATTTATTAATGGTGATTATCTTTAAAAATTTTTACTCCATTAATTTAAGTTTGCTCCAAATAAATAACTCCATTCCTCATAGCCTTATTCAACTGCTCTATTTTCCAATTTCACTGTAAAAATAATTTTATTTTACTTTTTTACAGCAAGGAAATCATGTGCCCATGAGCGTAAAAGTTGGAGACACTGTTTTACTTCCAGAATATGGTGGTACCAAAGTTCAGTTAGAAGAAGATAAAGAATTTCATCTTTACCGTGAATCTGACATTTTAGCCAAAATAGAATCCTAATTAACTTTTTTAAATACATTTTTAGGATCATTTCTGCAACAAAACCGTTTATTCCTAAGACAATGTTCAATGTACCAGGATTGCCATTGTATTTTCAAACATAATTAATGTTATGTTAAAGTTAAAATCTATTATTTTCTAAGTTTGTTACTTTATAGACTAGATTGTTTCTTACATATTTTCAAATAAAAAACAACACTTATTTCAATTTTAGGATAATTTATTTTGTAATACAAACTTGTTACAATATACAAATTATTTCAATTTAATACCCTTCTTTACACTAGCCTTGATACCAGACATTTCACCTGAATATTTATTAATTTCCTTCCTGACTTCTCTTACTGCTCCTTTTCTACGAATTATTGCTTTGCGATACTTGAGTCTATGCTTAACGCGTGGATTACGCAATTCCTTTTTACGATATGGAGTTAAGCCTTTGTTCTTCGCTATCTCATAGGTGATGGGACGTTTTTCCTCAGGGGGTATTTCTTCTGATAAACTTAAGTCTTCTTTTTCATCTTCTTCAGCTTCATCATCACTATTGTCGTCATGCTTATTAACATCCAAATCAAGATCATCAGATAATTCATCTACAATTTCAGATATTACTACTTTTTTCTTCTTTTTGCGATTAATGTTATTGTCTTCATCAACTAATGGTCGTTTTAGGATAGAATTTTGGATTTCAGTATTGTCTGCAGTTTTGTAGATAGGCTGTTGATTCTTATGTGCATTTAAGAGTTGTGACACTTCAGTTAGAAGATCACCTTGTCCTTCATCAAGTTGATTCAATAATTGACGATATTGTGCTAGTCGTTTAATAACTGGATGTCCAGCAACCGATATTCTTTTTGATTTAAGCATTAAATAAAATGATACATTAATACAATAATTTAATGTTAATTGATACTTTGTTTGCATATAATTAACTGTTGGACAATTTTCAATATTTAAATCTTTTATAAAATTGAAGAAAGGTAAAATAATATCCTTTATTTCTTTTAGACGATCTGAAAGAATAATAATAAAAAATATTTATTAAATAATTGAATATATAAGTGAAAAAATAAGTATACAAATATGTATTTACCTTTTAAATCTGTTACCACAGGTTTGAATTCAGGATTTTCTTTCTCAAAGAAGCGAAGTTTTTGGTTTAAACTCATCTTGCTCAAATCCATTTTAACCACATCTTCGGATTCATCTGTTTCTTTTTTAGTTGAATCTTGGATCAATTCAAAGCCAAAATCTGCATCATCCAATTGTTCAGCTAATCTTTTCTGAATATTAATAGCCTCACGTTCTTCTTCCTCAGCCGCTGCCATGTCCTTTTGGTTTGAAGTAGCATAATCAGGATCAACATAATCGGTGTAATAATATGCTTTCTTCTTTTTACCCCAAGCTCTTTCATCTGGCAGATCATCATCTTCTGGATGTTCAATATCAGATTCCATTGAATTTTTTTCATCATCATCATCATCATCATCATCATCATCAGCATCAGCATCATCATCATCTTCCATATTTAATCCATAAACTTCATCCTCACTATCATAATTTGTTGGAATACGTTTTTGTCTAACTTTTTCAAGTAATTTTTTTTCGGAATCTGATAATTCATCATCACTACTTGTTATATCATTTTCATCATACTTAGTAATAACATCATCCTCATCATCCCGTTTATTTCTTTTCATTCTAAAACAAATACATTTAGAATAAGCATTATTATTACAATAAATTATTTCAATTTAATAAATCAATAATTTATAAAAACTTACCCTTTTTTTGAAGGCATTATTATAAATAATTAGTAATATTGCTGTTAGTTTGTTGAGTGACAAGTTGTATACACATGTGACTCTTTCATAACCTAAAAGAAAAACAGAGTTCGTTGAGCCACGCTGGATTGGTTGAAGATCTAACCTTCAATACACATTACTGATGGAGGTTATAATAGAAAGAAAGGGACAAACAAAAAAGACTAATTTATAATGAATTTAATTATAAAAAATTATTCATTGTTTCTCTTATCATTAAATTATTATATTATTAGATTTTTAATTTTAATTCATTTGATTTTTGAATATTCGCGGTGGCAGCCATTTTGATGATTCATAGTCGGTTAATTAACCGTTAAAATAGTTGCAAATGGAAAAGTTGGTAATTTTCCATTACTCAGTCGACATATTCAGACCTTATCTTTAGTGTATGTGTCGACACACATGCATAACATTTATCTAATTTTCCGTCTCTAAACCTTTTGGATTGCTTGAGATTTTATTTCATTGCTCCATTGTGCTCGTTATATTTCACTCTTCCTTGAATTAGTGTGCTTTTCGGCTTCTTTGGAGAAGCTGTAGCACGTTCTAAAATTGTTAATTTTAATTAATATAATTATTCTTATTTAAGATTCGCATTTTTGGCAATGTGGATGTATTGAATTTTTTTGATAATTCAAGTTACGATATAAAATGACTATGATTTCAAAGGCTGCAGTAGGCATTGCGGTTGGAATTGCTGGACTATTTGTTGGTTATTGCTATTACTTTGATAAAAAACGACGAAATGATCCGGATTTTAAAAAAAAACTTCGTGAACGTAAGGAATATTTTGTAAAAATAATTGTATAGCATTATTTTCTATATTTTATGATAAATTATTCATACAAAATACTTCTATGGTAAAGAATTTATTTTTAGTTTTAATTTTTCTGGTTTCTCCAATAAATCATATTTTTTTATTTAGGAAGACGTGCCAGGAAACAAGCTCAAAAAGCTGGATCTCAGATTCCTGATTTAAAAGATCCAGAAATTGTACAAAAATTCTTCTTACAAGAAGTTCAACTTGGTGAAGAGTTGCTTGCTGGTGGTGATTTAGAGGGAGGAATTGAGCATTTGGCTAATGCTGTAGCTGTATGTGGACAACCACAAGAGCTTTTAAGAGTCCTTCAAAAAACATTACCACCTGAAGTTTTCCATTTGTTATTGCAAAGATTACCTGCAGTTGGGCAGGTACTAGCTTTTTTTTTTAAATATTTCTAAAAATTTAAGTCCTAAATAATAATAAATTAAATATTAAAAATTTTTTTATCATTTCAGAGGCTTGTATCACAAACAACAATGGCTGATGAAGATGTCGAATAATTTGCTCTATTTTGAAATGAATAAGATGTTGAAAACATTACCATTATTAAAAAACTAAAAATAATTTACAGCATTTATGATCTATAAGTTTTTTTTTATTAACAATAATTAGAATGCACAAAATCATGTTCATATAAATATAAATTTATTCTTTCTGTACATCATGAAAATTTACCAACATTTAGTAGCAACAGTTGAAATAATAATAACAATAACAACTATAAATTGTTTACAATGAAATACTTGGAAGAAAATTATTTGTTTTTCGTCAATTAAACTAAATAATTTTAATATACAATTCAAAAATGAATATTATCAAGTAGATTGTGTTTTTCAAAAATAATTTACATTATTATTTCTATAACCCAGTCATTATTATCCATAAACTATGAATTTAAAATTTCATTTCTCGCTTTAGACATTACTTTCAAAGCATCTTTTTCAATTAAACTATTGGCAACAGCTTTACCAAGTTTTTCGGCACCCAGAAGACTCATATCACTAATATTCCCTGGAACTACACTACAGTAGAGACGTGGTTCTCGATAAGGACATTTTTTGGGAGGTTCATTACTATCATTGTCTGGTAAATACAGTTTAGTAGTCATTTTATCTTTAATAAGAGTTTGACCATCAAGTGACCAAACTGCTCCAGTAATAGTTAGATTTTTTTCAACTAACGAAGAAGAAACAGCTACAGGTGCCGAACATCCACCACCTAGAGTTTTAAGAAAAGAACGCTCACAAACGCACCGTAGAGTTGTGTCAACATCAGTGAGTGGCTCCAAAAGTGATAAAATTTTCCAATCAGCTTCACGGCATTCTATTCCCAAAGCACCTTGACCAACTGCATATAAACCTTCATCATCAGTTAATTCTACATATTCACTTATACGATCTTCCCATCCCATTCTTTTAATTCCAGCTACAGCTAAAATAATTGCAGCAAATGGCCCATCTTCATCATCTAATTTTTTTAATCTAGTATTTAAATTGCCTCGTATACTTTGGATTTTAAGATGAGGCATATTTCGTGCAAGCTGTGCTGACCGTCTCAGAGAACTTGTTCCAATTACACTTCCTTCGGGTAACGTTTTTAATGTTTGACCTTTCATTTTTTTGGACATAATAACTGCATCTCTAGGATCTTCTCTCCTTATTATTCAAAAAAATACAATCACAATTGAAATTAATTAAATTTTTAATTCAAATACATGATTAAAAGAACAAAGAGAAAATGAAACTTACTTCATAATTGCACCTAAGACCATACCTAATGGCAGCGTTGTTGGTAAGTCTTTAAGTGAATGTACTACAAAATCGACATATTTATTCTCAAGTGCTAACTCTAGTTCTTGGGTAAACAAAGCTTTTTCACCAATTTTAGGTAATGAAATATCTAAAATTTTATCTCCTTTTGTATTCATTGTAACTGCAATGAGAAAGTTTCAAATCAATATGTACTGAAGTCAATTTGAATATATTTTTTTTATAATTAGATTTAACTTTTACTTACCAATTTCAAATTTATTTTTTGGATACAAGTCTTTTAAACAACTTATTACATGATTGGTTTGGATTAAAGCCAACTAGAAAAATTATATTCAATCATTAAATCATAATCGACATAAGTTAAAATATACTTGTGAATATTATTGTAACGTTTAAAAATATAATTCGTAGTAAGATATGATTTATAAATACGGTGATAGTAGGAGAATAAAAAAAAATTAATTAATAACAATTATACACTAATGTATTCTTGAAGAAATAATTACTAATTTCCACTTACTTCACTTTTCCTTGATCCAACTTTTATTACGTCAACAACTGAATCATCATTTTGCTCAGACATTGTTGGTATAATATAAAATATAATTCAAATATATAAAAAAACAATTAAATATCCTTTATAGAAATAGAAAATGACCTATCTCGATAATAAACGAACTTTAACGTCATCAAAAACTTTCACCATTTACGAACTGATTATAAAAATTAGAAACAGATAATGAAATTCAAGTTTTTTTTAACTTTTACATGAATAATTCACAGTCACTGACACTGCAGCAGATTGTGAATTTAAAATATTGAAAGTAACTAATGTTATTGTGACTACATTCTAGTCCAAATTCTTAATAGTTTCTTAAAAATGGATAGGCCATAACTGTTCTGTTGCAATACGTGGAGTGAAGGCTGGTGATGGACAATGACTCGATAGACTCAAATGAAAACATCATCGTCATTCCTTTCTCCTTTATCCATTCTTATCGACTGTAGAATAATGAGAAAAATTTTAATCCACATTTTCTTACATGCTATCAATAAAAAATATTATCTGTAATAAAAAAAACTTATGAAGCTAAAAAAGTTGATATTTTTTTAATGAATTATCTTTAACTGTAAATAATCTGAATATAATTTATAGATAATTATATTTAATCTTAATTTAGAAATTCGCGCCATCAAAACCGGATATGGTCACGCCTCGAAAGTCACTTAATCAAGATATGTATTCCGTTTTTGTCGCGACCGGCGTATTTTACTTCTCTACACGTCGTTCTTTGCAAGTTCATCTTTATTTAGTCAATGCACGCACAACACCAAGTCTTGGCAGGATATATTTTATCATCGTGTCAGTGCATGCGTCCTCTGCATATAGAAAATGGTTGACGCGTCTCTATATTTACGAACAACATTTTATTGTTGGAATAATATGCACTAATATGGGAAAAACGTTGACTTCATAGGTCTAGTGACTTGAAATATTTTTATAAATAAATCTTCAACTGGGTAGGTACTCGTTAACAGGATTATAAGTAATTCAGGATAATAAGATGGCCAGCCTACCTGTCATCGCGGCTTTCCTTGGCAACAAGTGTCGTTTTTACTCCGGAAACAATAAATCAACTATTAGCTTGCGCGAGATGTTCAATATGCTTTTACATATTCTATTTCTTAATTAAAATGTATATATACATAATTATATTGTATGAACAATAGTAATACTTTATGTTAAATATAAAAAATGACTCAATTATATAGCTGATCTTTAATCATCATGTGGAAAAAAAATTTTACTCTAAAAATTAGTAATTGAATAATTGTTTATTTACAGTTGGTGTGCATCAATATCTGTGAATATTGGACTTAATTAAAAGTATTAGTGGAGTAAAATGGAAAAACGACAGGAAGGACTTGCTCCATTTTCATCAGGTGAGTTGTGCATATTTAATGATGTGCAATATTATTCTTTCACGTACTCTCAACCACTATTATCAGTCAAATGAATATTAATTAATTAAATTTACATAAATAATAGTATTTTTTGTAAATTTTTATTTCATTTATATTATTTCAAGTTGATCAATTTACTGGAAAAATATATAATAAAAAAAAAGGTATATACACAAAAAATTGAACCGAATGCGAAAAGCGGAATTTTTGCGATTTCATTTGACCTAGAGGGTTGGTTGGTATACTTGGCAATATGTATAGTACATATACATATACATTAGGGGTAGTAAGCGCAAAGTCGCGGATCAATTCGTTGTTTAGTCTTACATTGAATGCAACAGTATCTTTTAGACTCTCTGGTAAAGCAGAACAATTTTCGATGTCATCAATTATTTATTATTAGTCATAAAAGCATATTGATAGTTTAAATGACACCATTATAATAAGTTATCTAAATTAAAATTTAATTTCAAGTGAATCTATTTTATAAATATACCGTTTTTTTTTATAATTATGACGTACACTTTATATAATTATCTGCCATTTCTAAATTTCTGTGTAAATCTCATTGAAATAATTCCTAAAAATAATGAATGATTAATAGTTAGTATATTTAAAAAATATCGAAAAATAGTGAATGTACACTTGTGACCTGATTTTGATATAACATTTTCTGTGATTATTAATGTGAAATACTTCAGGATAGACGTCTAGTCATGCGACGAGTTTGTTTGTTCTTTGTATAGAACGAATGCATACGAAAAGGGATGTGGCATATCGGTTTTCTCATATCTTGATAATTTCTACTATTCAATATTCAGTGCCACAATGTCAAAATTTTCTATATCTAAACGACTGAATAAGTACATAGAATTATGCCTTTGTTATGTAGAAAACTGTATTTTATTTACAGACGAATGTCCCAATAGTGGAGAAGATAGTGACGAAGATGTGATTACGGATTATTTAGGATCTGAACATACTGATTGCAGTCATGTATCAGTTGTCAATGGTGATTTGGCGGTTTTAAATCTGGATGACGGTAGCCATTCTAATATTGAATATACCAAAGATAATCCAGATATTGCAATGTCAGAAAATAGTGAGGATCAACGTCACCGCGATCTTCCTGTATTGGAATCCGGTATGAGAAATCAACCAAATCCACTAGTTCCGATTATTAGTGTGACACCTCATTCGCCAGGACTTGCAAAACATTATCCTGTTCTTGGTATTTATTCAAATTATTTATGTTTCATTTATATATTTATATTATAAGAGATAATTTAAATTAATTTTATTTTTTATAACAGAGGATAATCTCCAACAACTTCATGAAATACATAACAGTATTCAACGAATGCGTGATTTAACATTGTGCACTTTGGGATATGGTAACCGTTTATCTCAAAATGATCAGCAACAAAGATTGAGTTCTTCCTGCCCTTCTCTTTGTCCTTTAAGTTTAATAGGCAAAGGACGTACAGGAGATCGAGGTCCTGGCTCTGATCCTGACCTTGCTAATTGTTCAACTAATAGTTCGCCAACGCATTTTCCTATAACAGTACCACAATTACCATCAGAAATGTTAGGTGTTGATCGTCGTCGTAGTTGGACTGATCTTGAAGAAACACGACACGCTCGTCATCGTTGTCAAATACAAAGTCATCTGCAAGCACAAAATTTGGTATTTATTTAATGCCAATTATACATATGTTTTAATAGTTGATATTTTTAAAATTCTTATTAAATAATTCATATTTCCAGCGACAAAGAAGTATTAGTCTCAGTAGTCTAGATAGTGAAATAGACCTTGAATCAGACAGAAAACTACGTTCCCCTTGTGTTAGTGTTACAAATAGATCATGCAGATCTCAAACTAGTACACACTCGCTCAATGAAGCTGACCTCGTTCAGGTAAAAAATAAATATCATTTTCATAAAAAATTATTATCATTTTACATCTTAAGGTGTATTTTAAGTAAAATAAATGAATTTATTTACAGAAAATATTAATTAAAAGGGGTAATCATCAAAGGTCAACTGAAACATCAAACTTGCTACCAGGAGTTACAGGATCTCGTTTACCCCTTCAAAAGTCAATTTCAACTCCTTCAATTATTACCCCACCAGGTCAAGCTTTACTCACGGAATCAGGAACTCGAGTAGCCCCCTCATTAACAGAGTATGTAAAATTTAATTATTATTCGATTAAAAGATATATTCATGTCGCTAGCATTGATACGCAATCACTTTCGAATATTTTCTTTTCTTCTGAAATGATCACAAATTTCTTGCTCGATTCATGAGTGCTTGAATCAATTTTTGACACATTTCAATTCTATGTAGATCAGCATGACAATGTAAAAAATTTAGATAAATTTTTATTTACACTTTTATCTCGATGAAATGATAATTTCACATATTTCTATTTAAAAGTTATTCATAATTTAATTATGTAAATTTTATAAATACTTATAAGTATATTTGTATCACTAAAGTGATGGAAGTTTATGTTTTCGCACATTCTGTCACTAAATTAGCTTATCGCGATTTAAACGTGATAGAATAGTTTTGTGTGTTGCACTGTACTATTTGCTATGATCGTGCATGACAGCAGACGACACGAAAGAACTGAGAAAGGTAGTGGAAGTGAGACTGAGACTGAGGATCTTCATACTGCCCATAATCATCCATTCCATGAAGATTTAATCCGTGAAGATGCTGTTAATGTTCAGGCATCTCTCGATGAACTGATTATGACTGAGTGAGTACTAGAAGTATTGTAATAGATTTTATAATTAAAATATTTTTTTTACAATACTTATTCTAATACTTGACTATTGTATAAATGGTTTCAATGATCAATGAAATTATTGTATTTATAATATTTAAATTTATCATTTTTTTCATCACTCAGTGTCATTAAGACATTGCCATAAATTATCATATAGTCATTATTTCAAGCTTATCAATATTACATCAAGCTTAAGCGCTTAAATTATTTTTTTTTCTCTTTCGTTACTAATTTTTATAAATATTTTGAAGCCATTTGTTAATATATCTGTTGAAATTATTACAGTGGTACGGTATATGATGACAGTCATCCAGAAAAAACACGAAGAAAGAGAGGTTCATCATTATTTTTTCGAAAGAAGAAAGTATGTATTTAATTATCTTATATTATCAATTAATATAACTTACTTCTATTTATAATAAAATAATTTTTTTTTATTTCCCAGGGGAAAAAGGTTAGTCACCATTGGGTAACAATACCTGCTGGATCTCAGGGAAATGTAATATGCGACATTTGTATGAAACAGCAAAACAATAAATCCATTTTTCAATGTGAGAGTACGTATTTATCCTTTATAAATTAATATATATATAACTAAAATATAAAAATATGTAGTTTAAATCATTATTATTTATAATTATGAATATTTTGACAGAATCTTTTACTTTATTACAGATTGTGGAACTTTTGTGCATCAAAACCAGTCATGTAGAGATCAAATTTCGACAGATTGTTCAAAAATAAAAAATAACTCCAACAAAGGAGCTACCAAGTCAATATCAAGTGCATCTATCGTATCAAGCAGTGGACACGTGAAACGAGGTTCAACGGCTTCTCTTCCACCTTCTAGTTCATCAGGAAGCAAGTAAGTTTTTGGTATTGTTGTTGATAACTAGTCGATTATTGCATCGAATTTTCGTCTTCATAGTACAAGTTTCGCACGCTGCCGATGCACAGTCACACAGAATTTGAGAGTTTGTAATTCATATTTATTAAAATATAACAGAAATGATTATTTAATTCAATATTTTTATTAGATAACTACTGAATATGAAGAAAGTAAATCTATTTTTAAAAAAACTCTGAAATTCAAAATGACTTAGGAGCTTTTTTATCAAGAATTAATTTAACAATTTTACAACAAATTCATAAACCGTTAAAAAAAAACATTGATAGTCGTGTCATAAATTACACAAATTTTCGGCTAATATAATTATAAAATGAATTAAATAAATTGGCAAATAATGCAAGCAATAATGGATGAAAAAAATAAGTCAGGTAATACCGCGGTAAATAAAAACATTAAGTTGCGCTAATGCAATGTGTGCTTTTTCCTTCCTCCGTGCATTTCCTCCCGTTCTACTCTTCAACAAACCGATCAATCTAGCGACAGTAAAAGGGAAATTAGCACCAAGAAAACAGTGACAAGCTACAGCCCTTGGCGGCGTGTTGCTACCAAGCTTGGAGTCAAGTAAGTCGACCCAGATATCTCACAATGTGTCTCACTTTTCCTTATCGAATCGTTTACATTCGTTCTCCATTCGTGTTTCGTGCCCTAAATGTATCTTTTCAAAAATAATGCCGAGACGCAAATTGATCTTATCGCACATTATGTCACTCGCTCCGATTGACCGGCACATAGTACAAAATTAAATAACATTTCCTTGCCTGCCTGAGCTTTTAAATCGCCTGCTTGTTGTATATCACATTTATTTATCATTAGATTTTAAACTATTTCAGCGATTATTTATATTTGCAGAAATTCATCTTCTTTCATGTTATAATTTACTTAGTATATAAGTTTACTACTAGTTTGTAAGCAAACATTTTCAGCAGCAACAACTTGATCGTTAGTTCTATGATTGTATTTATTGATAAAATATATTACAAGGAAATAACGACTGTCTCGTTATTTTTGTACTTTCCTGAACCTTCTCTATAGAAGGTGTTTAATTCAATTATTGACTATGTATCTTTTTGCTATGTAGTTTTACCTATTCTGAATTTTAATCAATCTAACTTCAATTATTACAGCTGTAAAAAAGTGTTTAGGAATTCTCACTCATCAATGATTATAAAAATATTCTATTTTTTATATATATATATACATAATTTGGAACGATAAATTGATTATTATTTTGTTCATCCGACCGATTTGTTAACCCAATCGGAAGGACTTTGTTATGCAATGACTGATGCATAAAGAATTTTTTTTTACAGTCAAATAATCAGCGAGGAAAAAGATGGTGATAGTAGCGGTCATCGTGATAATTCTAGGTAAGTTAGAATAATGTTAAATAGAATTTTATATTTATTTTAACATAATATTTATGGAAAACTATTTTTTTCTTTTTTCAAGTGGAGTGGAAGAGTTTGACTTTGGAGACGATGTACACTTACTTACAATAAGTGATATTGAAGGACTAGATCCAGAATTAAAATTAGGAAATGATGAACCAGATTCATGGACAGCCGCAGTTGGACGTAGTGATGCTTTACGACTTGTTGATAATAATGATCGTGAAATAAAACGACAAGAGCATATTTATGAATTTATATTGACAGAAAAGCACCATTGTCTTGTGCTTTTAGCAATGGATAGAATATTTGCGGAAGGATTAAGACGACATTTTAGACTTGGAACAACAGATTTAGAAAGAATGTTTCCTAGATTACGTGAATTAATTGAAATTCATTTACGTTTTTTACTTAAATTACGCAAACGTCAAAGTGCTCATCCAGTTGTGCCAACAATAGCAGATATCCTTGTTGATCAATTCTCTGGAGATAATTCAGTTAAAATGACAAGTGCTTACGGTGAATTTTGTAGTCGACATCGAGATGCTGTTGATACATACAAGTATTATTTACGAATGGATGCTAGATTTGCAAGATTTGTTAAATTTTGTCAAACAAATCCGTTATTGAAAAAGAAAGGAATACCAGAATGTATTTTATTTGTTACACAACGATTAACTAAATATCCACTTTTAGTTGAACCTTTAATCAAAACTGGTACTGTAAATGATGAGAAAGAAAATTTACGCAAAGCTTTGAATCTTGTTAAACAAATATTAGGTGATGTTGATGCTTGTGTTGCAAAAAAAGAACGAGAAGATCGAAAACTGGAAATTTACAATAGAATTGATGCCAAGTCTTTTGCTAATCATCGTGGATGTAAATTTAAAAAATCTGATATAATGGCTTCTAATCGAGCACTTAGGTTTGAGGGTACTGCATATTTGATGCAAGGAAGAGGAAAAATGGCATCAGTAGTAGTTGTCGTATTATCTGATATATTATTTTTTTTAGCAGAAACACGAGATCAAAAGTATGCTTTTTTTGTTCCGGATAATAAAGCGGGAGTTGTTTCTCTACAAAAATTACTCGTACGCGAGAAAGCCGGTCAAGAATCTCGTGGTATTTATCTTATTAGCAGTAATCCAGCAGAACCAGAAATGTTTGAATTAAAAGTTCAAAAACCAAAAGATAAACAAATATGGATCCAAGCAATAAGATCAGCTGTTGAGGCTTGTCCACAAGATTGTGAAAATGATTCTTTAGATGAAGGCACTATTGGCGAAATACTTGGAACAAGATCATCTTCTGCATCACTACTTTCAGCTGATGAAAGACAACGTATTGCCAAAGTAAAAGAAAATCACATTCTTAGTATAGTTGGTGAATTGAGAAAAAAAGATACCGAGCAGGCACTTTTGTTGGAGGAAAAAATGGCTCTGCAGATGAGGTTATTATATGCAGCCAGCGTTTGGAGTGAAAATGACAATGAAAATGAAAAAACAGAACGTTATGAGAAGGAAATACCTGATTATACACGATTAGTTCGTGGAGAAAGTACTGAACCCACACAATTATGGCAAGAGGTAATACTATGATTATTCTTTATTCATAAAAATTATTTGGGTTATTGAAATCATTTACTAATAAATATATTGAATTAAAGGTTGTTATAGCAGTACAAGAAGCAACTCGACTTGCTAGTTCTTTATCATTTACTGCAGGCGGAGGTTCACTATCTAGAAGTTTAAGTTCTGCCGGTGAACGTCACAGTGAAGCCTATATACCACCATCTATGTGTGTTCCTCGACGAGCTGAAACATTTGCTGGATTTGATCATAATAAAGTAAGTTATTTTTGAATATGTATTATTAATTAATTATACATTGGTAATAATTTTAAAAATATCAATTTATCATTAGGAACGTTATCCATGGCGAGATTCGGCAGCATTACATTCCATGATGATTCCACCAAAACCTTGTGATAATTTAAAAGAAGGAATAGAAAAAAAAGAAGATGATTGTTCTGAAGTAAATAAAGATCAACAGTTGGCTGCAGTGAAATTGTCACATTATGTTTACACATTACTTTGCATCATAAGTAATCAAATGACAACAATTGACAGTTTACATGCTCAACTTGCAGCGTGTAAAGAAGGTGGATTTGGTAAATTTTCAGGAAGTAGACCAAATCCTAATCGTCAGTTGGAAGAATTGAGAAATTTACAAGATCAGTTGAGTCGAGAAAAAGCTGCATTTCGAGCATCCAGTCAACAGGAGAAAAAAGAATTGCAAGATGAGCGCGCTGAACTTTCAAGACTTCGTGAACAGTTGGCTGCTGAACAACGTGATGTAACACAGCAACGAGATCAACTATACAGACGACTTGAAGCTCTGGAACGACAGGGTGTTTCTTTGGTTGCACCATCCACAGCTGGGCCAACAATAACTCACGTATCTCACACTAGTCAAGGAAGTGATTCTCTTCAATCTCGAAAATCATTACCAGATGCTAAGAGAATACCATTGAATTTAATTAGTGCTACAAATCAGCAAAAAGTTCCGAGCAGTCTGCCTCCAGTGAAGCAACAACTTCCATTAAAATTGGCCAGCGGTAGCAACAGTAATAGTACCAGGTGAAAATAATTACAACTATGAAATGGCGCATGCGGTGCTTTATTTTGGGCCAAGTTAATCACTATCGATACTTTCGACTGAGATTAGTGTTCGATATTTTCATAGGAGTGGCAGTGCCGGATGTAATAACAGCCCGGATCGTCACTCGAGGACGGGAAGTAGTCCTGCGACTGTAACAAGCTCGGCCTACTCATCGCCAGAATTGGGTAATAATCATAATAATGGCAATCATTCCTCAAATCGATCACTTCGTATCACACGTTCACCCCCAGAGCCATATCATCATCAGTCACAACAGCATTTACAGCCTTTACATCAACAATCATCTCATCAACAACGGCCAGAGCCACAGCAACCGCTTGAAGAAGAAGTTATTTTTTTCTGACGGCTCTTTCGCTTTGGCCGAAAACATTCTCGACCATCTCGCGCTCCTACAAATACACCCGCGACATTGACATCAACACCTACACCATCACGTAGCCAATCTAAAGAGGCTCAATCTCGAAGTCGAGTTAAATCTTTTTGACTTTCGAAATTTTAATAATAGATTGACAAATAAAATAATGAATTTATTTACAACTCTAACATTAATAATAATTATTAATTGACTTTTAGCTTTTGCAAATAGTTATATAGTCGATGTTAATACGCATTTAAACTCTTATGAGTTAATTTTTAAAAATAATGATAAAGGAGAGAGATATAAATAAATAAAAAAAAACAGAATACAATAACAAATTTCAATCAATGAATAATTGAAAAACTGAATAGAAAAAAAAACCGGGATATAAGTTTCAATAAGCTGAATTGATAAAAAGTATTTCAAATGAGTATTAATAACTATTTTGGGAAACATAGAATAGCTCGTCTTGTTGCTTATTCACTTATTGTTAAATCGACTGAAAGTTTTAAAAACATTTACATTCATCCAGAATCCAGAAATAATTGTTAAAAATTGTGACATAACTTATTAGTAATAGTGATAATCCAAGTTTTTTTTATTCTAATTCTAATGATAAAAAAAACAAAACTTATTACATAGAAAAAGGGTATTAAAAAAAAAAAATAAAATAAACAAGTTCTTTTTTTTTTTGATTTTATGTAAATTTGTAAATATGTGCAGTGTGTATTTTCAATCATCTTTATCTATATATAGAGAACATTCAAGTATTTCTCTTATAAAGCAAATATTTCACAAACTAAAAATGTGAATACAAAGATAAAAAAAATTTTTTTGTTCATCTTCAGAGTAATGTAACACGATGATAATCGATAATTCAGTATTGAAACCGCGCATGTTACTAAAAATAAATTAGAAGCGATGTATTTGAAAAATTTTAGTTATACTCTGAAACCAATATACTACTATGATGCATTTAAAATATCGATAACTCATTACGTACTAAAGACAAAATTCAATTGATTTTCATTTAGAAACTCATTAATTCAATGGTAAAATATAACACTCTAGTATAATCAAGTGAATTTAAAAGTTATAAATTAGTAATCGTTATAGCTCAATGAAATATTACATAATATTTTATTACTCATTTGATGAAAATATTTACTGTCAAAGTATTTTGAAAAGGACACAATAATATTTGGTCATGAATGTGCCTCAATTTTCATTTATATACACTAAATATTGTTCTTTTTTTTTACTTTTTTATTATTTGTCACTTTTTCTACAAGATTGCTCCATTTTAATAAGTTTTTATTAACCAATATACTAAGGGAGCTGATCCTTCAGGCATTTATAATTTCTGTATACATTTTAATAATCAATTGATAATCAGTACGAAAAAAATGAGGAAAAGATTCTATTAATGGGGATCATGAGTAATTCTTACTCCATTATAGAGTAAGAAAGTTTGGATTATCCACTGCCATTGTTGTTATTTAATGATTTTTTAAGATAAACAAATTTATTTATTACATTATACAGACAGTAATATTAAATTATTAAAATTTCACAATCTACACTTGAAAATCAGTTATTAACTTTAAAAAACAAAGCTGATATAAAAATTAATTAAAAGAACGGGTAAATATAAGTGGAGTATCGTTTTTTTTTTGTATTTTTTATTATAAACGTTACAACCAGCGTGCCAGTGTGCAATATTGATTGATCATTTGACTTATTTGTAGAGGCTAGAGAAAGAAAAAGAGAAAGAGAAAAAAACGATTCGTACTTAATTGATACGTAATAAATCATTGTTAAACAGTTCTAGAAAAACATAATTAATAATAATAATAATTGAAAAAAGAAACAAAAAAAAATTATCTACAAATCAATCGTGGTGACAATAGATTTTATCGTTGTACCGTATGTGTCGGACAAAAAAATTTATTAATCGTATGTATCGTGATATGTTATCCGTGAAAACTTGTTATTATTGCATTGTTGTGTATGTATGGATTAATGAGAATATTCGTTAAAAATTTGTATTTAATGATATTTAGATTAAGACAACTTTTCAGGCAAAAAATGTGGTAGAATAAGAATGAAGTCATTCTAGTATTTGTAAAGAGGAAAAAAATATTTCAATACATCTTAATAATTAAAAGCAGCGTAATCCTTTGCGCTTATGTTAACAACTTAAAAATCTATCTACTGTATTAATAATATAAATTAAATTGAATATAGTATTCTTTCATGCAGTAAAAAAACTGATAATTATAATATGTCATATATTATTCAATCAAATATTTCAATGATAGCTGACAATCTTCGAGAGATTTATTTTAATTGATATCTATGCTCACGGCCTATTGAATTTAGCTTTTTATTGAAAATTATTTTGCATATATTTCGCTTAATTATTCTAAATAGAAAGAAATTAAAAAACAAAAAAATAAACAATGCAAATGGGATAGAGTCCATAAAATGACTATTAATGAAAATTTCAAGATTACCTCCAGTATGATGAATTCTGGAGAAAGTATTTTTGTATTCTTATTCTATACACTTTCACTTGAAATCTATGGAAACTTCTATTATTATTGTGATACTGAAACTATTGATAATTGCTTCACACTTAAATTTGATTGATAATCATGTGATTCAAATATTTTATAAAACAAAGTATCACGTCTAAACATATTTCTCTCGTTGAATATTTATAAAAATTCACTTAAAAAGTTATTAAAAAATTTTAACGCAAAAGAATTTACAAGATTATTCCTATAATGATCTTTTTGTCAAATTAACATTTTTTTTAAAGACTTATTATTAATCTAAATGAATGAATCGATGTCAATAATAATTGCTTAATATTCTTCCAATTATTTTTTTTTATATTTAAAAGTTCATTAAACAGCAAAATATTGCTATAAAATAATTTTATATATCGATCCTTGTTAAATCGTGTAAAAAGGTAACGATAGTTCGTTAAGGTGCTCAGATTAAATTATCTTTCACGAGTTAAATAAAGCTACAAAACGTATATTCTTATTAAAAATTAAAAAATTTCTTGATAATATATCCAAATGCCGTTTCTAAACGGATTAACTATATTTTCTAATGACGCCTTATGACTTTTTCTTACAATTCTATACTATTAATGTATGGAAGTTTACATTCCTAACTAATTCAAAGACATACTATATGTTTGTTATCATTATATCATCCATTAATTCATCGATAAATAAGTAGCTGCCTCAAAAAGAGAAAAAGAATATTTATTATAAATGTACATAAAATTGTTATTGTAATAAAATAAACCAAGATAATAATACACAAATATCAAAATGTATTTATTAATATTCACATCATTCATAATTAATTTTTATAAAAAAAATAATATTATACAAATCTCAGCAGTAATATGGTTTAGTTCTATGTTGTTTATCACGAACTTTACTATTTGATTTTGTCATTAACTTTCGGTCTATAGGCCTCGAAATCATTGATGATTCGTTTGGTTTCCACAAATTTAATATCCCACTTTCACCGCCAGTTACTAATATTTCACTCTATAAATTTTTTTTTTCAAACCAATTAATAATTAGTGCTTAAGATTATATAAAGAGTCGTTCTATTTTATAATTTTTTAAATATAATATTTACCTTAATATGACGCCAGCTATCACGTACAATCTGTTTATTTCCATTAAAGTCATAACACACTTCCAATTCATTTTTATCTACTATTACTCCAGTTAAATTTTCTCTGTAAGATTAAAATAAAAATTAAATCTCTTTTCAGAAGAGTATTATATTTGATTATTGTGTTTAGATAAATACCCTTTTATTGAATTGGAGCCTGTTAATAAGAATGAAAAATCGCTTGATTCTGCTTTATGCATTTTAACTAAATAACAATTGTCTTGATCTTCATTCTATAATACAATGAATTGAATTTATTTATAAAGAAATCAAAATAATTGATTGATAAAAACAAAAAATTGAAATAAAACTTACTAAGAAATGAGCAATACAATTGCGATTATATTTTATGAATGGTGATGCATCTTCACATTTCCACAGTTGTAATGAATGTGTATGAGTGGTACACCAAATGTTACCATCCTCTAACCAACCAACTCTATCCTATATTATATAAGATTAAAAATATTGATATCTTTCACATTAACTTCATTAAACTAATGAATAAATAAATCAACAATTCTTACCACTGAAGACTCAGTATTAAGTGAATAATTCAATGCTAAATCTTCGGAAGATTGCGTTAAATCGAAAACATTTATCAAACCATCCGTACTACCAGATGCAAGAATGTCTCCTTTTGTGGAATGAAATTGTAAAGATGTCACATCATCCATGTGTGATTCCCAATATCCTCCAAGTAAATTGTTTTTACTATCAGGTTTGGAGTTGTTATATCTGATGTCCCAGAATAAAATAAACGCATCACCACCCACATGTTCTGTTCCAGCAGCAACAAGTCTATCATCGCAACTGATGTCGAAACTTGCTAATGGTTTGAGCTTACCCTCACTTGAATTATCTAATAAACAAATAAATTAATTTCTTCAATATTTGTGTGTATAAAGTTGATTTATTTCCTTCTGCTTTATTACCTTTCAATTCCGCAATTATTTTTCCTTTAGCTCTTAAATCACAAACTGTAATAAATCCATACTTTGTGGCAGTATATAAGATATTTTTTGAATGTGGACTGAATTTGACTCCGACAATTGGTGAAGAATTATGATTTAATGTTATAAACTTTGATAAAGTTTCACCGACATTATAGACAATACAAGAATAATCAGAAAGTGCTGCACAAACTCGAAACTCTGGTTCACTATTAACAAATTGATAAGGTTAAGTGAATTTTTTTTCGAAAGTTACACATAAAAAGAGTGTAATATTATTTTATTAAAAACATACTTTTGAGTTCCACAGAGTTCTAGAATATACGTTTCATCAGTCGAAACTACATCTTCCATAGACAGTATCATTTCACATCTGTTTACAATACTTTTATCAAGGCCGTTTTCGTGAACTCCATTTTCTATGTCTTTTTTTCTTGAGGAATCGACTATTTTCGGCATTTTAATGATGGAATACTTTCATTACACAATAAATTTACTTATGATTATTATACTTTCAATGTATGTTATTTTATTTAGATTAATCTATAAAAACAATGTTGCTGCGCAAATAATATAGGTTAAGATTCGAACCACCCGGGATCAAATGATAATGGTGTAACAATACAGTAGCACCAATTGCATAATTATTTCAAAATTTTGTTTTTATAGAAATTATCTACAGAGTAATGTGATGGTAAATTACCGACAGATACTTAATCTCTCTCGATAACAATTCATAACCTCACAAAAAAAAATGTACAACATATGTTATTAAACACATACATACATTTCATATGAACGATGTTCCATACAGTCATTGTTGAATAATTCTACATAGTTGATTGTTATAGATCGTTCATCAAGTACTGAATTCCTACAATTGTTTTCAGAAACCACAGTTTGTGTTCGCGCATGCATTGATTATTCTGACTTTTAACGCTTTATTCGAGTGTAATATGCCTTTAGTGTTGTCAGAGTGTTCAACTTCAAAGTACAAAACAGATAGACGACATTGTTAATGTCACGTCACAATATAATTGTCAGTGTAGTAATACATGCATATATCTGCTTATTTTTTTAAATTTTTTTCTGTTATAAACTTCATTGAAATAATTATGTTCTATTGTTAAATGATTTTATTGGTAGTATTTTTAGTTGAATACTCCAAATTATAAATCACAAATTACTGTAACTAAATCCAGTATATGATAAAATTTGTCTAAATAAATTATGTGTGCCTTATTTGATAAAAGAAAATTTAAATAATATCGATCGTTTGGTATCGCAAAATGAATTAACTATATAATTCATTATAGAATCGTGCAATGAAATATGAGAGGAGAATTGCAATAAAACAAACTGTTGCATCAATGAATCTTAAGGCTCATTCAATAAGAGCTAATGAAATGTAGAATTTGCTGAAAAAAATTAATTATGTCGAATAAAAAATTGAAAAGAATATTATTTCAAGATATAAGAGCTTTATTGTAAATATCCTCAAAATAAAACATAATAGCTGTAAAGTTTTTAAAAAATGTAAGTAAATAAACAATTAATTAACTTGTTTTTATGTAAACTCTATTGATTATGACTTGAAAAACAATTAAAATTATAATTATCTAATTTTTTGCATGTTTATTACGTCACTTAACGTAACATACGTTATTTACTTTTTGCCGATAATTCACTAGTAACTGAAAATTTGCTGTATTATTCCAATCCATTTATAGATCCGTTAAATATAGGTATTTTTCATTAAGTAAACATTTGTTTCAGTGTTAAATAAACTAAGCTGCACTTGACCTAATTTAGAAATTTATACATTAAGCATTACATTCTACGTAACTTCGAGAAAAAAAATATCAATATTTCGCAACTCAAAAGGGTCAAGGATAATATCATGCTCTTTTACAAATAACAATCAATAAAAGTAGTATTTAATTGAATATAAAATAACAAAAATATCATTTCCTTCTTCTGATTTATGAATTTCCAAATAATCGATCGATGAATAATTTATCGACGTAATTTCAGATGTACAAGCATGTCTCAAAGCAACAACAAAGAACAGGCAGTACACGAGGAGACCGGTTCGCTATACGTATTTCCAACTATTCAAGCTACTCCACGAATATCTTCTCAGAATTCCTCAAATACAAATTTACCATCGCCTACAATTATGACATCAACACTTTCGTCATTGACAATAAAAAAGGATACCGTTCCAATCGTCAAAAAAGAAGAAAGCAGTAATGTTTCGAAAGATCATTTTTCTTTATCATCATCACCATCTCGGGGGCCACGAACTCATACAAGGTCAGCTAGTCATGCTGGAGTTCTTGCAACTTCTTCATCTACAACGGGGACAGGTTTTCAACCTTTAAGCCATGATTCGCCGGCTAATTCCAGTGTAACTTTATCATCTGGAATATCACGTCCTTCGGCGTTAAAAAAACCTGGGCATCAGCGTGCACTCTCACAAGGCCAAGCAGCTCTTGGTGATATGCAACCAGGTTTACAATCCCAGGTGGGACACAGTCGAGTTGGTTCAAAAACTGATTTTATATTACCACCTGGTCATCGAGAAGGTCCTAGACCTTCCATAGCAGTCACTGGCGGTATAAAAACACCATCTTTTCGTGGTCATTCTCGACAAGCTTCAAGGTGGTGATTAAATGCAAATTAACAAGCATTTTATAGCAACTTTATCTTAAATACCAATCTTGTTTTTGCCTTTTAGATCAGAGTCAATTTATACAATAAGGCGTGGTGTAGCACCGTCTTGGTGGAGAAGACTATGTGCTCATTTAGGTCTCGGTCATCCTCCTATAGAAGAATCATCACGATTAAGAACTATTGTACCTAATCATCTCGTACCTTCAAAAACACCAGCACGACTACATCCAAATGGTCTATATGTTGACAATAGGTAATTTATATATTATATATTAATTTTTAAAAATATTTTATAATTTTAATTAATAATTATTTCATGGTTTATAGTGTACGAACAACTAAATATACAACTTTAACCTTCTTGCCGCGTAATTTGCTGGAACAGTTTCACAGAGTCGCAAACCTCTACTTTGTTTTTATTGTTCTACTTAATTGGGTACCAGCTATCAATGCATTCGGCAAAGAAATTGCAATGATTCCCGTTGTTTTTGTTCTTGGTGTAACTGCAGTTAAAGACTTCTTCGAAGATAGAAGAAGATACGCAAGTGATCGTAGAGTTAATAATTCAATGTGTAGAGTATACGTTAGGTATATTTTATTTTTTGCACAATTTTTTATATTTTAAAATGAATTTATTCAATTGTGTAATATTCATTGTTTTATTTATGTAGTGAAATTGATCGATATGCTAAAGTTGCGTGGAAAGATATTAAAGTTGGAGATGTGGTGCATTTATCAAATAATGAAGTAGTCCCAGCAGATATTCTTTTACTTAGAAGTAGTGATCCTCAAGGATGTGCTTTTTTAGATACTTGTAATCTTGACGGAGAAACGAATTTAAAACAACGTCAAGTTATACGAGGTTTTCTAGATCATCAAAATTCATTTCAACCATCTAAATTTCGATCAGTCATTGAAGTTGATCAACCAACGACTAAAATTTACAGGTAAAATATTATTTTAACGATATATAATATTTTTTTCATTTTTCTCTAAGGTAAATATTAGTACATTGCCTTGAAATTTGAGATATTTTATCAATTTTTTTTTTAAAGTTAGAAATGAATTAGTGTTAAAACACTAGAGTATTTTATTCTATGATAGATGATGAGATATAGAAGATATAGATAAATCATGTTTGAAAAAAAATTAATAAATAATCATGAATTATTATGATAGTATTGTAACACAAGTAAAAGTGAGCACAAAGAAAAATGATAAAGTTTACCACACTTTAAAGATAACTACACTCTTAACATGATAAAAATTTTCCGCTTTGCATCACGTTTGAGACACTCATTTTCCACTTTAAAATTTTACTAAGTAATGTTAAAACTGATAATGTCCAACATTTTACAGATTTTATGGAGCTGTTGTGCATCCTAATGGTACAAAAATAGGAGTAACAACAGAAAATCTTTTACTACGAGAATGTTTGCTCAAAAATACCGATTTTGTAGAAGGGATTGTTGTTTATGCTGGCCATGAAACAAAAGCTATGTTAAATAATGGAGGACCACGTTATAAAAGATCAAAACTTGAGAGACAAATGAATTTAGACATTGTTTGGTGTGTAGTAATATTAGTAGTGCTTTGTATTATTGGTGCGGTTGGCTGTAAATTTTGGCTCTCTGCATTTTCTGCTGATGATGCGCCATTATTTTTACCACTTTTATCATCTCAAAATCCTAGTTATGAAGGTATGCTTACTTTTTGGACATTCGTCATAATTCTACAAGTCATGATACCTATAAGTTTATACGTAACGATGGAAATGGCAAAAATAGGACAAGTCTATCATATTGGACATGATACTGAACTTTATGATGAAGTAAGCCAACGTAAAGCTGAATGTCGAGCTTTAAATATCACTGAAGAATTAGGACAAATACAATATGTGTTTTCTGATAAAACAGGAACATTAACAGAAAATAAAATGATATTTAGAAGATGTACAGTTGGTGGTCAAGATTATTCTCATTCTGGTGAGAATGAAAATTTAACAATATGTACTCGATTAAAAGAAGATTTATCAATAGGAAATATGAGACACAGACTTCAAGAATTTCTTATATTATTAGCTATTTGTAACACTGTTGTAGTTAATACTACTCCACATCATGACACAATGAATTCAAGTGGAGTAATTGAAGAGCCTGAAAATAATGAAGTACCTATTATAAAATATAAAAATCAACAATTATCAGGACTGCAAGCATTAACTTCAGCATCATCATCGCCATCATCTTCGATATCATCATCAGCCCAATTATCAGCTCCACCACCGTCATTATTGCCATCTCAACTATTACCATTATCAACACTGCCCTTAACTACTTCATTTGAAGAATATGATCACGGAAATACAGCTGCCTCAGCTTCTTCGATATTTAATAAAACGCCACGATCAAATAGAAATTTTTCAAATAAAATTCCTAGGCCAAAATTATTAAATATTCCAACAATATCCGGAATGCTCATCAGAAAAAATTCACCAAGTGAAAAAGCCCGAAGAAATAGAAATATAAATAGTAATTCTCAAGATATTTATATATCAAATATAAATTCTCCACCACTTACAGACGATCCCACAAATATTATTTACGAAGCTGAAAGTCCTGATGAACTTGCATTAGTTCATGCTGCCAAAGCTTATAATATAAGATTAATTAAAAGAACAGCCTCAAGTATTATAATATCATTGCCTGATAGATCAACACTTACATTTGAAGTTCTTCATATTTTACCTTTTGATTCGAATAGAAAATGTATGTCTATTATTGTACGACATCCACTTACTAATGAAATTACTTTATATACAAAAGGAGCTGATACTACTATTTTATCATCATTAACAGAAAGTTCTTCAACTGGTATATTTGATGATGATCAATCATCAGCAATATCTACCTCAAATACTGTCAACGTAGTTAGACAACAATTATATACATATGCTCGTCAAGGTTTAAGAACTTTAGCAATGGCCAAAAGATCTTTAACACAAAATGAATTTGATGTTTGGAATGAAAAATTTATGGAAATAGATAAATTAGCAACAAATGATAATCGTGATCGTAAACTTCGTGAATGTTATGCATCACTTGAATCCCACTTGACGTTATTAGGAGCTACTGGAATTGAAGATAAACTCCAAGAGGGTGTACCTGAAGCTATAAGCACTTTAATAGAAGCAGGAATAGTCGTTTGGCTTTTAACGGGAGATAAACCTGAAACTGCAGTGAATATTGCATATTTAGCAAAATTATTTACACCAGCAATGCAATTATTAAGATTGCAAACCCGGTCTAAATCGATTACAGAAACTTTAATACGTGGTTATCTCGAAGCTATTAGACTTAATGAAACTGAAAATGAAAGACAACAACGGGCACTTGTTGTAGATGGAAAAACATTGACTTTTATTCTAGATCCTCGATCGGGTCTTACTAATGTATTTTTAGAATTAACACAAAACTGTTCCAGTGTTTTAGCTTGTCGTGTTACACCTTTACAGAAAGCTTATATTGTTAAAACTGTGAAGGATAAATTACGTATACGAACATTAGCAATAGGAGATGGTGCTAACGATGTGAGTATGATCCAAACTGCTGATGTAGGAGTCGGAGTTTCTGGAAGAGAAGGAACACAAGCAGTTATGGCATCAGATTTTGCTATTGCTAAATTTCCGATGCTCACACGATTACTCCTATTACATGGCCAATGGTCTTATGATAGACTTGCTCGGATGATTCTTTATTTTTTTCATAAAAATGCCATTTTTGTTTTTCTCATCTTCTGGTATCAGGTGAGTTTCTTTAGATCACTAGTTATACTCATTAACAAGTTTGAAAAAATATAACAAGTAGTTTATCTTGAAATTTTTTTTTCTAAATGTACGTTTTTTTTCAGCTTTATTGTGGTTTTTCTGGAACTGTAATGATTGATCAAATGTACCTGATGTTTTACAACCTTTTTTTTACCTCACTTCCGCCTTTGGCTGTTGGAATTTATGACAGAATTGCTTCATCGAAGATTTTGTTGTCTTATCCAGAACTTTATAGTCGAGGAAGACTTGGGCTTGTTTATAAACCACATTCATTTTGGATTACTATAACAGATGCACTTTATCAAAGTATCGTTATATTTTTCATAACTGAAGCTGCTTATCATGATTCTGATGTTGATATTTGGGAGTTTGGTACTACAATAATTACATCATGCATCATTGTAATGCTTATTTATGCAGGATTGGAAGTTAGATCATGGACTATTATTCACATTGGAACTATTATAATTTCACTCGGAATCTTTTTTGGATTTAGCTTTTTTTACAATGTTATTTACATCGGTTTTATGGATTTAGCTAAATCGTATTGGGTTATGCCAACTGCCATTTCACGTCTTTCATATTGGCTTACAGTGATATTATCATCCGTCCTTGCTATTTTACCAAGGTATATTAAATAATTATTTTAAAATTTATTTTTTAATTTGAACTAGATTTGTTAATTTTAAAAAATTATTTCTGTTTTTATTTCAGACTTGTGTATAGAGCAGTAAAAAATACAGTAGCTCCAGACATGATGCTACGGGCTAAGATGGAGTATCAAATAAAACAAGAAGCTGCAAAAACAACATCTATGATGATGACTCCTTCACAGGCTTCTACAACGACTGAAAGGTATCGAAGAACAAGTCGAAATAGTATCATCACCACTGATTGTTTACGAACATCACAACACACACGGTAGTAAGAATTTTATCTTTCACAAGATCGGAAAAATGATACTTTAATAAATAGATAAATCACTCTTTCATTACATAAGTTTATCAAATCTCACCATAGTTTTATAAATTCAATATTTATGTTTGTAATAAATTTCATTCATTCTAATAACAATTGACATTTTTTCTCCTCTACAGATCTGGAAATAATGAAGACTTAAACAACACATTAACTACTATTGTTGCATGAAACGGCACATCAGGACGTAAGTTCAATGAATCTTAAATTGAAATGCGATTGTTTTCTACGTGAATAAAATTCTAATGAAAGAAAAACGCATACCAGTAAATAAATGATCAAAGAATTAATATTTTTATAAAAGTGTATTTACTTAGATAATTGTCGTAGATTTCATGATGATGGAATTGATGTATAAATACACTAATTGGTTATATCTTGAAGTTTGTTTATTGGTAAAGGTTTTTCAAATGTAACTTTCAAAATTAATTTTTATATTATCAGATAGAAAAACTATAATGATTAATTGTTGAGACTATTTTATAAGAAAGTTTAAATAATTGAATTTAAAATGGAGATGAATGTTAACAACTTTTTCAAGAATCAGGTATTCAAGATGTTGATCAATAAAAAAAAAAAAATAAATGTATGGTTGGAATGATGTTATGCATAGAAATATTGGTATGTCCAAGATTAATATATTTATTTATTTATTTTTTTACTCTATAATATTTAAAAATAATTTAATGTATACACATTTTCATTTTATTACTACAATGAAAAATTATCTTAATTACAATTATGAAATATTACAAATAATGAATGACCTTGCAAGTGTGGTCTACAATTTATTGCATTTATCGGCTGTGACTATAAGATACAAGGGACCAAGTATTTTATTAATAGAATGAAATACATATTGAAGTTGACAATCGCAAGACTTGCGTCTTAATATAATACTAAAACATAACGAAAAATGTGTTCTAGCCAAGAACTAAATCAGTTCAATCAATTTATCATAATATTTAACACATTTTTTGCATCGTTAAAATACAATAGTAATTGTATGTAAATTATTTAAACTGGAGAGCTATGCATTTTGCATTTAAAACTTTTATATGTTTTGCATACGATAAAATATTTTATGTACTGAAATTGGAGTAGTAATAATTGTGATTACTAATTTGAATAATGAGTTTAAATATAAATGTTAATAATAATATAAGAATACCTCATAAGATGTGTCAATATCACTTAGAAGTAAAAAGATATTGAAAAATAAAAGTTAATCACTTAATGATTATTATATTGTCTATACAATTTAACGTGCAAGTTGAAATATATCAAGAGCCCATTTATGTACATGTACATACTTGTTATAAATAGTTACAAATACTATTATAATGTATAATTACGTAAGTTATGTGATTGTAATTTTACTTCACGTTATTTATTAATAATATTATATATTTATAATGTATGATATATAAAAGAAAAAATGATAACAAAAATTTTATCTTTTGAATTAAAATTTTATAACAATTCAATAAAATAACATATTTATAATCAACATAGTTTTACCTTCATTTTCATCGATATTTTTTTGAATCAATATACGTAATAGTTAGTTATAAAAGTCATGAGTAAAGACAAAGAAAATAACTATATCATGCTATTTAATATAAATTCATTGAAATTTTGTTTAAAGTGAATAAATTTTTTTCTTTCTGTACTTTTTTATTTACATGTCAATTTTAGTTTACCTTGTAAAAAGAATGTATGTACTTGACGTGATATGTATTCTTCATAAAATATGTTACATGTGTGATTTATTATTGTCTCAAGACGACGAATCACATGGTTTGATTTGTACGTTACATAGAAAAGTACAGTAGTGTCTGTGTAATGGCTGTTGATGGTTGTTGTAGTTGACGCTACAAGTTGACAGTTGCCTATTATTAGTCATTTTTAGTTAATAATCAATTGAATGTGGCCTAAAATGTATTAATAATATCAATTTTATTAATTGTTATTTAATTTTTTTATCATATTTACGTAACAATAAGAGATTTTGCAACATTTGGCAAACTTAAATAACCTATATCATACGTATATTGTGTACACGTAACATGTAAGTACATTTTTTTGGTGTGATAATTTGAAAATTTCCTCGAATGCTATCTAGAAATATAGTGTCACTAGTTAATTCAACAACTATTCATTTATTTATAATTAATTATGTGATAAGATATCTTTATTTTATGCGATAGTTGAATCAATTTTTTTTAAAATAAAACTTTTCAAAGAAGAAAATATCCGTGGATATATTATTTGTAGATAATGAGTATAAACTTGTCAATTACGTACACGTAATTCGTGGAAATTATTATTTTTTTTGTTGTTTTTTATATCTTAATTTTTCTATATAATTAATGAAAAATTAAAAAAAAACAATTACATTCTAGGTAATTAATTTGAACTACAATCGAAGGAGACAATAGAATCTAAATAATTTATTCGAAATAAAGAAGAATGAAACGGAAAGCAGTATAAAAAATAATCATGACAATTGATGGTGCTAATTGATACTTACACTACTTTTATTGCCTTTGAAGATTTTTTTATAAATGATAATACATCTGATTATTACAAGCTAACCAACACCAATTAAATATATGATGAAAAGTATGAGATACTCATGAATTGCAATTGTGAATACCAATTGAACAAATACATTTTGATTTTTATCTACCCGGATGTTGATGTAGGTCAACCACAACTGGATTATTACGTATATTTATGATTAAAGACGCAAAAAATAGGTCAAAGTAATAATGAATTATTCAATTATAAATGTATGATTTCGAAGAAATAAAAATAGAAAATTATACTAATTATTTAAGTGTGATAAATCAAAGTTGAAAATATGACTGTTTCCTACACGGCTGAAGTAGCCACTTGTCGAGGCCTAGGATGCTTTTTAAAACTATTATTAAGGTAATCGAATAATTTATGTTATACATATTATAATAATTCCAATCAATTTAATCTATTTTATCTTTTTAGATGGCGAGCTAGTATTTATAAATTAGTCTGGCTAGATCTTGCTCTTTTTCTCTTTATATACTATACACTTTCGTGTATCTATCGTTTTGCTTTGGATACGGAAAAGAAAAAAACATTTGAGGCAATAGTTGCTTATTGTAATGAATACAGTGATCTTATACCATTATCATTCGTGCTTGGATTTTACGTTAGTGTTGTCATGACACGATGGTGGAATCAATATATTTCCATTCCATGGCCTGACTCAATCGCTGTTTTTGTATCAGCAACTATTCACGGTAATGATGAAAGAGGAAGACTCATGAGACGTACTATTGTAAGGTATGTTACCAAAGATTTTGTTATGATAATTTTACCTCATAGTACAATAATTATGTTCATCATTAGAATTTGAATATTAATTGAGTTTAAATCTTTTCAGATACGTTTGCGTTTGTTTAACTCTTGTATTAGCCAGTGTATCGCCACGTGTAAAGAAACGTTTTCCAACGTTAGATCATTTCGTAGACGCTGGACTTTTGTTAGAAAACGAGCTCACTATCTTTCAAAGTCTTAATGCAAAATTTCCTAAGCCAAGTAAACACTGGCTACCAATAGTGTGGGCTTCAAGTATTGTAACACGAGCTAGAAAAGAAGGCCGAATTCGTGATGATTTTGCAGTCAAGACACTGATAGATGAACTTAATAAATTTCGCGGCAATTGCGGAAATTTAATACACTATGACACCATTTCAGTACCACTTGTTTATACTCAGGTTGTTACTTTAGCGGTTTATACATATTTTTTAACAAGTGTAATGGGGAGACAGTATGTAGCTAGTTCAACATCAACATCGACAATTGATCTTTATTTTCCCGTTTTTACAACTCTTCAATTCTTTTTTTACATGGGATGGCTCAAAGTAGCTGAAACTTTGATAAATCCATTTGGAGAAGATGATGATGATTTTGAAGTTAATTGGATTGTAGATAGAAATCTACAAGTAGTGTACTTAATTGTTGATGAAATGCATCATGATCATCCAGAATTAATAAGAGATCAATATTGGGATGAAATATTCCCTGTAGAATTACCATATACAGCAGCAGCACAGCCTTTCCGCGAAGAACATCCTGAACCATCAACTGCTGGAATTCAATTATCTGCAGCACAACAAGAACTTCAGCCTTCTTCAGTGAGAATAGATGAAATGGCAAATGTTGGAGATATGGGATATTCAAGTAAATTTCATAATGATGTTGCTGATGATGCAGTATCAGGAATTCATTTTATGGCCGGAAAAATATCAAGAAGTGCCAGTAGAGTGAGTGCACGTGACAGGATTTATGCTGGTAGTGGCTCGACTCCAAGTAATATTGGTGGTTCATTAACGCGGGTTAATAGTGTAACAAGTATTTTACGTAGATTATTTAGTAAAGAAGATAGACCAGACGGTAGTGGTACAAAAACTCCCGGTAGGATACCAAATTCAAGTTCTGCAGCTTCCTTACAAGCCCGGTATGGTACAAGTGCTGGTGCAGGAGGTTCTACTAGAATTGGTGTTATTGAAGAAGTAGATGAACAAATGACTATTTCATCAATGCGTCCACCAGAGCCTCCTCGTCCACATGTACAAAATATTTTCAATCAACCTGGTCCACCACCAGCAAGTGCTCCTATGGACGTTCCTAAAAAAAGACGCAATGGAGATTTATTATCAACTAGTGCACCAGCTGGAGGAAATGCCGCAATACGTCCCCTCAGTGGCATTAGGTTGGTATACAAAAAAAAAGAAGTATTAAAAATTATTTGGAGCATTAAAATTTTAAATTATTTCAACATTCATCATGTATGCCTTATCTTTATGATCAAATAACATCAATAACTTAACTTTGTGACAGCTTGAAATGGTAAAAGAATAATTTTATTTACTTTTAGAACACAAATATCATCAACGGACTTAATGGCGTCAAATCCTGATGGTTTTGCGGGCTCTTTCGAAGATGGTGGTGGCGGACATAGTGGAAGTGGTGCTATAGTTGAAGCAACTGCAGATAATATAAGTATTGGCTCTTCATCAACTGCAAGTAGTAAAATTGCTAGCGGTAGTTCTGATGATGAATTTACACGTTTAAAAGCTGAAAGACATAAACAACGTAGAGATAAGGCCATAAGAAAGTTTGCTAGAAGTATTAGTAATCGTCAGGGAGGTAGTGGTAGTGATCGCATAACTTCTATGGACTTAGACGGTGAGACTTTATTACTTACCGAATTAGCTGAAGCCTCGAGAGCATCTATAGTACCGAGTTCATCACATCGTGATTATAGAAATGATGCTGACAATATTTAGGTGATTCCTTGTTGACATTTTTAGATAATTTTTAACATTTCTAATAATAATATTGTTAATAAAAAACACCACTTAATAGGAAAATAACGTAAATTATAGTACATTTAAAATCATTTTAAACTACTTATTATTATTTATGATTTTTAATCAAGTAATTAATATAATTTATCTTTAATAATATAAACACAAGTGAATTTTAGATAGAAAAATCAATTCGTAAATTAAAGCTTTAATTTTTTTAACACTTAAGTAAAAATTTTTGCTCATTTAGGAAGAAACGGCTTTATAGGTCAATTTTAAATATTTTGATATATTTGATAATTTTATTTAAGAAAATTAAGAAACTTTTTATAACAGAAAAAGAAGGTTAAAAAAAAAAGAATATTTTATTATTTGGATTATTAAAAATATATAAAATATGTTATTTTTAATGAAATTTGTAAAAAATTGTTTTATTACACATGCGTACTATAATGTTATATGACTGCTTAATTAATTAAAAATTTTTCTAATATTGACAAAGAATAGTAATTAGCACATATTTTGCAAGAATATTTGAATACGTAAATAATAGATTATTTTTATATATATATATAATAAAAGTAAACATAATGACATTCCAACATCGCGGATATAAATGAATTTATACACTACGTATAGTTCGCTTTATTAAGCTTTCAAATGCCACTTGTTTATAAATATATCAATTGATTACTCTACCAGTATTATCATTGTTATGTAAAAATCATAATCATTGTACAAATGGAGTTTCATTAAGCTAAAATTGATTATTATGTAGATTAATTAGAGAATGCTGTTAAATTTCACATATCTATGTTATTTAATTATAAAATTGTTGATTGCTCGTATTATATTTTTTTTTCTTCTTGAATGATAAAAAAATGTCTTCACTAGAATTAGCTTCTTAGTCAATTTTAACTATTACACTTACGACAATCAGTGGATTGTTTTTCCATGCCTATTATAATAATATAGAATATTAATTTAAAACCAAATTATTCGTTAATTTTTCTCCTTCCTTAGGTAAATAATTTAATTAAATTAGCAGTTGTACTACTTAAACATTATGTCATTTTCCACATAAAATTATTGTTAATTACAACGAATGCATTTTTATAATAAAATTAATTTAAAAAACAATTGCAATTATTTACAATGTATTTAATGAATTTTTATTTCATTTTTTTACACTTTGAATAGAAAGAATTTAAAAAACAGAAATTTAGCTGATAAAGTAGGTAACTGACAGCCACCAGAGCGTGTGTGATCGTGGGTGAAATGGATACCCTGACATATTGCGCTTCAGTAGTGGTGGCAGACGCCGTACGATACACACCGTTTAAGTTTTATTCATGTCTCCCAAGTGTTGTTACTTTCAAAGAAATTTTCTGACAAGTTTAACCAGTGTAAATGGATTAACTAATTATTAGTGAATTTTGTTTAAAACAATACTCCATGGATTAATTGTAAAAATACACGTGACAGGTCCTTTAGTGACCTTGATAAAGCGGTGAGTGACCCTCTAGATATTCTGACTCCAATACTTTATACGTACTTGACACTCGCGGGTATGTACCTCCAAGCACAATAAAGGTGCGCGATTCCCTGTTGGGTGCGCGGGTTCGTTCAACGCCGGTTTTCCCACGAACAAATCTGCTCCATTAATTAAATCCGACATATGCATTTTATCTACTCATCCACCTGAACGAAAAAAAAATAAAGCAAAAAATCAGTATCAAAAAATGTTAAGCAGTAGCTCATTAACATAAAAAGACAACTGTCGGAGTCTCTTTTTAAACTTTGCAACTTTATTTCAATATTAAATTTATTTAGACAATCAAAGGAAAAAAAAATTCATTGATATTTCTATTATAAATTTATTTAAATTGATTACTAACCAATAATAATATTGAAAGAATAAAATTTGTTTCTTAATTTCCAGTAAATCATTTGCATTGATCGTTATTTTGTGAAGCCGGCGGAGAGAATAAAAATACAAAACATGATCTCAACTCCGTAGTAGTAATTACATCTTAATCACTTTTTTCAATTCTGTCGTGTTGAAAAACCGGATTTAGTAAATTCCACTATCGGTTTTGTGTTATTTAAGAAGGTTCCGATATATTTTAATACGAAATAAAGTAATAAACACGATCCCTTGTCGACGCGTGTCAGCGAATTCGTAGAGGAGATCATATGATACTTAAAGTCTATTCAACGAACTGGATGGACGAGTTCGTCAACCGCAGTGACTCTTTATTTATTCGTCGATCGATATCATGGCTTTTATATTCGTGGTAAGCACCTATATCGCACACAATAAAACGCCAGCTCAGGCGCGTGATGCCTTAGTTGAGAAAAAATTTAGATGCTACACATTTTGTTAAGGGCTAAACAAAGTGTATAGAGAATGTACAAGTCTCCCTGGGTCTCTTTCTCTTTTCAGTAACCTCCCTCTTGTTGCCACAGCAAATCGATAGTCTCTCCAACTACGGATGGCGTCGAATCTGGATAACATGAGTCACTCGCATAACACCCTACTGTCCTGACATGTTTTGATCCTCACCCTACTCTTTATTTAGTTATTGCCTTATGCTCTAATGCTTTTTCTAATAATTAAATTTTTTCTTTTTTTTTTACATACATACATTTTACACCAACACATGGAATTATGAGAATGAGTAATTTTATTTCATCTGTCGATCGATAAAGGAAAGTACAATGTACTTATTTTTGTACACACTAGGGTTATTCAAATAATATATGATGTTACAGTTTAATTTATTATTTATTTGATAAATAATATATGTAACTGTTGCATTAGATAATTGTTCATTTGAAGTGAAGTATTTTTTGAGAAAGGTGTAAAGAGGTTATTTGATGGTAAATTTAAAAAAGATGTTTGGAAAAAGTTTTGAAGGAAAATAATGAGAAAAGTCATTTACCTGACACAATGATTATTTATTTCATGGAACATTAAATATAGAATCACAGAAATGGTTGAGACGAAAAGAATAGTTTTCTTTACTCTACTTTTTAGAAATGCACAATGACAACTGAGTCTGAAGAGAAATCTCTTGGGACATTTTATAAAAGGAACTATGTAATTTATTATAACTTTTAAAAACCAATGGAATTTAGTTTCTTAATATTTTAAATGCTATATTTATAAATATTGTGGGATATAAAAATTCATATCAGTAATGATCATTGCTAATGAAATTTAATAAATATGTTTTGATTAAAATCTTAACTAGTGTATAATTTTTTCATCAAAATAAAGTGGCAGGATAGTGTTTTAGAATGATGATTATTTATCTAGGAAGTCAAATAAAGATAAAATGTGTAGATAAGAAGACCCCCATGATTTTCAATACAGTTATGCTTTAATACCTTTAAATTCAAATAATCATCAATAACACCAGCTGTCCTATCACCACATAAATATCATTATTACATAACATAGATAAAACAAACATACTTTAATTCTCTATAAACTCCAAAATTTTGTCATTCTTCATCTAATTAATTTTTTTTAAATTTTACATAATCATCTAGATGATTATTACTTGAATAATAAAATAAACAATTAGATTTTATTGAAAAAAACCAACAATAAAAAGTATTTCTAGATGTTTTTAAGTTTTTTTTCCAACTATCAGTTGGTTTATAAAGTTGTATAAAAGGTTAGCTTGTATATTATACCTTCCAAGTTTTATGCTGTTTGTTATCTTGATAAAGTCATTGGAGATTTAAAAATGTTTCTCTAAGTTAAGTAAGTTAAAGAAATGTTGAATGCATCTTAATTTACTATCAGTAAAAATGTTATTTAAGCATGAAACTGATGGTACCTAAAACTCGTTTGGTGTACATGGACCAAGTGTGGTGGATGATGGGAACAAGTTTTATAAAATCAAGCATTCTTCTGTAAAACTTTTATCTGCGTTAAATATCTTCCTTTTGCCTATGTACTAGTATAGTAGATATTTACAGTGTAAAAGTGTGTATATACAAGTGTATGAGTAAAGTCACACACTTGTTTTAAGTATAAAAGGGGGTTTGCTCTCATTTCTTCCCCATCCTTGAGTTCTTCTTTCGCAAGTCACACGACACCGCTTGAGGGAACACATACACCCAACGAAACAATTGTTATACTTATATGTACATGTTAAAATAAAAAGGAAAAATTGACGTGATTCCCTCAACAATTCCCTCAACTTCTCTTTCTCTTTCTCTCTGATGCTTCTGTGGATACAAAAGAACGACATGCAGTGCACGCTACATTTCTTCTCAATTGCCCTAAGGGGTTTATTGAATTTTTTACTTGTTTCTGTAACAAATACTGTTTACTTGACGCATTGCGACGCTCAGCTATGCATTATCCCTCAAATTATAATAATAACCATCATTATGATGAAAATAAATTATTTCCGAAAGCTATTAAGTGTTGAGGATTTTTAAAAGAAAACTCTTGCGAATTTTAACGTATAAAAAAGAAGCATGGAAGTGAAATTAATTATTTTTTTTTTATGATAAGGGAGATAAAATATTTTTAAAAAATAGTTGAGAAATTAATTAATCTTGATTATTTAAGATTCAACCAGAACAGTGCTTTTGACCAAGTTTTTTTTTTTAGGTATTTTTACTATAAAAAAAACCGAGACATTTTTAATTTCTTTGTTAGTAAATTTTACCGTAATTTGACTAGTAAAAATTACTATAAAATTATCTCCATGTATTTACATTAATTAAATCGGATTCAATCTTCAGAACCAGTTAAATCGATTTCGATGAAACTTTACAAACATGAAGAGAAGGTTATCAGAAATGACAAAGGCTACTTTTTAAACTGTTTATTATTTATAACAATCAAATTTATTATAAATAATACTTAGTCGTTAAAAACAATGTACAATCGTTAATTATTTATTTCTGACAATGTTAATCACATTCAAAACCTATCTTTCTTATCGTGTTAGTAGAAACGATTTTTTAAAAATTTTTTTACAATCCATTCAATTGTTATAAATAATACTTATTTTTCAAAATTAATTTACAATTGTTCATAATTATATTATGGTAATATTAATTATATTTAATGTTTATCTCTCTTATCTAGTTCGTGAGAACTTTTTCTTATTGTTTATAACAAATGCAATTGTTATTATTATTAGCTTTTTGTTTTTATAAGACATATTACTTTTCTAGAATCCTAGCATGTCATTTAATTTTAGAACCTAGAGTGTAATAAAGTTATTTTATAAAAGAAAAATGGTATTAAAATGATATGCAATTTTATGTAAATAATAATTGATTAAATCTTGTATCATCACATGCATTATTGTCAATTATAAAGAAAACGTGTGGTTACTTAACTTTTTTTTACATTTTTACCAGTGATTTTAACTTGACACTTCTTTCTTTCTCCAGCTTCAACTTCTCTTCGAGAGAAAAGAAAATTAATTACTGCAAAAAATTGCTGTGATTAATTGCATTCTTTAAAATACAATGAAAGTTTGAAGACAAGATACTATCACTTTTTGGTATTTTTTTTTTTAGTTCTAAAGAATCAAGTAAATATATTATCTATTAATGAACAGTTAAGATGGACATCCAATTGATGAATAAAAAATCAAAACTTAATATTTATTAAATGAATTTCATTTTTCTTTTCATCAACCCAACCTTGCTTTAAAGGACAAGAAATATTTTATTACATTTTAATTAGTATTTTTTTTTAATAATTTTAACCATTTGTTCATCTTCTGGGTGGTGTTCATCAACTGGTCTAGTCATCCTCTATCAACTCTAATCATTATATCACAAAATTAATGATACTAGAACAAAGTAGAGTTCAATTAAATATAAAACTTGTTCTATTTATATTGAACCAGCTTTTAAGTAATTAATTACAGTAACATAGACAATAATACTTGTAATAACTTTCATTACCTAAAAAAGTCATGATATAATGGTAATTATTTAGAATTGAATCTTCAGATAAAAATGATTCTAAAAAATTTGTCATGAACATCTAGGATTATTTCTGTAGCTAGAAATAGTCATTTCAAGATTCTAAATAATTACCAATATAATTGTCATCAAATCCAATAAAACATTTTAATAAGTTTCAAGAAAAATAGTATCGAAATAACTTTATCTGAGAAAGATGCGTGGAGAGTTGCATTTCTGGACACACTAGAGGAGACGAATATCTCAGGGGGCTTGATGGCCTTGAGGTGGCAGGACTCGTACACCGGTTACAGTAATAGCCATACCGGGTGTCTCGAAGACAGCGTTCCATACCAAAATGACCCTTGAAGGTATACCAGACGAGTTTGGTATTGTTAACTCGAGGGTATAGAAAGGATATAGAGCGTCAAAAAGGTTGAAAGAACAAAAAAAAATCAGCAAAAACGATAATTGTGAATACAACGAAGAAACAACGAAGATTGAGAAGCAATTCTGGTGGTTTAGTCGAACGCCTTGCCTTGATAATTGGTATGGAACCGGATTCCGCACAAATTTCACTCCATCAGATGAGTCTGGACCTTATAATTAATAGTTTTGCAAGATTGGCGTATTCGTTCGACCTCCCTAACCGAAAATGATACCCTAGGAAACTAAAAGACTGAAACCCTTTAGGATTCAAGTTGTTCGTTCAAGTATATATAATATAATATGAGAGAAGACTCTTGATAGTCTTGATCGGGATCAAATGGAGAGTTCCAAGGGACATCTGAGCCACTTCTCATCTTTCATCTCTCTTCCTTTCTTTCTTTCTTTCATGTATATATTCTTTACCTCTTATAAAAGAAATATATCTTACAGGTGAATGTAAGCTGCTTATCCACTGCATTCAATACGTCGTATCACATTTAATTCTCCATTTGTTGTTTTTTTCTTGCAACTGTAGACCTTTTTTTGACTTGCAATTAATTATTTCTTGGATTATACATTGAAATGGACCTGGAATAATTACTCTGATAAGAAAATATATCTTATCGATTAGTATATATTTCGTATTTTATGTTAAATATCCAGAAAATATTGCTTTTAAGTGTTTTATATATTTTTGCTTGAGTTTTTATAAATATTTATTTATGCTAAATATTTTATCAATATCATTATCTCTTTAATAAGTATAAATCATTGTAATATAGTAGATTAAATAATTACTTATTAAGTCATTAATGGTATTGAAAAACAGTTGAAAGAAATAAAACTTATTTTGGAGTTAAATAAGTAAATAAAGATTTTGATACCGTTAGAGGAATAGAAAAACTCAACCAAACACACTAATTTGTTCGTGACGTTAATAAAGTTTGTAATTATAAGAGGATATATTTGTCAGTTTTTTCTTGATCCTCTGAACACCTTTTTGCTAATTAACTTACTCTCATTGCAATTAAAATTATAGAGTTCATTACTAGGTATGTTATTTTATTTATAAAAAAAAGTGTTCCTGTTAAATTCCTCGGTACTTGGATGTATAATACATATTTTTATTTTAAATGATACAAGATAATATTAATGAATATTTTTAGAGTCATATTTATGAATATTTTATTAAAATTAAATTATTAGAATATGTCATAATATTGAGTTGGATAGAAATAGCTCTTTTTTTTATCATTATTATTACCTAGATATTATTTTTATTATGTTCAATAAAAATACATGACCCAAGATATATAGTACTACATCAGCTATGGAGTGGAGAGTGTATATAAAACCGAACGATACCACTGGCCATCATTCGCGTGCCAGTGAACGCCACTGGTCGATTCTTGTTTTTTTTTATCTCTCTCTCTTTGCGCTTCTACCATCTCATATGGTCAACTAGTCTACACACGTTGAAACCGATGAGACAAAACGATGAAATAAAATAAAACTTGGATACTTACTAAAGCCTTTCCTTGCTCACGTATATAAAACGAACTCATGTTTTATCTTTAATATGTATTTCTTTTCTTTTCTTATTTCTTAAGGAAACGATCTTAACACAAACACTTGAATGTTTATGGGTTTTCTCTCTTTCTATGTTTCAGGAAGCTGAGAATGAATGTGGAGGCAACAATCCTGTTCAGCCAATCGAGAGTCTTGAATAAAAGACGCATGGAGCGAGGATAAAGGAAGAAAATGATCTGTATATTGAAGATGATCACAGTGTGACATGGCGAGGACAATATGGATACTTTTCTGCTTTCTAGCAGTATTATGGCACGTGACTGAGGGTTATTTGGCTGTATTGTCCTCAAACTTACCACCCGGCACTCTAGTATTTGAGGCAGGTGTTCCAAGACTTGGAGGCAAAAGAAAGTACCAGGTTTCAACTGATCGTACAGCACGATTTGCTCGCAAGTTACTTAAAGTTAATCCACACAATGGTAGAGTGATTTTAGCAAAAAGTTTAAATTGCGAAGGATTGCAATATCCACGTCTTTTTACCTTTTATGTTGACTCAACAAGTTCGCGACTTGGTAGACCGAATATTGATTACTATAGTCTACCGTTGAGAGTTTTAATCACAGGTTGTGGTGGTGAAAATGAGGATCTTGCAGCAACAAGAGGCTGGACGGCTGAGACCTTGGCATCTTATGCGATGCCAAGTACCGACAAGTTTACAGAGATATGTCTACGTGCTTCACAATTAGTTGCTGCTCTTCGAGATTTCCTGCCTCATACAGTATTAAAAGAATGCGACACACGGTGGGGAGGTGTGGCAGATTCTAGGTTTCTAATTGAAGGAGCAGCAGGAGATCTTGTATCATCGTCTGAGCAATGTCTTATAGATCCTATATGGAAGATTTCAGTGTCCATGACATTGAGATGTAGCACGACACATTTGGTGGATGCTGAACATAGATTGAAAATTGTTTTTCATCATCAACAGTTGGATGATACTGATCTTGGCCGTAGAGTAAGAAGAGAATTAAGAAATCGATCGCCTTTTTTTGAAGAAGAATTATATACGGCTGATGTTGAAGAAGAAAAAGAACCTGGTGAACTGGTTAAAGTTGTTAAAGCAAGAGATCCAGAAGGTGGCACTGTTCACTACTCTATGATGTCTCTTGTCGATACTCGATCTGGTGCACTTTTTTTATTGGATCCAGTCACTGGAAAAGTTACAACTAAAACAAAATTAGATCGCGAAAGTGGGGATATACATTATTATAGAATTTTAGCCGTTGATGATTCTTTTCCACCACGAACTGGTACGACAACTCTTCAAGTGAATGTTCTGGATGTTAATGACCATGCACCGAGCTTTGAGAGGCCGGAAGGAGAAGCAGAGATACGGGAGAGTGTTCCAGTAGGATCAACTGTAATAGCTGTTAAGGCAACAGATAGAGATGTTGGAAGAAATGCTGAAGTTGAGTATGCTATTGTTTCAACAACTGGTGGAGGTACGACTTCAGTTACAGAAGATTCAGCGACATTTAAAATTGATCCTAAATCAGGTGTTGTTACAACAAGGACTCAACTTGATAGAGAAAAAACTGAGGTATATACTGTCATAATAAGTGCTAATGATTTAGCAAGTTCACCAGCTTTAAGGAAAACAACAACTACCACTTTGATCGTTAGAGTTCTTGATGATAATGATAACTATCCGCAATTCTCAGAGCGTTCTTATTCAACAACAGTCCCGGAAAATATGGATTACACGACAAATCCCGTGATAGCTCAGATAAAAGCTACTGATGCTGATACTGGAGTTAATGCTGCAGTAAGATATGTAATTATTGGTGGTAATGCTCACAATACATTTTCTATTGACTCTCTGAATGGTGATGTAACTCTTGTAAAACCTCTCGACTATGAAACCACTGATCTTTATCGAATAGTTGTAAGAGCTCAGGATGGAGGTGCACCAGCAAGGGCAAATACTACTCAATTGCTTGTTCACGTGGAAGATATTAATGATAATTCACCGCGATTCTTTACTAGTCTTTTGCAAGAAACTGTTTCCGAAGGAGTACCAATCGGTCATGCTATAGTACGAGTACAAGCTTATGATGGTGATAAGGGAATGAATGCATTAATAAAATATTCAATAGGTGCTAGAGATTTTTCTGGAGCATCTACTGAAAATTTTCCTATTACTGTAAATGTTGATAGCGGTTGGATACACACAACGAAACAATTGGATCGTGAACAATGCTCCAAGTATCAATTCACAGTAATTGCTACGGATTCTGGTGAACCTCCAAGATCAGGAAGTGCAACTGTTGTTCTTACAGTAACTGATGTTAATGATAATGATCCCAAGTTTGATTTTAAAGATTATGAAGCTGTTGTTTCTGAGGATGATCCACCTGGTACTTCAGTTGTCTTAGTTACTGCCACTGATCCTGATGAAAATGCTAGAATTCATTATGATATTACAGCTGGAAATACTAGAGGAAGATTTTCTATAACTTCACAAAATGGTGGAGGATTAATTACTATTGCTCAACCATTAGATTATAAACAAGAAAAAAGATTTGTATTAACTGTTACTGCTTCAGATTCCGGCGGAAGAATAGATACAGCATTAGTTTATATAAATATTTCAGATGCTAATAATTATGCTCCAATATTTGAGAATGCTCCGTATTCGGTATCTGTTTTTGAAGATGCTCCTGTTGGCACAACAGTTTTAATTGTAAGTGCAACTGATTCTGATGTTGGTCAAAATGCTCAAGTAACTTACAGTCTTGGAACAGGAGTCGATGGATTGGAGAATTCTGAATTTACAATTAATAAACAGACTGGTGCAATAACAACAACAAAACCATTAGATAGGGAAAAGACTTCAGGATACTTACTGACAGTGACAGCGAAAGATGGAGGAGTGCCACCGTTATCAGATACAACTGACGTTGAAATTTCCGTCACCGATGTGAATGATAATGCACCAGCATTCAAAGCTACACAGTACACCGGTACAGTTCCGGAAGATGTGTCAGTTGGAATTTCAGTTCTCCAAGTATCAGCAACTGATGCAGACATGAATTTAAATGGAAAAGTAAGATATACTTTAGATGATAATGGAGATGGTGCCTTTGCTATTGATTCTCTTACAGGAACTTTAAGGACTGCGAAACAATTAGACAGAGAGTCTGTGGCAAGATATACCTTGAAAGCAATGGCTATTGATCATGGAAATCCACCACTTTCTTCTGCTGTTTCAATAATAATCAAGATTGAGGATGTCAATGATTCTCCACCATCATTTAAAAGTGATAAAATAGTACTTTATATTCCAGAAAATTCACCAATTGGTTCGTCTGTTGGAGAAATTTATGCTCATGATCCTGATGAAGGCCCTAATGCTATTGTACAGTATTCAATAGTTGGAGGTGAAGATGCCAATAGTTTTCAATTAAACACTCGTTCTGGAGAGAATAAAGCTGTATTAGTAACTCTAGAAGAATTCGACTATGAATCTCCAAAGAAAAAGTTTGAAATTTTTGTTCGAGCAACTTCACCACCATTAAGATCTGATGTTCTTGTACAAATAATGGTAACAGATGTAAATGATAATGCACCTGTTCTTAAAGACTTTCAGATAATATTTAATAATTTTAAAGACTTTTTTCCTACTTCTGCAATCGGTAAAATTCCAGCAGTAGATGCTGATGTGACTGACAAACTTGTCTACAGTATTTTAAGTGGTAACAGCGCAAATCTTATCACTTTAAATACAACAAGTGGAGAAATAAGCTTATCACCGCAATTAAATACAAATGTACCTCGAGTTGCCACGATGGAAGTGTCTGTTACAGACGGCATTAATGAAGCAAAAGCAACCATGACACTTTCGATCAGATTAATTACTGATAAAATGTTATATAATTCTATCACTGTAAGAATTGATGACATGACAGTTGAAGCATTTCTTAGTCCACTTATAAATTATTTTGTGGATGGCTTGGCAGCAATAATTCCATGCCCTCGAGAGAATATTTTTATTTTTAGTGTTCAAGAAGATACTGATGTGCATGGAAAAATTTTAAATGTAAGTTTTTCTGCTAAAAAAGTTGAACCAGGAAATAATGAGGAATTTTATTCTTCTCAATACCTTCAAGAACGTGTATATTTAAACCGTGGAATTTTAGCAAGACTTTCAACTCTTGTAGTCCTTCCTTTTGATGATAATTTATGTGTACGAGAGCCTTGTTTAAATTTTGAAGAATGTGTGACCATTTTAAAGTTTGGCAATGCATCAGGATTTGCAAGCAGCAACACAATTCTTTTCAGACCTATTTATCCGGTTACAACATTTTCTTGTGAATGTCCACGAGGTTTTACTGGCAGTAGAGAAGCTTATCTCTGTGATATGGAAGTCAATCTTTGTTATTCTAATCCATGCAAAAATGGTGGTACTTGTAAACGAAAAGAAAGTGGTTATACCTGTATTTGCAATCCAAATTTTACAGGAAATAATTGTGAAGTATCTGTAGATAAAGGAGTATGTAATCCAGATATTTGTAGAGGAGGATCAAAATGTCTTGCAAAAGGTGGTGATGATGGTGGTGGTTTTACGTGTGAAGCTTGTGCAATAGATCCATTAGAAAATGTAACACCTTTTTGTGAATTAAGATCTCGTAGTTTTGGACCAGCTTCATTTTTAACATTTGGTTCTCTTAAACAACGACATCGATTACATTTAAAATTAAAATTTGCAACAGAAGAATCTGAAGGATTGCTACTATACAATGGAAGATATAATGAAAAACATGATTTCATAGCATTAGAAATAGTTAACTCAGAAGTCCAATTTAGTTTTTCATTGGGTGATGAAATTACGAGAGCTTCAGCAACAATTCCGGGTGGTGTTTCCGATGGCCAATGGCATGAAGTTGAAGTTGTTTACATCAATCGTACTGTTACAATAGCACTTGACGGTTGTGACGTTGCATTAGCGTTAAAATACGGCGACAGGCTTGGTAAAAAATGGTCATGTGCTGGAACTGCTGAGCAAATACTTGAATCACGATGCGGTTTAGTTACAGAAACCTGTCATAGGTTTTTAGATCTCACGGGACCAATGCAACTTGGCGGGTTGCCGGCAATTCCATCAGACTTTCAAGTAACTAATAAAGACTTTGTCGGATGTATAAGTGATCTATATATTGACTATAAATTCATTGATCTCAACTCTTTTGTTGCTGATAATGGAACGAGTGTTGGTTGTCCGGAAAAACGTTCTTTCTGTGCTTCAATGCCTTGCCATAATAACGGAAAATGCAGAGAAATTTGGTCTGGTTATTTTTGTGAATGTGAAGAAGGTTTTGCTGGACCACAGTGTAGTGAAAAAGTAGGAAAACCTTGGAGATTCCGTGGAAATGGTCTGGTTAGTTTTAATCCACTTTTAAGGCCAATTCAATTACCTTGGATGACTGCATTAAGTTTACGTACTCGTGCTACTAATGTCTTTATTATGAATATTCAAATTGGACAGAACAGCTCGGCATTATTTGTATTAAAAGAAGGAAGATTGGAGACTTTTATTGATGGTGTAGAAATGATAAAAACGCTTATGCCAATTAATGATGGAGAATGGCATCGAATTGAAATTATTTGGCAAAGTGGAGATGTTTCCTTGGATATGGATTATCGTAATCGTCCTTTGATTTCACCGTTACCAGCTAAACTCCAAGGACTCTATGTTGGTAAAATTCTTCTTGGTGGTTCAGATCAATCATTAAATTCGGAATTTTTACCATTCTTCGAAGGTTGTATTCACGACTTACGAATTGGTACCAATCAAAGTGTTCTTCAACGATCAACTGTTCAAGAAAATGTTGAAATTGGCTGTGAAGCAGATGATGAATGTAATATTCCATGTCCTGAAGAATCAACTTGCATTTCAAAATGGCAAGCACGTGATTGTGTATGTAAGGCTGGTAGAGTTGGACAAAATTGTGAAGCTATATGTGATGTGAATCCTTGTCATAGTGACTCAGGAGTTTGCATTGAAGATTTATCATCTAAACGGGGATATAAATGTCAGTGTAATAGTGAAGAATACTCTGGTGAATATTGTGAAGTTCAAGTTGATCAACCTTGTCCAGCAACATGGTGGGGATCTCCAGTTTGTGGTCCATGTAATTGTGATGAATCAAAAGGTTACGATCCATCATGTAATAAAACAACTGGAGAATGTAACTGTAAAAAAAATCATTATCAACCTCCTGGTAAAGATGAATGTATTCCATGTGATTGTTATACAATAGGAAGCTTTGGTCCTCGTTGTCATACAGAAACAGGTCAATGTCGTTGTAGAAACGGAGTTATAGGAAGAGCATGTACTGATTGTCCTAATCCCTATGCTGAAGTAACTGAAGAAGGATGTAAAGTGGTATATGATGGCTGTCCTCGATCATTTGCTAAAGGATTATGGTGGCCAAGGACTAAATTTGGAATGACTGCTATTGAAGACTGTCCAGGAACTGCTGAAGGAAAAACGTCAAGATCATGTGATGATAAATTAGGTGGATGGCAATCTCCAGATCTTTTTAATTGTACATCACAAGGTTTTCTTGAGCATAGATATCATCTAGGAGCTCTTGAAAAGGGCGATTTAACATTAAATCGTGATATGGCAGTGAAAATTGCTAAAGACCTTCATTCTGCTGTAGCAATAGGAAAAAATATGTACGGAGCTGATGTCCTTATCACTGAATCACTTCTATTAGCTCTTTTGAAATATGAAGAAAGTCTTGCTGATTTACATTTAACTCACAATCAAGATAAAGATTACGTTCCTCATCTAGTAGGTATAGCTGGAGCAATTTTAAGTAAAGACCACATAGAAAAATGGCAAAGAATTTTAGATCTAACTGATCATGGACCTGATAAAATTTTAGATGCAATGGCGAGATATTTAAAAATATTAACAGGTTCTCAACATAATACTTTTACGGATCCTTTTGAAGTTGTTAATTCAAATGTTGTTATGGGACTTGATACAGTCACTTCTGAAAGTTTATTTGGGTATGAAACGTTAGAATATAAAGAAGATCCTTCAGCATCCACAGCAAGACCACCAGATGCAGATAAAAGGGTTATCTTGCCTGACACATCAGCATTCTTATCGCCTGCTACTCACTTAGAGCCATATATCAGCTTTCCGAAATATAATAATTACATGGCTGATCCTCGAAGATTTGATCCTTACTCCAAGATTAGAGTTCCATTGAGTTTATTAGGAATTCAGCCAATGACTCCAGGGGAGGTTAAAAATCAAGCAAAAGATAATAATGACAAGGCTGTATTGAGTTATGTACAATACAGAGAACTTGGTGCATTATTACCAAAGAGATTCGATGACTCAGTAAATGTCAGATGGGGAGTTGAAGTTGCAGTAGGATCTCCTGTTGTGACTATTTCTGTTTTAATTCCTTCTGATAACGGATCAAAATCTTTATCAAGTACCTTGCAATCACCTGTACAAATACAACTATGGATTAGTGAAGATGATGGTGCAAAAATACGAACAAATCCACAGTGTGTTCATTGGAGCACAGCAAGAAACGTAGGTGAATGGAGTAGAATTGGATGTACAACAGAAATTGATGACTCCAATTCGTATCGTCAAATAGTTAATTGTTCATGTCAAGGTGTTATTCTTCAAGTAAAAAATTTACAATTAGCAACATTTGCTGTACTAACTGACGTCCTTGATCTTGAATATGTACCTGAGCCATCACTTTTAGAGGATGTGACAAGTTATAGTGCATTCATGTTGGCGTTACCTCTCTTACTCACTGCCTTATTAATCTTGAGTTTAATTCGTGGTGGCGAAACAAATTCCAACAGTATCCATAAAAATTTAATTTCATGTGTACTTATAGCAGAGTTATTATACTTAATTGCTCTGAAAGCACGAAGTCCACTAGTTTCAAATGAATTTCCATGCAAATTGACAGCTATCGGATTACATTACGCATGGTTGTGTGCATTCGCTTGGACTCTTGTTGACTCAATTCACCTTTACCGTATGCTCACAGAAATGAGGGACGTTAATCATGGGCAAATGAGATTTTATTATACCATTGGGTATGCAATGCCTGCAATAATTGTTGGATTAACTATAGGTGTACGAGCGGATCAATATGGAAATTTCTACTTCTGTTGGTTATCCATTTATGAAACTGTAGTCTGGGCTTTAATTGGACCAATATGTGTAGTTGTAATAACCAACTTTTGTATTTTAATCATGTCAGTAAAAGCAGCATTTACTCTTAAAGAACACATCATGGGTTTTGGTAACTTGAGAACGCTTTTATGGTTATCAGTAGCATCATTACCTTTATTGGGAACAACATGGACTTTGGCTGTTTTAAATGCATCTGAAAACTCGTCAATGTTATCTTACTTACTCTGTATAGCAATTGTCACCCACGCAGCTTTCAGTCTTATCGGCTATTGCTTTATTAACGGAAGAGTAAGAAGAAATTTATACTTGAGTGTGTTAAGGTGTTTTGGAAAGAAAGGCCCATTATTAGATGGTAGTATGGGTAATGCAAGTAGTAGTCAAAATGTCAACGGTCAATCAAGATCAGCATTAGCTTATTCATCAACGTATAATGATAGTGGCACTGGATGTAGACGAGTTCATGTTGGTGTCTCTACTAGTAGTACTACGTCAAGAAGTACAAATAAAACCGGTTCAAGCCCTTACCGTAGTGATGGACACTTAAGACATACATCGACATCCACAAGTAATTACAACAGTGATCGTGATCCCTACATGTCATCACGAATTCATCATTCCACTTTGCATAATCGTCAAGATATTAATGAGCCTCGGGGATCGCGGAGAGAATCTGAATCTGATTCTGATGGTTCACAAGCCGAAGGAGATGGAGCAAGAAGCTTAGATCTTGCTAGCTCTCACAGTTCTGATGATGAAGAAGTTACTTCAAGATCGCACAAAAATATTGGAGTGTCAACACAACAACCAATATCGCACAGTTATTTGCCAAATATTCATCAAAATCCTGCCGATCATTTGAATATTCTTTGCTCAAATACAGAATTATTTCCAAATATTAAACCAATTTATGCACCGCGTTGGAGTTCACAACTACCTGAAGCTTATTTGCCCACAAATGTTGATATAAGAGGGAGTCAATGGTCAGGTGGAACTATCTCAGATAATGAAATAGCATCTAATAAAACATCAAGTCCGAATCCGTTGCCTTATCCAGACATGAATTCACCGCAAAAAATGATGCAAGATGAAAATTGTTCCGAAGGTGAAGAAAAACATCATCATCTGGGAGAAAAATATTTGTTCCCTTATACAGCTGAGGAAGATCACACTGTTTCTCCAACACCATATATGCTCTCAATGTCATCACGAATACTTGGTTCTAGCATGAGTCATCACTCACAGAATTCAAATCATGATAATCACAGTGGCTCTGAGAGATACGGAAGTCTTAAAAGAGGTCAAACTCTTCATGGTTCTTTACATGATAATCTTAGTGGTTCAGATAGATACGGAAGTTTAAAGCGAGGAAAAATAACACCAACTGTGTTAGAAGATTCACCGGATTATATTTTGCCAATGAGTGGAAGAATATTATCTAGCTCGCTGACTCATGATCTTCATCACAGCAACGAATTAACAGCATTGAGGCAACAGCAGCAACATTATGAACAGACTATCACTGAGACTGAGTAAGTTAGATAATGCTAATAGTTTACGCTCAATTTTCATTTTATTCTTGATAAGATTAATCTCGAGCATGCATGATACTAAAATATTCATAAAATACTAAGGTGAATAATGAATTCGATTAATTAGCATTAAATTATAAAAGTAAAATTAATTTTAATTAAAATTTTTTAGTATTATGAAAACTTTTCATTTTTATTTATTAGTTTTATTGTTTATTTTTCTCTATGAGAAAATACTGCTTTTTTTTTCTTTGGTTGACGTTCCTTTATAATGCTTCTGAAGGTGGGGTTGGAACATTCTGAGCTAACAGTATTTTTCTCTGATCTCTGCTTACTTTCAATGGTGATGGTCTCGGTTGGAAAATTAAAGTGAAGAGGTAAGCTCATTATTTCATCATATCATTGTCCACTTTTCCCTCCGTCAATTATTCCAAATGAACATGAAAATTACAAGGCATGTAATAGAGTGTCTATGGTGTTGCAGGAAGGGTACTGATGCCGAGACGCCGGTATGAGCGAATCAGTCGACAAGAAAATGCGGTACAAAATGAATACTACCTTAATTATAGCCATTTACATCGGATTTGATGAAAAACAGATAATATTAAAAAAAATAATATTAAGCAGTGGCCATGACTGTACTTAAACATTTTGAATTATTTAAGCCATATTTGATAAATAATTGATAAGTATGTCTATGTGTGAGTGCCTGTGCATATAAGCCTAATTGTATTGTTTTAATTTTTTGATGTATTAGCTTGAAATTATTCGTACTCAAGTAACCAGGTTTATCAGCAATTGTAAATAACGTTTGTTATTTCTTAATTAATAATAATTAATTTTCGTAAATGAAATAACAATTGCAATGACTGATTCCTGGGAAAATGATCTCTTGCTCATTTAATATCATTCATGTACTATTCAGTAATTTTATAATATTATTATGCATCTTCTTCGTACTTAATTAATTAAGTAATTTAAATTTATTATTGTATTATTAACTATTATCAATATTGTGCAATGTATACATTCCAATTTTTTTCTATAGAGATATTTTATATTTAGGCTAGTGAATCTTTTTTTTAAACATTTTTTATACTTTATATAAAATGCAGTCAATTCAATTGAAAAAGCATCTACAAAAAATAATACTCAAACTTTTGTATATATTTATACGAAGAAACATGACAAAATACATAATTTATATATATATATGTATAAATCTTAATCTGAATTTTACTGTCATTTAATACATTCACCTTTCTTGTTATTTATAAATTTTATAATTAATTTAATTATTTTTAAATTAGCTATTCTAATATTTATAAATATTTGTATATAATCACAATAGTCACAATCAAAAATTATATAAACACAAATCACGCGCTACAATCAAAAAATGATTTATTATATATTCTAAAGATATAAATAAATTACAAAATATATTTTAGATTCATATCCGGAAGCGCAAAGTTACAATTATTATTTTAAAAAAATGTCTATGTAAAAAAAACGAAACAATCATGATTCAGCTTTAAATTTTTTGCAATTAATTGAAGCAAAGATATACAATATAGTTTGATAAAATTATATTAATCTATAGGTCATAATTTCCTTATTAACTAAGATTATTACACATTTTCTTATAATTGATTTGTGCATCCTCAATTATTTTTGAACAAAAAAAATGTTCAACTTTTGAGAAGTGCGCTTTTTGTATATCATCATGACTATTAGACTAAGACTAGGATGTCATTGTTACACAGTACTTTCGCCATCAGTGGCAACTGACAGTGTTTGTAATTTAGGTACTGAATAATTTTCAGTATGGCCAGATCCATGAATACGATTCGATGGACGTTCTAAAGTTGATGGAGCTGATGGAGTGTCTTGGTGAGCTTTTGGTGGAATAGGAGGTGGACTTAACTAAAAAAAATTTCAAATAATATATTATATTTATACTGCAAGTCAATCATTAAATTGTTAAGTATTGCTTTATATACAATAAATTTTTTTTATTTAATTAAAATTAGCATTTAAATACCCTTTATCTCACTAATTAATTCGGATTTTTTCCAATCATTCAAATGTAGTTTATTAATAATTTCCATTTCTAATTATTCAATAGTATGTTGTTATCTTTTTTTTATAATTAATTGGATGCTTATCAATATATATTTATCAGTTAAATAAAACTAAAAGGAAATAATACTTGTAATGATAAAGATAGTTTTTTTTGTAATGATAAAATATTCAAAGTAAGTTGAAAAAAAATAATTTAATTTACCTCTTGATTCAAAACTGTTTGTGAACCTTGTAATGTGGCACTCGAAAAACTACTTGTGGAAACGTTCAATGCGTTTATCACAGAAGGTGGTGAAATGTTCATGATATCATTGGTTCTCAATCTTGGTTCAAAATCTTCATAACTGAGATTATTTAAATTACTTAAATGAGACTGAAAATCTAATAGACTAGTTGTAGAAATTCCTGAATCTCTTAAATCATTAGAATCTGTATTATCTGTATCATCTTCCATACTCCACTCGGTATTCTTTTTGTGCGATAAACGTTTTGGTGGTGCTGGTGGTCCAACAGAACCAGAATTCGATTCTCGTTTGTCTGGAGTACACCCTCTTGGTGGTAAAGGAGGTGCTTGTTCAGGTCCAGGTTCACTCCAAGAACTTCTCATGTTTGTTTGGTCTGTACCATCAGTTGGAGTAGGTAGAGAATGCCTCAGTGGTAGTTTAGGACTGAGAGGTTTACTTAAAGTCCTATGATGTGTTGGTCTAGGTGGTGTAGATCCATAGCCAACTGAACGAGGTCGAACCTCTCGTTGAGGAATAGGTGGTGGAGCTCCATCAACTTTTGTATAAAATCCTTCATCATCAGCAAGCCCATCACTGTCTCCTTGTGATAATCGTGATGCGGTTTCTAATGTAGCTGGACGTTGTTTTTCGTTGGTTGGCAATGGAGGCAATGGCGAATTAATAATACTGTCTTGATGAATTGTACGTTGTCTTGCTAAATTACCCAAACCCTGTTTTAGTTGAGTAAATCTTTCATTCAGTCTCTTGTGTAGTGGCTGAACGCCTGCTGGTGCTATTTGTCCATGAAGAACTAAACCTGATTCAAGAACACTCATCTGATCAAGAATTAAATTCTTGAGTTTATTAACATGTGGAACCATTTCAGGATTTTGTCGAGCAAATTCGGGAGTTAAAAATGCTTCTTGATATTTAGTTATACCACCCATTACATTGGCATCAATTATTCCTTGCAGTCTCATACTAAATGGATTAATATTTCGATGTGGTTCAGCTGTATATTGAGCCATAAGTCTTCTTAGTTCTGTTTCAACATTTTGCATTGTCTCACAAGCAAATTGAACCGGTGCAAGGAGTTCTGAACGTCTTTCTATTACTTCAAACCAACGTAATATTCCCGGTAGTTTCGCTTCAGTTGTTAACGTTGTACGTTCAATCCACAATGATTTAAACTCATTTTCACGGTCAACTGGCCCACGATGTAATGGTCGATCAAACGTAAATTTCCGAACATCATTAACAAGGTAATATGCTACCACACGTTCTGGAACTTCACCTACGGTACATGCCAAACTACCTTCATCCGGAATTGGTTTAACGTTGCATATTTGAATATCTTAAAATAAAATTAATAACACATTAATATTATTCCAAAAAAAAAATATTAATGGAGGGTTTTAATGTTTTTATTAGATTCTTACATTGACCTTCAGAAGTAATAATACTTTCGTCCGGTGGGGAATTTTTAGTTAGAATTTGTGCGCTCGGAAATTCAGTTTGAAGTCTTTGAGTGAAGGCACCTATTCTTTCATACTCCAATCCGCGATAGATAAAAAGTTTATTCTGAAAAATAAAAAAAATTGTTATAAATTAATCAATTCTCTAAAGAAAAAATTAAATTATCCTTCAAAACTTACTCGAACAAATAGAGGAAAACTAAGACCGTAAAATCCAACTCGAAAATATTCAGGTTCCGGTCGTAATTGCGTTAGAATATTATCAAAAAATTTAGCTTGCATTTTTAGGATATGACTCAGTTTTGCATAATCGTAGAGGCGTGTTTCATAAAGTACTGCTAATTCCTTGCAAAGAGGAATTCCTTTTTCCCAACACTTGCCACGATCAAAGTAATGAATTATTTCATGATAAAGTCTCTCTTTTCTTTGCCATTCAGGTTGTTGAGGATGTGCATGATCAGCAGATAATAAAGCTGTGGAATCCCAACTTAATTGATCAGCATAAAGTTTCATTGTAAATCCCGCTTCTGTATAATTCTCAGCTGCTAAATGGAGATCCTGGAGTTTATAGATGTAACGTAGATACATTTCCTTACGGTTAAATTCATTTTTATAGAAATTCTGCAAAAACAATGAAATTGGACCCATTTTAATCAGTTTGTGAATAATAAATTTCAATAACAATCTATAAGAATTAATTGTCACAATCACTGTATCACTTGTTATTAGCAACTATGCTTTTTCTAGCCTTGTTTGATCTTTTAAAGCCTCGGATATCGATATAAAAACAATGGCAACATGTTAGACACGTGGCTAAACAATTTTCACGGTCAATTATCACATTAATTATCATGCTAGTTTTTTAACAGTTCAAATTGCAATATAAATCATTTCAAAAATTGATTTAACAAATAGAAAATTATCTAATGTTTTAGTGTAAAAACACGATAGAAACATATTGTCTAAATTTATTTTATTACCAATAAATTAACTGTGCATGACATGCGTTTGTCACGGTTCTCATCTCCTTGAATTACACTCCGGTAGTCTAGTAATCGCTCTAACAGCCGAGTAACAGAAGTAATAAACGCTGTTCCGCTATCTTTCCACGTTGGGTCTTCTGATTGTACTCGGTCGAGTAACCTTCAAGGATGAAATAATAAAAATTAATTTTACAAACATCTTAATAATTATTGTATTCTATACATTCATAAATATTCATAATAATTATTTGTAACCTCAGACTTACACTGCACTAAGATGCTCCCTGAAGCAGCATAGAACAAGTTAATAAAGCAATTAATGCTACTAGCCAACAATAATATTCTACTAATACATAAACTTTTGTTAGTGATATTTTTTAGCTATTATATTTGAACAAATTGATTATAATACTAAGTTAGTATTAATAAATTTTCTGATTAATAATTAATTTATTAGTAAAATAGATAAAAAATTTGTTTACTTACATAGTATTAAATAATTGACGATATTCATCATCTCCTTTATTTTCGCTTATCAAAATATCCAATTTATCGATCAATTCCGACTCGACTGATTTAAAGCTACCACGAGCTCGTTGCTCACTTTCCATCATATCGAAGAAAATATGCAAAGTCGCTTTTCTTAATTCACTTTCAGGAACTAAAGTTACTTCAAGGAATGGTCCAACCATTCCTGGAATAAATTCCAATTTTCGTTCTCCAAGATGAGACCACATTGATAAAATTTGAAAGCCCATAAGTACTCTCATATCACCATATTTTTCTACAATTTTTTCTCTTTTTACTTCTGAAAAATGTTCTAATTGTAGTGAAGGTTGTGTAAGATATGCTACAGCAAGATTAAAATATGTAGACCAAAGTTGAGAATCAAAATTCATGTGGAGAAATTTAAATGCTAATGGTTGTGCTAATTCTTGGAGTGATTTTAATATTATATTATTTGCCTTCATCCTCATGACTAACCAATCAGGTGGGAATATTTCTTGACGAACTAAATCTTTAAGAACTAAAAATACTCGTAAAAGAAAATCCTTTAATGGTTTCTTTTCACCTCCTAAACTAAACTCTTCCCACAATCTTGCATAATGATATTCATCTAATTGCTGAAGCAGTCCTAGAAGACATGCAACAAGACATCCTAAAACTGGTCCATTAGCGTCAATAATTATCAAAATGGTTTGTATTAAGACATCAAGAATAGAAAGACATAAAGTTTCAATGTCATGGTGAATACAGTTATTGACTTTGTTTGTATCACAACCTCGCTTATAGAGGAATTTTAAAATTTCTCCAAGAATATCTGTACAAGACCGAAGTTCTTCTCTTCTTGCTAAATGAATTCTTATATGTCTACAGATTGTCGTTAGAAGTAAATTTCTACTCTCGTCGTCTTGAAAGAGTGTCGACGTAACGAGATTTTTTATGGCCACAAGTTTCGCTTGCATAAGCTGTGGATGAGGTTCTCTTGGAACAGAATCCAACATTGTGCAGGTAAGCTTAGCAATTTCTAATACCGGCAAAACAGCAACAAGCTGTTCAAAGACTGATGATATTGACAATAGTAAAGCTACTTGAGAGAGTAAAACCATTTCATATGGTAGTGTTAGCATCTTGTTTAAAGCAGCGAATACACAATAAAGATCCCTCTTGAAGCTATCTTCATATTGACCGGCAGTAGCTCGAGCAAACAATAATCTACTCTGTATGATGAATTTGAATATATATTCAAGTGAACGGAAACATTTCATTATTGGTTCCTGCTTTTCTGCTGCTGTCACCCAATCAGCACAATGTTGTACACTACTTAACAAGCCTTTATAAACGAGGGCAGCAGCAAAATGGCCGGAAATATAAGCATCTATCACAGGCTTAAAATGTTCAAATTTTGAATCCTCCAAATGGCTAAATATTGAAACAAGAACTTGAAAAACAAGCCCAGAATGTGCTGTTGAGTTTCCATCTTCTGTGTGAAACATAGCGAATAAAGCATCAAGTATATCTTGAAGAAATTTCACCAATTCTTCACCATCTAGGCGTAAAACTCGTCCTAAAGCTTCTGCTATTCCTTCTGGATGTGTTTTCCATTGTAGGAGGCTCAATAAATCGACATTTTGAGTTAATTTTGTGCTACATAATAATGTTGAAATAAAAACAGCTTCTTTTGGTGATCGAATAAATGGTGGAACTCCAGAATAATTTGGTTCCCGTGCATTTGATGGTAAAGCGAGATAACTCAAGGAGTCTAATTTAGCACGTTCTTCACATTTATATATATAAAGTTCATGCAGACCATCTTGAATTGTAGCACCACCATCTGGCTCCATTAATCGTACGAAAGCAAAGTCAAATAATTTTTTATCATTTTTTTCTCGAGCTATAAAAAATGAAAAATAAAACGTTTAATTACATGTTCATTTAATGAGAAATCATTAAAATACATACTAGAACAATGACGAAATTCAAATCGTATATGGCTCCCATAAAACTTTTCAATAGGAACAGCAAGTCTAACAGTCTCACCCCAGTATGGGCTATTGTGATGATAAATTACTAGGCTTTGGTATTCAGAACTACCTTCCATACCAGCAGCTCCAAATAAACAACCTTCCAAAGGTTGTCCTTCTGCATCAAGCACCAACATTGTTACCTGTTGAGAGTTCATTACTATCATTATTGTATAATTTAATACCATACTATTAAAGTCATCTTATAATTAAAGTGTTAATATGAATAGCTTCTTCAACAGTTGTAATAATGTTCAACACATTCATTATTTTCTTAAACTAATAACGAACATTAATGTTGGTTTAAATCAATGACAACTACTGATTAATTAATTAACTGTTGGCAATATTTTCACAATAATGAGTGTTATCACTCATTAACAAAGAAAAGTGCTCGTTAAAATCTATTAAATCATTACCTCAATATTTTTTCCAGTTGATTTACCACCTCGTTCAAATTCTCCACGTTCTAATCTTAAATACAAATCATTTCTTACATCGCCTGGCATTATGACATCAGAAAATCCCAGTTTTCTTGTGAGGCAAACATTTTTAAAAAGATGAGGATTTTCTTCTCGCACTTGAGATAATTCACCATGAAGAACTCGTAGTGATACAACAATTCCGTAATTTGGTTGACCGGGAAGAGGAGAACACTTGTTGTTTTTTATTATCTGTTCATGAAGCTGATGAAATTCTTTTTCTTCGCCTTGATATACCTAAAATGTCAACATTTTATCAGTATTTCAAAGATAAGGATTTGACTTAAAAAACTACATAGTATTTATAATGACCATAAAAAAAATTTTACCTTAAATGTCATCTCTAATTCTTCACTATGATCTTGAGCAGCTTCTGCTAATGATAATACACCAACTCCATGAGGTCGTCGGTAATTAACACCACCACTTTTATTTTTATTAGAATCAGAATAAAGCATTCGACCACATCGCATCACATGAGCTACTACATACAGATCACGACTAAGATCTGAATTTCCAAGATCAGTAAAAATGGTACAATTGCTGTGTAGTTTTTCAACATAATTAGAAAAACCTTCTTTGGATATTCGTACTAGGAAACGTTCGCTTAAATATTGATTTCGTCTAGAGTCCCACAGGGAAAAATATATTTCTGTATCTTCACCAACGGAATGGCCAAAGTCTCTCATACAAAAGTAAAGATGATGAGTGAGTACTTTTTTGTGCTCTTTACGACGTAAAGTCCCTCTTGCTGATGCTCCTTGAGAATTTTCAGCGCTTTGAACGTGCTAAAAAAAATTATATATATATATCATATAAAAATGTTAAGTAGGAATTACATTTTCTTTCTTTCTTCTTTATTTTTTATAAATGATAAATACCACATAATAAAGATCCACTACAGACATAGTATCTGGTTCTACCATGTGTGCTCCTTGTCGAGGCACTAAATCTAGTCCGAGTTTTCTGGAAAAGGAAATAAAATAAATTAATATAAAAATAAAAATTTATAAACAAATTAAAAAGGATTGCTTTTTAATTATCATAGTTGTTGAAGTTATTTTATCTTCCGCAATTAATATTAGTATTTAAGTAAAAATTACTATTAATAATTTAAAAAAAGAATTATAAACGAGTATCTGGCAAATGCATTCAATATTTTACGTTCTTTTATTATCACTGAAGTGTAAAAGCTAAGAAAGAATATGCATGAATGTTTTCTTTTATTTTTGAAAATAAGGTGAAGTTTCTAGTGAGTTATAATAGTGCAGACTTAATACATATATGCACATATATGTATGCTCTGCATTAAATGCATTCTGCATTTTATATACTCGACTACAAAAAGTGCCCTCTGACGCTTTCGATTCTTACATCTCATGAATGGAATGCAGGTAAGCGTTGAAAACTGTTCAAAAGCCAGGTGGACGAAAAAATAAATCATGATTCTCTTGAAAACAATGTCAAGATACAAATCACTCTGTAAAAAAGGACAATCATAGATTTTGAATTTATGTATTCAACTAAATTGCCATGACATGATTACATAGAGTAAAAATCTAATTAATAATTCATATGATGATAAAATATAAATCCAAAGTGGCTAAAATCATTTATTTTTCAATTCTCACAGTAAAACTGTCATAAATCTGAACTTTTTCATTACTTAAATTCTCTTTAGAGTCTAGACTCTAAAGAGTCCAATTGGATAGCATTTGCTATTCCAGATCACCCATGGGCATTACATGCGGCGAGTGGTATTCAGCCACTTTCGCAATTGCTCGATACTCCTCCTGGGAATTGGACCGTTGGTCCATAAGAATTTCAAGGTATATTACTAGTCAAAGCTGTTCTTCACCTCTCTTATAAGTCTCTACACTATACGGTCTTCCGGTGTACATGACTCCCACACCCTCTGATAAACTTTCCCAAGAACGTATCTACTGCGGGTGAAAACACTTTTTTTCACTTAACAATTTTATTGTTTCCACCAGCATCATTGTTCTTCTCTGCTATTTATTTCTTTTCTATCATTAATGTCTAAGTTATATTAACTTGAAAAAATTTCTTCAGAAAAATAATTTATATTTAAATAATGAATTGACTAGAAAAACTCATCAATTAGATAAGTAAAAATTGTTGGATGCATCTATTCATAGCAAGATTGATGCAACATTTGATTCCTAAAAGCCATGGGAATAAAAATTCCAAGCTTAGCAGGTATCATTTAGAAACAGAAAGTATTGAAAAAATAAAATGGGGCCCAAAAATGCTTATGTCCGGGTCTGATGAACCTGAAAGGCCCCCTCGATTAATGGAATGTTGGTGAGTTGGAGACTTCAATGCGTGGAGACAGGTTCAGCCAATGTCTGCCTTCTTGGGACCTATGTCCCTTTCCAAAGATATCGGATATTCTTTTTACAATGCCCAGTTTGGCTGTAAACATAAACTATGCTAAAAATGTCACTATTATTTCACCAATAAAAATATTTCAATCTTTTTATAAAGATTGTATTCAACTATTCATTATCTATCAAAATAGTACATTTATTTTCTTCATAGCAATCCATATTATCAGTTTACTTTATCAATATCACTTTAGTAAAGTGAATTAATCTGTTGCTCATATCGACTATAATCACATTCATAATCTGATTAAAACTGAATTAACATTGATTATTAAAGCTAATGATAGCAAGTGATTACGAGATATCTTTGTGCTATTTCCCTTTATGGATATAGTCATTATAAAATGGCAGTTGTAGTGATTTTTTAGCTTGTTGAGTTATTCATTGTCTTGTCCATTTCTTTCTTAGGTGAAAAACTCGTGAATAGACTGCTGATGATTAATGGCTTCAAGGAATTGAATCGTGCAGCAGCTGATACTAGTCTTCACTTCATATTGAGAATGACAATTAATTGTAAATGTATTAAACCACAACTTTAAACTTTGCTGTTTGCTTTCCCTATTATATCACTACTTTTATTATTGATAAATAAAAAAAAATTTTCTGATTAGACTTGTTATCAAATTATATCACTGGAGTGTCATTCTATTCTTATCATCTTCTTTAGTTGCTATTTAAATTACATCCATAGCATTATATATGTATATATCTCAACTTTGCTGAGTCAATTTCTAAAAACAACATTTTGCTTGAATCATGATCTAAATTCCTTGGTCATCCATTATGAAATGATATGTCTCTAGATCTCAAATTATTAAACTGATAAAAAGGAAATTATAAATATGCAATAAATAAACTGAAGTATTGCATACACATACTGGACTCAGTTCAACTTCTTTAGAGGTATATAGAGGCAAGACAGGAAGAATCAGACAACCAGACGACGATAACCGGTTAAGTTTCATGTAGCATAGCTTGGCGTCAGAAACAACGACCAGCTTGATTTCTCATCGGTGGCAGCGACCTCATACTTGTAAGCATCACTAACATTTGTCGGTTCTTTGATTAAAAAAATGATGAACTTCAAGCAGAAGAGACGTGTCTTGAATCATCAGCCAAGAAACCATCTTAGCTCTACATCAACCAGTCAATGGCTACTTGTAGAGAAATGGATTTTTCAAGTGATATCATTTGTTGTTATTGGAGGCTGTGAAATTGTGGATTAATCTTGATTAGCATTATTTGAAAATTCTAGACTAATATACATATGAAAATTCTCTTTAATGTGCAAATAGAATTTGTCCACTGTGGCTATGTACTTTACATAGTAAAGAGCTAGAGATAATGGATGTCAGGGTCAAATCCCATGAGCCCTCTGCTCTCAATTAAGTCAAATGATACGAGATTAAATACGGCGTCTGATCTCAATGATTTTTTTTATCCTATCTTCCCTTCATCACATTAGAAAATCTACAAACCAGAGATAATTATCATTATCTGTAGGAACTTTAATTTATTCATAATATTTTTCTTATTTACCTCAATATTTTGTTTCAATTCCGTTCGAGACCATTGTTTATTATTCCCATTAATTCTTAAGTTTGTATCCGGGATAATTATTAACACAGCAGAATCAATTTATTGATGTTAAGAATTAAATGTAAAATTTTTCCGGAATTTGAAAGAAATAAAATAACGGAAAATGATAAATGTTATTTGGAGTAACCAAATGATAAGAAATTTCCAAATATATGTTCTAGATTTGATAGTAAACAGTTCTAAAAATATATTAGAAACATGTTTTAGAGATAATTTTTTTTTTCAACTCTCAATGAGTCTGTGAGAAAAAGTTTCAAAGAGAGTTGTAAAATGATTGAGCTTGATGATGGTAGCAATTCATTAAGAGAGTAAGCTCTACAATTTTTTACTTGCCAGTGGGCATGGGCAATGCCAGTAGCTGGGATTTCCTCGTAATATCTAAAGTCTAAAGTGAAGGAACAGAGTAATATGTACTTGTATAAGTTTATATATAACTGTGTTAGTATATGTAATGAATACGCAAGCGCTGAAACGAACACGTTTGAAGAGGAGATGATGAAGGTAGCTCACGTTTTCCTGCTGGCTTTATCTTCGAGGTTGCCCTTACAACGGTGTGCACGTAACCACATAGCTCATAAGACTAAGACAAAGAAAAAAATGATGATAAATAAGTTTAACAGAGAAAGATGGAATAATCTAAGTAACAAGATACCTTATGAAATGGAATCAAGTTCAAGAGATTTTCTACAACCAAAGGTATCTGAAACCTGCATAAAAGAGAAAGCAATAGCTCATATATTACGCCAGCAAAACTTGCATTATTATGCTGATTGAAGGTTGAGAATTCTTGAAAAAAGGAAAAAATATCTACAAAAGTAGTGGTAGAGAAAATTTCAATAGTGCGGTGAGGAAGAGAGACTTTAAAGATCCTGTAACGCTTGCTTCAGACGCTCTCCATGGGGGAACAGGTTCTCAGCATGGTTACTGCGTATTCACCGTGCTGAAAACCTTGGCTCACCCACTAAAGTCCAGCCAAGTAGTGGAAAAGATGGAGTAGAAGAAGAAGATCGTCATATCGTATAAGGTCATGTGAGGGAGGAAGAAAAAGCAGTCTCTCTAGATTTTTTTTTAGCATTTGTGGTTTATGGACGTCAATTGTTTCAACGATCACTGTCAATGGCTCTTGTCTCCTTTCAATCCTTTGGATTTAGTTACACTGACTTTTTATTGTCTAGTTATTTTCTCGATCTCAACTACAATGTATTACAATTCATTTTATATCTACATATTAAATTTCTTGATAAATCTGAAAAATAAGTTTCATAAAAATAAACTTACTTAAACATATTATCAACATTTCAAAATGAACAATTTACCTTAGCTTATTTACTCGACATGTCGAAAAAATATAAGTAAACTCAAGTGAATTAGTGTATTTCAGAAATTCAAGCTTAATTCTTGTCTTATTAGTCATCGTGAGGGAGAGTTTATGAGAAAAGAAAAGGAAAGAATAGGACCAAAGAGTAGAGTGTCGTAGCAGCTGTGTAGCAACTTGAACTGCAGCTTTGACAGAGAATTTAATCTGTTAGGGTTACCCTTGTGTTACTCTAATTTAACCAATTGATGATGAAAAATTATCTCTAGATAAACGTAATAATCTTTAGAACTTTCATAAATCACCTAAAATAATCCATGAGAAAATCGATATGATTTTAGAAACCGACTGTACACCTGGAATAATTGTACTATGGCAGGCGGGCAACATGGTCGGTTGGTGGTGGGGCCCACGCCACTGAAGAGAGAACCCGAACTGAACTCAGTCGTTTGTGAGTCGCTCTTCGGGCCCTGAGTTGGCGCGACGTGCGTCTCCTATATTATTTTATTCAAATTTTAATAGAAATAGTTAAAAAGCAAACCGAAGACTGTGTGGTTTTATTTTTTATGTAAGACAAGTTATAAATTATCCGCATTTATCTTACAATATAGTGGTTTTGTTGACACGAGCTCTAGTATAACGGAGAAAAGCGGTTTACTACGCACGTAATACAGTGGATAAAGGATTTACTACAACCTTAATTTTTTATTAATTAGGTGAGAATATGTAGTGAAGGTTATTTCATGTGATATATATTCGTGTTTTTATAATCTTCAATAATAATCATAACCGCACGTGAACGAAGTAAATTAAGAAAATGGATTTTATTGCCTCCAAGTGCCTAGGATATTCTTCATTGACGCTGAAAACTTGTGGCTTTCAGACATACTACTGCTCAAGTTTTATTCTTTAAAAACTACATAGTAGTGTTACACTTTGAGCTAAATTTTGTGATTGTTTCTTTTTTTTTCTAAATAAACTAAAATACATCTTTTACAATCACAAAGAAAGGAATATATGTCAATGAACTGACATTTACATACAACAATAGAGAATTAATTTTTTTTTTCTGCTTTTGTATGCTTATAAAATGAGATTACTTACATTCAAAGATAAACACATAACGATACATACATTATTCAAATCAAAACAACAACTAACCTCCAAAAATTTATATTAGACCTCTATTAATATGGAGTTACCAAATGATACTTTTAAAAATTTCTCTGTAGCTAAAAGACAATTTGCATACATCATTTATGAAACTAGAACACACTTTGCTTGATTTAATAAGTAATTAAAGAGTTATGAATAGCTGTAGCTAACAAGCATTTACTGTTGTTTATCTATACTTGGAACATATAACATACAAAAGAATCATAAAAACATCCTAAACTATCATAAAGCTCCAAATCTAAACATTGTATTTTATATAAATTTAATGATCCAGAACTGCATAATAATATTTAGTTTAACATTGAAACAGGAAAAACATATATTAATTAATGATAAAACGGAATTTATGACCAATAAATATGCTACTATGAAAAGTAATTAAATATATTTTGATATTCTTTTTTAAAATAAATATTAAATCATTAGATTTTTTTTTTTCAAACAAGAATAATTTATCATTCAACACAGTTGTAGTGAATAATTATATTGAAAATGAACACAAGGAGACAGGATAAGAAATGTAGATATTTAATGCTCTTAAAATGTCTTTTTCTGCATCTAATCTCTAGAATAAACGTATTTTTTCTAAAGAATCTCAACATGATTTCTGGCTTGTGCTCGTAACGTCTTTGATTACATATATAATAGTAAATGCCATAAAACGCTTCAGGCTTATGTTGAGTTTAATAATCCTTTCACCACTCTACACGATAACATTTTCTACAATGTTTTAAGTGATAAAAGTTGCTCGCTATTTATAGTTTTAAATGTGATTTTATATCATAGACAATTTGAAAAATTTTTGTTTTAGAAACTATTCATTTCATTTGCTAATGAGCATTGATAAAGTGAATCTTTTTTTCCCATCTAATCAGGAAAAAGTTTCAATGACTCATATAGTACTTATTCATATCCTTTTGTTGTAATTGTTATCATGAATTCAAAATTTAAATAATCTAAGAACATTTTTTCTAATCACTTACATACAATTGATAGCATTGATCACGTTATGACTTATGACTTTTGACTTCAAGTTCTCTTTCATTGCTTGAGTCTCAGTACCATGCAATCATTATACAATGTGTGATGTTAAAAATATAAAAATTTAAAATATTCTACAGTAAAAAATCAAATGAATTATTATTATAATACTGTGATAATTTATTTACTTCTGTTTATTTAATTCATTTTGTTAATATTAATGATTGTAGTCAACCTTCTCAAGAGTTGAGAGAGTGAATGACCATAATTCAACTCATCCGGCACAAATTCCATTAGCATGAACTAGAATTTTATATCTTTAACACAACAATCATTCACGAATACATAATCATAACTGAATATTTAGAGTATTTTATTATGAAATATTTTGAATGATAAAGACTCCTATTTTTTTTTTTTATACCATATTTTATCTTGGCTTACTTGAAAAGTATGTATTTCATTATTTGTTTTCAGTTTATTTCGATATACCAGATTTTTCTATGAAATATATTTCCAACTTCTTGGGCAAATAGCCAGTATATAACATTTTCTTATGCCTGAAACGATATTATTCTAGTAATATCTGATGTACAAGATGTCGAGAGTGAAAGAAATCTTTAATTCATATCATTTTGTCAAGTTTACTGAATATAAAAATAAAAAGAGATATTTTATTTTTGATCAACAAAAAGAAGAATTGTATATTTTAAATATTAAATGTTTGTTAAATAACTGAGTATTATTAAATAATTTGTAAATATCAAGAAAGATAAATTATCATTTAGTTGATAATATTTTTTTTTAATTTATTGAATAATTTAACTTTTATAATTTCTTTTTAATTTAATAAAAAGACTTGTAAAATATATCATTTAAATGCAAACATTTCTTATCTAAATTAATAAACTTTAAAAAAAGAAAAGCAGAATGCGGGTTTCAGTTTGTTGGACTTGAAATTCCAGTGTAAGGTCAAAGACCGTGAAAAACCGAGGAATAATTTCGTTCATTAGTATTTGAAGAGAACAACCATAGACGTACATTTGATTACACAAGTGTACTCATAGAAATTCTCAAATTTACTGTAATTCAAATATTCTCAACAATTCATTACTAAAAACAGTGTATAAATATATTTAAATACATTATAAATTATATAAGTTTTAAATGTAGTAATAAATACAATTTAAACTTTAAATAATCTAAAATATCCTTTTAATTTTCATTTAAATTAGGAAATAAATGACAAAAAATGAACTTAAGTAATTAAAGTGTAATTTGAAATATTTAAATTAATTGTCTTGATAAAATGATTCATGAAATTCAAGGATTTATTTCAAAAGTTTTTTTGATTCAGTTGGTTGACGATTAACATCTTGGATAGAATATTTAAACTACTCGTGAGTTTCAATTAATTGTGACCAATAAAGCTTCAATGATGAACAACTTGGTCTAGTTATTATTAGTGTTTCTTGTATTTATTTTTATTTACATGATGTAACATCTGACGTATATTTCATACTGTAATTACTAAAATGTTCAAATTACAATTTAATAATACTTTCAACAAGATAGTAAAATGTATTTATACGAAATACCTTCAAAACTAGAAATAATTATAATTATTTTTTTAATTGTTAACTTAAAAATCTTTATATTCAGTAAAATAATACATTGAAAACAATGTTAAAATAGGCATTATTAAAGAACTTTTGTTTGCTGAATATTTAGCAGTTTCATTGTATTGAATTATTATTATTTTTGTCAGATTATTCATTGTCATGTTCATTGATATTTTTTTCCAGGTACTGAAGTGGAATCAAGATGACAGTTTTTGGTCTTGTGTCGGCAGTTGCCGGCTTTGTGAAAGTGAGGTATTTAATAGACAAGGCCATCATCGATAACATGGTCTTCAGAGCTCACTATAGAATCACGTCAGCTATCCTGTTTGCCTGTTGCATTATTGTCACAGCAAACAATTTGATTGGTGAGACTTTCTTCAATTGTTTTAACAAATCCGTCGATTACCAAATAAATATTTAAACATAATGATTTTTTTTTTATTGAGAGAGACAAAAATTTTAAATCATAAAACATCTCTTTTATTAACAGGTCAACCAATCAGTTGTATAGCCGATTCAGCAGTAACAGAACACGTAATTAATACCTTTTGTTGGATTACGTCTACATTTACGCTACCAGCGAATTCATTGAAACCTGTTGGTACTCATGTAGCTGCTCCTGGACTCGGTACAGATATTGGAGACAGAAAATATCATTCATATTATCAATGGGTACCTTTTATGCTTTTCTTCCAAGGGATTCTTTTTTATGTACCTCATTGGATGTGGAAACAATGGGAAGAAGGTAAAGTTCGATTAATTTCTGATGGCATGAGAGGCACATCTGTGGAAACAAAGCAAGAACGTCAGGAAAAAACTTCCAAACTTGTATCATATATCATGGATACTTTACATCTCCACAATAGTTATGCAGCAGGTTATTTTTTCTGCGAAGCTCTTAATTTCGTTAATGTTGTAAGTATTTATAAATATTTTTTCTTATTTAAAAAATTTTCGTATTAATAAAATACATGATACTAATAATGAATTATTATTGAATAGGTCGGTAATATTTTCTTTTTGGATACATTCCTTGGTGGAGCTTTCCTTACTTATGGAACTGAAGTTGTCAAATTCAGTCAAATGAATCAAAATGAAAGAAGTGATCCTATGATTGAAATCTTTCCTCGTCTAGCCAAGTGTACTTTCCACAAGTACGGTGCTTCTGGATCTATTCAAACACTTGATTCTTTATGTCTACTTGCTTCAAATATTATTAATGAAAAGATATTTATTTTCCTTTGGTTCTGGTTTATCGTTCTTGCAATAATGTCTGGCTTAGCATTATTATACAGTATGGCTGTTGTTTTACTACCTAGCACACGAGAAGCCATCTTAAGAAAACGATTTAAATTTAATGCATCATCTGAAGTTAGCAATCTCGTTAGAGAAACACAGGTATGAATAAATTGTTTGTTTAGAAATTCAAATAAAAATACTAATTTAATTTTATTTTCTAGGTTGGCGATTTTCTTTTACTTCATTTATTGGGACAAAACATGAATATGATGACATTTAACGAAGTACTTGACGAATTGTGTCGTCGTTTTCGAGTTGGTTCAAGTAGTGGTGCATCACCGGCATCTGTACCGTCGGCACCAAGCACTCTGGAAATGTCTCCTATCTATCCAGAAATGGAAAAATACTCCAAGGATACAGAGATTTAAATTTACTCTTATTTTTTTGTGATAATCATAGGTGCCTTAAAAATGACAGCTTAGTGCTACCAGTTATTAGAAGTGCGATTCAAGTATTGATCAAAGTTTTTTCTCTTGAATTAATAAATAATTACTATTTACTTGATTCAAAGTTATCAGAATGAAGAATAACTTGATAAATATTTAAATTTATAGAAAAAAAAATTAAAAAAAAAAAATATTGCCACGAAAGAAAATCAAATGGATTAATATGAAATTATGTAAAGGTATAAAAAACATTACATAATTTTATTTATAATGAAAAACTTAGTGCAATGACAATACAACGTAGAATAATCAAAGTCGACAACCAGAAAGAAAAAAGAAAAGGTCGTCTTGGTTTGAATCAGTGGGCTGTGACTCGATCGATTCTGTTTGTAAAACAAAGTACGACTTGGTAATTGAATATCAATATATTTGATAAATTGATTGTTTAGTTATCATTGCACATAGCCCTTTTAAGATTATTGATAAAAAGTATATCAGTGTAGTAATTAATATATCTTATTTTTAGTAACTAAATACTTGTATACTTTAATGTATATTCCGTCCAGGGCGTCGAAATATCATTCATACATATATTGTGTTCAATATCATATTTGTATTCATTGAAAAAAAAACTTTTATAAAATTTTATATCATGATTTGAATAAATTAATATTCAATATAGAAAAATAGTTGCTCAAAGAAGTAAAATAGTGCCAAGTAAATAGAAAAAAGACACAATTGCTAAATATTAAACAATTAAATTCAAATTATATCATGTTATTATTATCTCTTCTTTCATTATAATCCGTTAACTGTGACGTCCTTGAGTACACTCAATAATTTACTTAGCTTTTATTTTCTCAAGTACGAAAAGGTAAATAAAAGACCATGAGTTTCTTCTAAGAAGATAGTTACTGCGATTTATATCTTGAAAAGGAAAAACTAAAGTTGCCCTGGACAGTTACACGACATGCTTATACCCTTATAAATACAATTGAACCAGGCGAGATTTAGTATTATAAGAATTTATTACTATTTTCTTAGAAATTTTTTTTCTATTACTGAGCTTTCTTTGATATAAAGCTTTTTTATCAATTTTATTTTTTATAATTCAAGCCTCTCATAATCGAATTGACTATGAAGATTAACGAATGTTCAATATCGTTTATTTTCAACAAAAATGTGTTAAAAATATTTAGCTATATCGTAAAATATTCCTGAGTGATCTTTGACGTAGAAAGTAGCAATTGTATAAGAATTACAAATAAATATAATTAATAGAACGGTTTATCTATGAAGTAGATATTTCAATGTAATAAATAAAGTAAAAAAAAGATCAATATTCAATAGATGGCAATGTTTTGCCAGTATTATTTTGAATTTTTATGCTTAGATAAACCGTCAATTATATCAAATTAGTACGAAAATAATTGATAAATGCATTTTTGCCAGTAAAAAAGAAACAATAAATAAATAAAAGTAGTTAAATATAACGATAATTATTCTATAAAAATGTTACGAAAGCCATCTCATTATGTATTATGTAATCTATCATTTCACATTTATAATAATAAATTTTGATTATTTCAATTTATGCTACATAGTTTGACTCACCGATTTCCCCAGTCCACTTTGTTGATGATTCGTAGTTTCAATTCCCTTGTTTGATCTGTCGTTAGAGTTCCACCTAGAAGTTGTCGTCTCCATTCCAGTAATTCTCTCATTACCTTTCTTAATGTGTTGAATTTGTAAATCTCCCGTTCCTATTAACATCAACATTTCACTTATATTTTTTTTCTTCAAGTATTACTTAACATAATATAAATGTCATTTATTTACATGAATTTCGATATATGGAATTAAGTTTTGAATTAATTTTCTATAAATCATGTTTGTTTTTTTTTGATTTTAGAAAAACACAAATTAAAGAATGTATTATTCATAAATGACTATAGATAAATTTTGTTATTTATTTATTTCATAATAATTTATTTTCATCTCTTTAGAATATATTAAAATTATCAAATTCTATTTTTTATTTTTAATTGTCGTTTATTTTCTGTATTACTTTTCATATTCTGATTGAATAGGCATGCGAGTATGCAATTTTTGTTGCAGATTCAAAAATAAAACATATCGAAGATTAAAATGTGTAGAGGATTATTGATTAATTTAATATTGAAACTATTTTTAGTGATTTTTTTAAAAATTAAAAGATATCCAATTTGTTGGTATTCTTTTACTGTTTTTATTGATTTTTTAAACTGCTTTAAATTTTCCTAACTGAAATATAAATTTTTGATTGAACAATAAGTCTATTTCGATGATTAACATGAGGAAGTGGACTTTTGACTCAGAATGTAAGAGCAATTTTTTATTATTATACGTATTGAGATAAAGAGTAATGTGACTATGTTGATGATTCACAGCTTAGTCTGAATGTGCAACTTGACTTAAGAAAGCTATTTTGAATACGACATCTATGAATGAAAAGAAACTTAAGGAAAAATAATATAAAAGAAGTTGGCAGACATTTACTTACCACATAAAGTCTCTTCCAGATTCCACCCCATTCTCGAAGAACTAGGGTAACTTCTCGTACTACTGGATCTTCCTCTGGTATTACTGACTCGAACAGGCCTTCGTTTTCGATTTTGCATGGTTTCAAATGAATATAAGAACTGGGAAATATACCTTTCACTGCTCGATTCTTTGTTGAAAAGCCTCTATACCATCCTACAACAGGAATTTTTACTTTTTTTTCTCTTTCATTTGAATCTTTTGTTTCTCTTACTCACCTGCACATTCTTCTAAAATATGAACCGTTTCTCCAATCTCTAATGGCAGTCCGTATCTTGTGTCTCCTCGCCAATTGTAGACGGCTGAAAGCATTCATTACAAATTAGTTTTATCTAATTCTATAATTTATCTACAAAGTATTAAGTAAATTATAATATTTTTAATATAACAGGTTTTGCTGAATGATAACATGGAAGTAATGGAGAATAAACCCTTGGGGGAAACAAATGAGTATTGATCAACATTTTTTTTCAGTTCCAACCTTAACAGGAATGTCTCCTTCAAATGATTGTTATTTATTTTCTTTTTATTTTTTAAATTAAAATTATGTATAAAATAAAATAATTTAATAATATACGTAGTAATGATGGATTAGAAGTATCAACTTTCTACAATCATAAGAGATATATTATTATGAGAAGCATTTCTTTAGCAGCATTGCTAGATGATTAGATAGTGAGCCATCATGTACCAAGGTACAACTATCAATAAATAGAAGAAAATTTAGACTGGAAATATGTGTATAGCAATAAAAAAGAAAGATAAAAATTAAAAAGCAAAAGGAAGATGAGTAAAAAAACACTCCTTAATGTGAACTTTGGTCACCGGATGCCAAGCGACAATGTGCGTATGATACAGGCTTCCGGCCAACGCTAGAGAGACTCGACGAGAGATGCATCTCAATGAGCATTTACGCCTAATGTATCACAGTGTGTGGATTGCTGCTTCATGACTTGAAATGTCTGATGTTTTTAACGCCTCGATTGTCATTAAATAACTGAGTTTACGCAAAAAATAACATGTCTTGTAAGTAATGGCAAAGGGAAGATTATTATCAATCTTATCAACAATTTGTCTTACATTTTATGTTGTATTGTACATATTCGTTGATAATATCTGCAAACATTTACATCAAAATCTAACATGGATTTTCAAGTAAAGAATAAATTTATACTACACAATGGAGTTAAAAATATATAGTAGTCAGTAAAAGATTTTAATAGCAATTAATTATTTAATTGGTTCAAATAAATCATTTATCAATTTAATTTTTTTATTTGATTATTTAAAATTGGATAATTAGGAGTAAAATTTTATTAGATTATTATTATTAAAATTTATTTTAAATTTAAAAGAAAGAATTTATTTTAGTAGAAAGAATTATTAGTCTCTAAAAATGAATCAATGAATATTCACTGTTTGCTGTTTTAATAGTAAGACTAATTAAAAATAAAGTGATTATAATCTATTCTCACTGTTTCTTTTTAAAAAGTAACTTATGAGAATAATTATCAAATTTAAAATAAGAATTACTTCTAATAAATAAGATATTTCAATCAAATAATTTTTATTCTTTTTAGGAGTAATATTTGTCTTGAATTCAATCATTTTGCTACAAATTGGATTACTTTTTCTCTACTTTTGATTTGTTCCTAACTTATTTTACTCTCTAAAAATGAATCAGTGAAAATCACTGTAAAGCAGTGTATATTCACTGATTCATTTTTATCCAACAATTTTTTCATCATATTCCAGTTAGGTAAAAGACCAAGTCATTTTTACTTGAAGATTCTTTCCTCATAATTGATGAATATTCCTTTGAATTTGATTAAAAAAAAAGATTGCTTTGATCGAGACAACTTTCTTTTTAAATTACATTTCAAATAAAGAACAACTATGTTATTTTTTTTTTTTGACAAATCATTTAACCATGAAAGCTATTGCAAAAAATTTCAATATCAATTTTCTATAGAAGCATCTTGACTCAACTATTTGAAAACTTTCATATTCCATTGAAAAAGTCATATTTGAGATGAAGAGTTTTTGTATAGTACAATAAACGAGGATAGAAAAAAATGAATATTCTAGTCAAGGTTGAATAATTTAGATATTATGATTTTGAGTGCAAAGTTCACACGAACTAAAACTTGATGTGAGGGTTTTTCGCTTGCTTTAAGAGAACAAAGGAGTCAGGAATACATTGAGGGAGCGTTCTCTTTTCCTCATTTCATCTTTCTTTAACTCATAGAGCTTTCCCTGGTTTTCCCCGGGAATCGAATCAATAGCTCCCCCTTTAGATATATAAAACATTATTAAGGGGTGGCTACGAAGGGAAGACTAGAAACTAGAAGAGACGAACGTGAAGCTAATGGGAATGAAAAAAAGATCTAAATCATACCAACTATAATACTCATATATGCATTGAGAACGAAAGAGAATAGCAGCAAATGACTACATCAGCTGTAAATAATACTTGTATTTAATTATTAATATGTTCTATGCACGTTTGCCATATGTTTGAAAATTTAATGTATGCTGGAGGACCAATGAAACACAAATTATGACGTAATAATGTCATCAGGGTCTTTGACAATGAATGCAGCAATCATGGATTATGAATAAGACCATTTTTATTTTCTTTTGTTACACTGAGCAAAATAATAATGACATATGGCTCAAGTGTAATTCAACATTGAATTGGTACTAAAATATTGAACAAAAAAAATTACAACAAATTAAAACAGTGGAATGAATAATAAATATATTTATTAAATGGAAATAATTTCTATATTGTTGGTAATGCTTAGTGTAATAAGTTTGGAAATTGAAAATGTATTCAGCTATTGAAACAATTATAGATAGGTATTATAATAAAATATGAATATTCAATAGACTGATTTTTAAAATTAATCCTATTATCAGTTTCAAAATAATCATGAATTAGTTACTACTGATTTTCACAGTTGAATGATCAAAGTTGTGCTATCTTTCAAGATAAAATTATTCCAATCATTATTTATAACTGTAAAAAATAACATTGATGTAAATATGCGAAACTACAGGAGAAAGTAGTATGGTATGTGCTAGAAAATACAGCAAAAGTCGTAAAGTTTCAGTTATAAATGCTGAAAAGGTTTTTTATTACACGAACTTTGCAAAAAAAGAAATAAATGTTTGACGTCAAACGACAATCTTCTTTGACATCTTCAGTTCTTTTCTCTACATAAGTGAAATGTTCAATTTCCTGCCAAATGCAAAAGTTTTTTCTCGCACTTGTGGTACTATCATGAGAAAAAGTTTACAGGAAATAGGGAAAAATATAATTTCAAGATCTTTCTAAGTTACAGTAGACTAACTTCTGTTTAGGTTCTAAATGATGAATAATAATTACCGGAAACTTGCAATCAATGGATTATTATTATTATTATTTGAAAACCAATGACAAATATTAATTCTTTCAATTTAAAAAAAAAACAATCTACTTTTTAATTTTGTAATGCTTTGAATATTAAACAGGTCCACTTGTTAAACTAAAATTCGTGAAAATATTTAAAAAAACTATTTACCAATAATTATTGATCAATTATTAGAGATCAAATTGATAAACATTTGAACTATCTGGATAATAAATAGATAAAACATCTAAATATTTACAAAAAGTTAAAGCGATCATGAATGAATTAATTAAACAGCATGATTGATCGTTGGACAAGTTTAATTAAGTAACAGCAATTGATTGATAAACTTGAGCTTTGATGTTGATATTTATAAATTCTTCAGTAAAATTTGTTTTCCCGCCACACAGTAAAATTTAATTAAATATTATATTACGTATTTTCTATTTATACATTATATTACTACCAAGTAAATGTATATTTGTAAGTATAACAGTGTTTGTTATTTTTTATTTGCGACCTGCATGTTACCCAGAACGTTTGTATGGAGGTAACACGAGGGTAATAATTGAACTAAACATCATGCAGGAAATAAAATTACCACAAAAGAGAAAAAATAATACATTTTTGCTCTTCGCAGAACATAGAATGACTAATAAATATAAGTAGCAGATTATCATTTTACTTTTCAAATTATCGGTAATAAATGGAATGTATGACATAATTATTTACTCAAACTAATTGAATTATTTTAACTAGATTAATTAATATTCATGTCAAAATTAAGTTAAAGACATATCATCTTTGATAATTAATAAAAATTTTCAAATTAATTATTGATATCAATGAATTTGTGGTGTTAAAAACAAATTTTTGTTTAGTAACTATTGTTTTTTAACAACTAGTAACATTGAATAGTATTGAAAGAGTCATTTTCTAAGTTGAAAAAAAGACATTAGTCATTGTCATATCAGTCTTATACGGTATTCTTATCAAATAAAATGACTAGTTGGTTATATTCAAGGTGGACATTCAAGTGATACTCTAGTTTTAATTAAAACCTAACGTCAAGCATTCTCGCGTCTATTGAAGCTCTCCAAGTGGATCCTGTTTCAAGTGCTATCCGATCCACCTGATTCTCTCTTTTCTCTTCACCCATTACCCTCGAGCACGTACGAATTAAAGCGTGAACTTGGTAATAGAATCGATCAGTTCATTCATGAGAGAGTCCATCGTATCAACAAACAATAGTTGCTATTTTCCTTTTATATACTTTTTTACAATGTATTGATAAACAACAAGCATTGTTGATTCTTCTTATTCTGTTGTCAGCAAAGTTCATTTGTAGAACATTAAAAAATAAAATTGCTTTCATTAATGAAAATAAATCGTCCCTTCCCATGTAGGGATTTATTTAGATCCAATTGCTGACTGCCTGAGACCCGGAGCTTTCTTATTGCCTTATCAAATCGCCACTCTTACTACTCGAATACGATCAATGCATGAATGGACCTACATACAAAGCACCAACACGCGCGCGCGCGTACGCGGCGTGTTCACGTTTACGGAGCACGTTCTTTTATCCATCCTGTCGGCATTTCATACCATCTTTATCCATCATTTACTATTTTTTATTGAATAAATAATTGAATCACAATGACTCAGTTAATTCAATGATACAATTTATCCATCGAGTCATCTGGTTAAATTATTTTTCTTCATCCAACATACAGAGTTTGACAGATGAAATACACTAAGGGTTGCATTCGAAAGATGATTTATAAAGCACTTGATATGTTGCACTCACCGACGCCGTATTTAGTTGTTTTCGTCGTCGTCCACATTTTTGAAGATTAAATCACTTGGTGTCTACATACCGATTTATTGTTATTAAAAATTACGGTGATCACGAGAATTTTGAAAACACAAACATTGGGTGTGTTGCACCAGACACTAGTGCTACTCAGATCATTTTACGAACATCGTTGTCGTATTTGCGATACTAGAGACACCGGCGGCAATTGTTGGAAGTAACTTTGGTCACGTGGTTAACAGACACGACACTAGTAAAATTGGAACCTATTTAAAAGTCAATCAAATTTGATATTAAAATAATTTTTTATTCGATTAATTAACTATAAAATGATATTGCTTTATAAAAAATTTAATTTTCTGATAGAAAAAAAAAAATTATATAAATATTTATGATGATTTGGAGCTGAAAATTGTTGCAGGGAGATATTGAAAATATTTACGACACTGGAGTGTTTTTTTAATTATTTTAATTATACGATTTTCAAGATCTATCGTTGTTTACTCTAATTAAGCTTTGTCAAGTTATTGGAAGAGTTCTTCTAATTAGGAAAAAAAGGGGGATTAATCTTAATAGTAAAGAAATATTAAAAAAAAAAAAAAAAAAATGTTTCACGGGGTAAGTTGTACAAACGAGATAATAATAAAAAAATAATATTAAACTATTTTGATTAAAATTCTCTATTTTACAGAAAATAAATATTTAAGTCTTCTTGGCTCATATATAAATATGTTCATTTAAACTGTAGACATAGAGATTTTGGAAATTTATTTTAATAAATACAATATTCGTACAACGATAAGATGATATTAAAAAAGATCTTTGATCTTTTTTTATAGATCTTGATAAGTTTATTATTTACAACTTTTGACTCGACAACTTTATCATTGTCAACGGCTTTCACTTCGTGCAGTTCTGTTTGGAGTTGTTGGATTTTGGTTTCTAGTTATAAGCTAAATGAATTTTTCGAATGCTGTATTTCAAGCAGATGAGAAACTATTTAAAAATTAATTGGTTTTCCAAAGTACGCTGCGAGATGAGCTTCTCTTAAAGCTTCAGAACATGTCTGAAATAAAAATAAATACATTTTTTAATCTGTTTTACAGTTTATTGACTCTTTAAAAGTCGGTTACTTACAGGATGTGCATGGCATACTCTTGCTACATCTTCTGCACTTGCTCCATATTCCATAGCAAGAACAGCTTCATTAATAAGCTCACCAACACCTGGTCCAATCATATGAACTCCCAAAATTTTGTCGGTACTCTGACAAGCCAATACTTTAGCAAATCCTTCAGTATCTAAATTGGTCTTTGCTCTAGAATTAGCAAGGAATGGGAATTTTCCAATTTTGTACTCAATACCCTCTTTCTTCAAATCTTCTTCTGTTTTTCCAACCCATCCTACTTCAGGATGTGTATACACAACACTAGGAACACAGTTGTAGTCAATATGCACAGCACCTTTATTTAAAATAAAAATATTTGTATATTCCTTTGTTATAAAAAAATTGTTGATTAATGTTTCCATAAAATAATTCAGTATTTACCGCCAGCTATACCCTCGACAGTAATTATTCCTTCATCTTCGGCTTTATGAGCCAACATTGGACCATGAATGCAGTCACCAATAGCATAAATACTAAAAAAAAATAAATATGCCATGAGTAAATCATTCTTACAATTTTTACTGATTAGAAAATAATTATTTAACTTACTTAGGAATCACAGTTTGAAATCTGTTGTTTACCGGAATTCTTCCTTTCTCATCCCTCTCAATTCCCATATCTTCAAGACCTAAATTTTGTGTATATGGCCTTCTTCCAACACAGACTAATAAAACATCACACATCAATGTTTCTTTTTTGCTAGGGTCTTTAGCATCTTCAATAGATACTTTAATTTCAGAACCAACTTTCTCAGCTCCCGTAACTTTAGTACTGAGTTTGAAATTTAATCCCTGTTTTGCTAATATTTTCTGCATTGTTTTACTAACTTCTCCATCAATACCAGCACCACCAATTGTTGGCATAAACTCGACTGCTGTAACTTCAGATCCCAACCTACAATATGTGGAAACTTTAATTTCATATATTTTTGTAATGTTATTAATAATTATACCTTTGCCATACAGATCCAAGTTCTAAGCCAATAACTCCAGCGCCAATAACAATAAGTCTTTTAGGTACTGGATTCAATGAAAGAGCACCGGTTGATGATACAATTTGTTTCTCATCAATTTCAAGACCACCGAAAGGTGTTACTTCACTTCCCGTTGCAATTAAAATATTTTTAGTATTAATTGTAGTATCTACTGAACCATCTGGACCAAGGGCGCTGACTTGATTTTTTCCCGTAATTTTTCCATGTCCTTTAACCCATTCAACTTTGTTTTTCTTAAAAAGTCCAGCAATTCCACTTGTCAATGCTTTAACAACATTGTCTTTTTGTTCTAAGAGTTTATCAAGGTTGAGCTTTACATCTCCAACTGTGAAATGAATTCAAGATAAAATATTTTTTTTTTTAATTTTCATAAATACATCGAACGATAATCAAAAATGAAGATTTTAAATTTCTTCTCTTACCAACAACTCCTCTATTATTTAAATCTCCACTGTGAGCCATATGATAATAATGAGAATTATTTAAAAGTGATTTAGATGGAATACATCCTACATTAAGACATGTTCCACCAAGTGTAGGATTTTTTTCAACACAAACTGTTTTCATTCCTAATTGAGCAGCTTTGATAGCAGCAACATATCCACCTGGACCAGCACCAATTACTACTATATCAGCATCTATTGTACTAGCATATCTTCTCTGTTGAAGTACTGATAATGTTGGATTTATGATACGTTTGATACTCGCAGGCTATAAATAGTAAATAAAAAAATTTACATAATTCAATTGGTATCAGAAAATGTCAAGTGCTAGTATTTTAGTACTTTTAAGAGAATCATTAAATATCTAAAGGTTTTTTTGAGTTTTTCACCACGAGACATATTTCATAAATGTAAAAGTCCACTTAATTTTAATCAAATTTTATAATTAAAAGTTTTAGATAAGCAACATTTGACTTTCAACTCGTATCAAAAATTATCACAAAAAGGTTAAATTTTTGGTAATTCTTGAGACAAGTAAAAATAAATGATGGTGTATTTATTGATGACATAATGATTCTCTTACCCTGACTGTCGTCATTAAATTCCACAAATTCGCCTGCATGATGTCTCACAATATTTTTCAAGTTTTCAATAAGTAATTGGGATTAGTGACAAAAAAAGGATGAAATAGGGAACATTAAAAAACGGAACTTTTCAGGCTATCGTTTCATAATCGTGAATGGTTCGATATATCAGACATGAGGTTATTCGATTAATCGAATGATGTAACAATTCAGTTGATACTACGACGACAGATGTCGTTAGTGGTCTGTAGTATTGTTTTTTAATGAAGATAACGGCTAATAGGGGGCAATACTTGTAATATTGGAAAATTCAGAAATAGTTTTTTAAATTAAACAAAATGCATATTGAACGCACATGTAATAAGTGAATAAAAAATTAATCATGTACCTAATCAAGTTACTGAAATTGCTATTACTATTTTCACTTATTAAGTTCATTTTATAATGACATTCTGTAAATGATTAATTGTTATCATCATAAATATTATCAATGTTTAATTACGAATTCCATAAGGTTATGAGTCATTGAAAAAATTTAAATAGAAAGATCAGTTAGATAACAATGTTTGAGATCAGACATAAGTTTATTAAAGTATTACAACATAAAATAAGATAGTGATTTTAATAATAATTTTACTGATTTTTTCAAGAAATTTTACGCAAGCGCGTCAAAGACAAAAGTAATGTTGAAAACGCCATTGAATATCAGGGTGTTCTATGAAAACAGGAAGTCCAAGAGGGGTTGGAATATGGTTTAGATGGGTGAGTGTTACTACACAAGGGTGAACTTTGAAAGAGAAGGAATAGAGTGAGAGGGAATGCCAGTAAAAAGTGACAGATGTCCTGGCGAATGACGCATGGCATACTCAGTTACTGCTCTTTCAAAAACAGTTCAAGTGCTGTCTGTGATCGCCATACTATCAGAAAAAAAAATGGATTAGCGGTCAATTTATTACAAAAACTTACTCCAAGTAATAATATGAAAGGCCGGTAAATTAATACTCTGAAGTGTCAATCGCTTTGCAAGTACGAGTGATATTTTTCTCTTTTATCTTATTTTAGTTCACAGACTGGTTCCTTGGGTATAGAAGCTCGCGTTTATTTTTTCCTCACGCCTTTTTGCCATGTTTCTGCGTATGTTCATTTTTATTTTATTATTTAACTAACTTGTTTTTTTCTTGGACACCCAAACATGATTAAAATTCTTTTGCTGGCATGAATATAAAAATTTTTATTTATGGTTAAAAAAAATTTTTTAAAACTGATTTTTATCTTAAAAATATGTATCTTCTTTTTTTGCTATTTCAATACAACTGTTTCTTTATGACTAAATATTTTTGCATTCTAAAATGAAATAATTTACTGAAATAAAATGATTAAACAAAATTCTCATCAAAAACTACTTTGGTGAAGTATTGATATAAATATTAAACTTTTTTATATTACTCATTTAATAATATTTTAATCCATTAAATCAATCTTTTTTGAGTATCGGATTGTTGTGAAAAAGAAACAGTTTGTATTCAAATTAAATTTTCCAAAATTCAACTTTCAAATAATTGTTTAGATATCAATGATTAATCTAGCAAACAAAAATGATTAAAGCAAAAAAATCATAACTCCAATTACTCAGACATATGGTAAAAAATAGAGTCATTCTTGTGATAATACCAAATCAGAATTAGTAGAATATGCAAAAAATAATATAACTTGAAAAATTTTTTCTTTGTAAGCTGGTAATTATCCTAATGGATCGTTGCATTCAAAGGTCGGTGCTCCTGCAAAAGAAGAGCCTGTTACCTTTCTCTTTCCCTCCGGCGTTGAAGAGGCATAAAAAAATAAATCGCGCAGGTGTAATCGAGTGAAACAGTGAGGTGAGGGATGTGCGAGATATCGAAAAGTCAGAGAAGGACGTATCGTGACCAAGATCCACCTCGAATCTTAGAAACCAACGGTGACGACGACGCACCAGCGGCGCCTGAGCGAGCCGTTTCGACCGAAGGAGAATTCTTCAGGAAGCATCAGCAGAGGTGGGAAGAGGCGTCGATCACGGCCGATGTTGCTCACAGAGTAGATTCCACGGTCAGTACCGAACGAGACAACGTGAGTGTAAGTGTAGACGTAGTAGAAGGAACTCCAGAAGAAAATAACATCATTAAAGTGCCTTCTTTATCATCAACATCATTGTCATTATCACCAGCATCATCATCATCATCTACCTCAACATCCGGGATTGTTGCCAAAGCGGTAAGTCGTTAGTCATATACTACTTCTAATGAAGAAATAAATTGGCATGAAACAATGGATGACGTGTGTGAGTGATCCAACATTAGAAGTTATTTGAAGGAAGTGAAGATAAAGAAAGTTGAATGAAAACAAGAGTCATGAATACATAAAGCTTTGATAAAAATTCAACTACAATTAAATGATTCATGTAGAGAAAATACTTACCTCGTGGGCTATATTGTGATTCAACTTTTTCATTCAAGTAATATTGTATACACACAGACACACACATACACAAGTAGTCTAAGACGCAGCATCCCACTAGCGGTCATGGACAACCCCTGCACCTGCCTCCTCACCATTATACGTGAAGGTATACCTTCTGTTCATAGGATTTTTTTGTCTCGATCATGTTATAAATATACAGGCTGCACCAAAAGTTATTATTTTCCTCATGTTGGAAATAATTTGTATAAAAAATTTGCATCACTATCTCCCTATTGTGATACCCATGACGTCTTTCTATACTGGTTTAGATTTAAACGTTTACCCCTCTTTCAGAGATTGAAAACTATTGAGAATGAATTGATAGCGGGAGGGTGAATCGCAACGACTAGTTGCAAACAAAGCCTCGTGGTGGGTCTACATTCATCACTTGAATACAAAAAAGAAACTACGACATACGTATCTAGGGTCAATCGATATGATGACGTAGTTAGATCCCCTATCGTCACGTCCAAGCTTCTTGATGTTTCTTTTTAACATTTTCAGAGCTTTAAAACTATCATTAGGACCCGGATACCATGGACAATGGATCATTGAGTTCTCAGAATAGTGAACAATTTCACTACTTTTATCTTACCCTGCAGGCAAACGCCTTCAAGCTCTTTTCGACCTGTCTACATACTTTCTCAGGCTTTTTTTTACACTAGTCGAGTGTGTCTGTGGATCGTCATTTGATCCTGCGGGCAATGCAAGTTCATCCCTCAGCCTTCTCTATTTTCTCTTCCTGTTGATCAGTCAACAAGAGGTTTTGAAAACTACAGCTTCTAGTTATAATCTTCTTTTCATCTATTTACCATTCATCTTTTTTTTCTTACAATTTATTATTATTTTTTTAGCTTTTCAATTGAAAAAAAAAACAACTTGCAATTATTAAATAATTATTATGGAAAAATATTATATCACCAGTAGAATTGAGAAGTTTGCTTTTCTCACTTTCGTAGTATTTATTTAGTCAAACACAACGCTGTGTGGGGCGATCGAGTGCACGAGGGATTTATAGAACTAGTGAGTAGTCAGTATGTATGTATAAATTAAAGCACTGTTAAGTTTTGTGTTCTTTCAGTTGGTTGTTTAAAGCAAAGTGTTACATTAAAGGTTTAAACAGTTTCCCTTATTCACTGTTGTTATATTTCTCTTTTTCAAGCTGTGCTAAAATTACTTCTCTCAACATTTGTAACATGTGCTAAACTTGAAGAGTAGGTGATTATACTTTAATATAACAAAATAATTCTATTTTAATAGTTAAAATATTTTTATTAGTGAAAGGTGATTATTTTCAATACACTAACTATAAAATGAAGAAATAATCCTAATGATTTAATTAGTTTACCATTGTAAAACCTTCACAAGTTGACATATATATTGCTTTTTTTTTTCATTCAGTTAAAACGGTATCAAACTACTACGTTACGTGAAACTATCCCACCAAGTTATCGTAATCGCTAAGGAATGTTGTAAAGTAGAAAGGAAATAGAAGTAAAAATGGCTAGAAAAACATAGTTTGTCTAAAGTTTAATCATAATATCATCAGATATCTATAAATTATATAAGTATAATTATAAAGTTATTTTTTATGTGTGTAAGTGATACATTGATGTCATTCTTTTGTATTTTTCAGTTATGACTTGAAATTATGACGTTTTGAATCCTCTCTTCAGTCATGTCATTGTTGTTGCATTCATTCGACCTTGTTTCACTTGTAGACATATAAAAGAAGCTTTGACAACGTTCTTAAAAGAGTATACCAATGTTTGCCAGGCATGAAGTCATTATTTGTCTAGATAATAAAAGTACCAATCACTTTTGATCTCTTTGGCTTGATAAGAGATGAAGAAGGAGAATATTCTTATGATTGTGTATAATTAGAACATGAAATAATCATTTATAAATAATTGGAAATTATAAATTGAAATTTGAAAATATTTGTTTGATTGATGATAATTATCTATCATGATGTTGGAGAATTTGCAAATCTAAATAATTGTATAGTTAACGTAATATTTTGATGATTTGCATATACTCAGCTGTTACAAAATACACTGATTTGAATGATTGAATATACATAAATTACCAACAGATATTTTTTCTATTAACTTTACTAAAAAAAAAAAACAAAATGACCAATGATGAAATTAATTAACAATTATAAAATTAAATTCAAACTTCTAGCCATCATTATTATACTTTGATTATTAATACCTCAAAGATGAAATTATTTTGCAATGTTGAATTTTATCAAAGAATGTCTGTGCTATAAATAGGTGCAAACTGGTATAAATAATGAACAAATGCTTTTGGAGTGATTTCTGTAGGTCAATATGGGTAGGAAGTTTTTGATCGATTTTTCTTCAAGGGTCCCTTTCATCTATGTCGTTGAAGCCTTGTAAATTACACTGTAAATGAACATAAAAGACCTTTTGCATTTTATTTCTGCATTGTCCTTATACGTTGGAATGAAGGAATTACCTATTTCTGTTGACTTGTTTTTAATTATTTCCTGCAATACTTTAATGAAAAATATTAACTTCAATTAAATGTTATCATGAAGCTGCTATTTTTGTAATTCACTTTTTATTTTTTCAAACTTGAATGTAATTAATTATGATGTTATTAAAAATACCAAATCAATAGATTTATTTATCAAGTAAACAGATAATTAGTAATGAAAAATATTCCAATAAATTTAATGAAAGAATTCAGTAAATTATAAAACTATTTTTAGCGTTAAATATTATAAATGAATGTTTTTTTTTCTATCATTACTACTCGGTAAATATATTTAGAGAACGTAAATGAAGTGTAAAGAGGAACGCACAAGAGTTGCATCCAACCGCGAAAAAAACAACTCAAGTGAAATACAAATTCTCTTCAACTACACACACTAGAAATATAACATATGAGTTTCGTAGACAGATATACATAATATGGTTGATGTGAACATTTATATATACTACAACATAAACTAAAGATTCGTGCAGTTCATCACGACTGGTGAATCCACGTGGAAAAACTTTGTAGATCCCGTAAGAAACCCGTTCAACCGAGTTGTCATGCTTTAGAAGGAGAGAAATGAGTGTTCAACTGGTTTCAACACGTATTTATTAGTCAGTTTATGTCATTTATAAATATTTCAACCTTTTTAAACACTCTATATCGCGTTATTACTATGCTAAAATATCATCTAAATTCTTACAAATTTAAATTAAATTCTTGTCCTCATACGTTTGATGAATTTTAATTTGACTGAACTTTATTTGAATCATGTGGAAGGTCTATGGGCTAAGGTATTTATTGTTAATTGAAGCTATTTTGGATAAATGATATGGTATGATGCTGATAATAATGAGCAGATATTACGATGAATATAAATCATCAAATCTGTGTATAATATTAATACTTGCAAATGAGCATCAGCATTTTGATGTCATGTAAAAGAAAAAGATAAAAACATGTCAAAGACCTGTAATCTCCGGCAAATGATGGTTGGGAAATTGTCGTGTACAGTCGACAGAATACTATCGAAGGATCAAATAACTTCCTTGGGAAATTTTCATGAGAAAAGTGAAACGTTAAGAGAGGAACAAGATAAGCTGATGATTGAGATGAATAAGACAATGTAAGAGTTAAAGGTGTGAAAGATGTTAATCAGATTGTTTTTTATTTTATTATTATTATATCTTTTAAACACACGGTCGTCAACGATACTAATTATTAATAATTATAAATTATTAGCTTTACTAATTCACTTTCATATTTTATCATTCGAAAGTAAATTATATGAGTAAAAAGAAGTAGATAAAGTTTGAGTACTTATTCTAATCTTCTCATTACATGTGAAATAAATTCTATAATTTATACAACTTGAAAAGGAAATGAAAGATAAATTAAAGTGAAGTTTTAATTCACGTTTTTTATGTGACTAATGACATATAATTTTTTTAGCAAAGTTACTTTTTAATTTAAATTAATTTATTCATTGATAATAAATGTAAATAATCGATGTTTATTATTAAATGTGATATTATTATTTGAAAATTTCATTCAATCAATAGTGATAGACTTCTCTATCATTGTTAATTATCCTTTAGGGCGTCTGTGGAGTATGAGATGTCGAAAACTTTCCTATTGTAGTGATTCCTGACAGTCTGATCACAGACAGTTCTAGGTCTGATAATGAAAATAAGACCTGAAAGTGAATTTTCGTCTTAGTTAATTGATTTGTCTGATTATATCTATTGACAATTTTACAAATAAGTATTGTTTCATTTTAGCAAACTCTAGAATGAATCAGTGAATATTCACTGTTTAGAATGATAGCATCAACTCTAACAGTGATGGTTTCATGACTGCTGTTTCGTAGTGATTTTCACTGATTCATTTTTATAGAGAATGAATTAAAGTACATACCGTTATGTTAATTAATGAATATATCAGTAAATAATTCAGCCATTTTAGAGAGATAAATAACATTGTAAAGGCTTGGAGTATTTTATCTTTTCTAAAACCATAATGATCATTTTTATTACAAGACTTTGGCAAATTTTAACGAATGTCATTAGAGAAGCGAAAGTTACTTGACGACTCGTTGATACGGAAACAAAATTATACACAGTTATTCGAATGTTATTAAAATTTTTGAAAGTTCTTTAAGTATTTGATTGAGAGAAAAGACAATCAATTGGTTCAGTCAAGCGTGATCTGTAAGTAAATGAAACAATGCTTATCAGTTGAAAAATATCAAAAATTAATTATTTATTTAATAAGATTATTAACATCTTTCTTACCATTTGGAGCCAATTTATGGACAATCTTCAATAATATATACATTGTTCATCTCGCCGATGGTCAATTGGTAATTGGCTGTTTATTATTCAGAGAAAGCGCGATTGTTGACGCTTATAAACCACATCTACACAACGGGATTTCCGATTGACTTGTTGCCAACTCCAATGACTCTCTTGTGGACGTGAATAAGGACGGAACGTCACGAATGCAATTCAAATAATTGTCATGACTTCTTATAAATTATTTTTTTTATCTATTGATATTGAAGTAATCATACATCATTAATTTATCATCATTTAATATCATTTTGTCATTCAAAAGAAACTTTGAAAATAATATAAAAATTAAATTGAATTGAGATAAAAAAAAAAATGATGAAAATGACGTATCTACAAAGAATGAAAATTTTGAGGTTATTTTTTGATACATATGCGTACACTTGTATAAATATGAAACAAAGTGTACAGTAGCAAATAAGTGCTGCTGTCGATCAAGTCTGATTGTCAGATTATATTATAAGCACAAGTGAAAGTCCTCGTGGTCCGATGGAGAGCATGTTTTTCCTGGTTATATTGAGTTAGTCACTGACAAGCTCTCGAGCTGCGTGCATCGTATATCTTTGCGGTTTAAAACGATTGGATAATATATAACATACTTGCTATACAATTTAATTTTACTCTTACATTGATAATATTTAATTATTATTATATATATTATTTATCTTCAAATATTGATATTTTCTTTCAATCATTTCAGTGTCTTAATTATTGAGTCTGATAAAGTGTTGATACGTGGAGTGTTAAAAGTGTTATACTAATTGGGTATTTTGCAACAATTTTTGCCAAAAAAATGAAAAATAATCGAAATAAAAATTGGTAAGGGTGTTTAATGGTGTTTTTAGAATATTTTAATTAAAAAAAGAAAAATCTCGTGTTTCCTCATATTTTAATCGTTGTAATTAATCTTGCGGTTGAGATAAAATTAGCTTTTTTGCAATTTTTATAGTGAAATTATTTTGTATGTAAATTAATGAAACTATAATTTGAAGAAAAAAAAAACAATTTTTCTTCTCAATTTATTGCAGAAATTAGTGTTAATATGTCGATGATTAGTGCAATGTATAAATAAATAATTAATAACTTTCAAAATAGAGTCTGTAGTAAATGAGCAATAGAAGATTATGAATGTCGTTGACCTCGACATATTCAAGGCAACATTTAATTAATATTCAACATTTAAATGACTCTTAATATAATTTCATATAAACCAGTTATTTTGGGGTATTTTTACTCACAAAAAGTGAATATATAACAATAAATAATGGATGGCTTTAAAAATAAAAAAATAAATTAAACAAAATTGTCAGTATATTGAAAACATAACCAAAAAATATTTAAAAAAATATTTTTCCTGATTTTATGTCTCTATAAATATTTCATTGTCGTTTATGAAACATAAAAACTTTCTTCCCTTTAAAGTGCAACACAGTAAGAACAAAAACTTGACGTTCTTGGCCGGTGTACAGAATGAGAATTTGCGACAGCTGTAGTATGCGAATGTACACACATATAATAGTACTCTTGAAGTTTCTCGTTGGTTCTTAGTTGTTACAAGTGACGTGAAGCCGACGCGGTTACGCGAGAGAAGTCATCCAACAGATATATACACCAAAACTGACTTGCTAAAACAACTCAATAAAATAAACGTAAAAAAAATTCCAAATCCATCGGCTTATATCCGTTACATATTACAAAGGTCACATACTCTGTTGATGCTTGGCTCTTTCTTTTTTTATTTCACCAATTTTGTGTCATTCATGTTTACGTGTTTAAACTGAACGGATGTATTTATTCTCATCTTTTTCAAGTTTGCTTACGACTGACTTTTGAAATTACTCAATTATTTATTATTATTGTGCTTGTTGGATTTAATAATCTGAATCTTACATTTATTTACCACAATACAAAAATTCTAGTGCATAAAAAATATAATAAACATTGATAAATTATTTATTCCAATAAAAAAGTGCAAGTTTGAAAATAAATTCAAGTATGTACATTATTAAATATTGTTTAATAATATTTTATTATTTATAATATAAATATCAGTGATTACTATGATGATATTGTTCCTATTAATTGAATATTAGTCTGATAAATAAATAAAAAAAATTAATTAAATTTACGACTGTTTCGAGAACAGTTTGAAACAGTTTAGTGAGCATTTATTTCCGTTAGTTTCATGATAAAATTACACAGTTAATATTCAGTGAAAATAATAGTTTCAATTAAATTGATGCTAAAAGTATCAATGTCTTAGTTTTCTCTTCCAATGTTTTATTAATCATAATTTTATTTGCTGACGTTAATAAAATAATTATAAATTTTTTTTCCAACACCTTACATCATTGGTGATGATTAGTAAATGATATTATAACATTTTTTAATATGTTGTTGAATTTATTAACATGAGAAGTGGAACAAATAAAATAATTACAACACATCGAATGTCTTTATTACACTAATTTTATTTTTACATAATTCAAAAAAATGCTAAAAATTTGATTAATACCATAATTAATCCTTCATTGTCCGTATGTGAGGATTAAAAAAGAAGGCTGGAACTAAATCTAACTTGTTTCTATTGTTTCTTTAAATGTAACATAACGGTGTAATAATACATATAGATTTAATTGTGTAAATTTAATTAGTATTCAAATGAAATAATGAGTTAAGCGTGTTGCGTATACTATTATGCTATACTACACTTGAAGTATTTCCGGGTATACTTTCATGTTCAAATTCAGTTACCTAATGATTTTATTTGTATAAGAGAAAGCCATCTAAACCATGTGAATTTTTTTTAGGAATTTTAAAATTCTTGACGACAAATGATATTTAAAAATAATTTGAATATCATTTAGATGAACGATTTATGAGTGAAAGTACCAAGATTTATTTACAAATTGTGCCAATATTGTGTGGAATTAATGATAAAACATTTCACTTGAAATCGTTAGTTTTCAATCATTACTTGAATTAGAAATTTAACATTGATATTCACCATTCAGTAATTATTTTTTATAAATCAATTAAAAAACATTTCTTAATTTTAATTTCATTTATGTATATAGTTTTTATATTCACGAATTGAGATTGTAATGAAAAAAAAAATGTGCGAGAAGTTTATTTCTCTCTGCTGAGTTATGAGTTTATATCGAAGAGGTTGAGACTGAAAGAAATTAAACCAGCAGCAGGTGCACTAGGCCATGATTTTAAAACCAGCAAAATCTCAAGCATACTTCAGTTGGTCGTTTTGTGGGCAATCTGTTCATCATGCACAGTCAATAGGAAGGTTTTTTTTCCTGGAAAATGTCTCTAGAAATGTTTGACATCAGCAGTATTACTTCGTGCTATTTACAAGAGGCTAATAGACCTGTAAAATATATCAAACAACTGTCATTTTTAATCATCACTATTAACGAGATTAAATCTTTGTATTATATAAAATATTTACCTTATTAATTCTCATAAATTAATTGATACACTGAAACATGTCAATAAATAAATTAAATTGTTGTGCTTGACAAGACAAAACATATTGACAAGAGTTCATGATAATTCTCTTAGATAAGACAAATATTAACATACTCATGCTTCATTTCCTTCCGGACTGTTTGATATATATAATACGAACGTGCTGCCCTCCACTTCCAGCACAATGAACACAACTTTTTGTAGGGACAATTGTTATGTACGTTCATTATGTATGTCTAGTTTACACGCATTTTTTCATTGATTCCCACATTAATTAAAATTAAATAACAAAAGAGTTGTTGGGAATTAAATTGTTCATATTTATCAACAATCAATACTGTAACATTGATTAAAATAGCCGTGAAAAATTTGAAATTATTTTTTGAAATAAAAAAGTAATCTTAAAATTTCTAAGCCAATCCTATTAGTTGTTTTATCAGGAGTGGCTCTTATCGATTAAGTGTCTAACTAGTCTTGTATAAAAACTTTATGTTAAAATTTTGTTATTAATTAAACAAGTTTATTGGATCATTACTCATTTAATAGTTAAACTAGTTCAAATTTATTAATCCAAATATTGAAGTTTATGTCGAAGACTCTGCAAAGTCTGTATACTTTGAAGGAAGAATCTGCATTCTCCTTTAATGTGTTGTGAAGTTGAGTCAACTTTCGTTTCTTCCATTTCAGCGAGCAGTTAAATCTTTATGCGTCTTTTCTCGTTCCTATTTCCTTTTTAATTCTACTCCACATTAAATCGAGATCATTTAAACCGTAAAAAAATAAGATTAATCACCATAAGACAAATGTACAGAACTCTCATAGGCTTGGTAAAGATTTTTATTTTATTTCCGGAATTTTCCTTTCTATCATTTTCTATTAGAAATCAATATTTACTAATTAATAGTCTTTATTGATAAACGAATTTCTCAATAAAAAAAAAACACAACAATAGTTTGAGTATTTTGTAATTTAACTGATTATTTCAAATATTAATGAATTATTTTATTATGCAAGTAATCTTGGTTAATAGTATTAAAAAAACTTTTTTTTATCATTTTAGGTGATTACCAACGGCGTCAAACGAGACCTTGACAGCTGTGAGTCTTTGACAAACGGTGAGTAATCATATTTTTATATAAAATGACATAATCAAACATTTTTTAATTTTCTTCAAAGCTAAAAATATCAATATTTTCTGATATTATTTTATCAAAACTGATTGATAAAAAAAATGATGATAAACATCTAAAGTATTAGTTATAAGTCAAATTAAAGATAAGCTGTCTATTTTTCTATTTAGTGTAATTTATTCATAAAACTAAATGTAAATTGAAATAACAATGTAAGTGAAACTTTTTATTCATTTAATCGTGTTTGATAGATCTCATTAAAAGCTATTTTTATAGGCAAGGGTCCAATAATTGTTAGTTCCTTGTTATACTTTTTCTGTTGATGTACTCACTGACACAGCAGTTGGAGTTAAATTCTATCAATTTAAACTTATGCCAAGAACTATTTGAATGTGATCTGTGAGGTCAAAAATATTAACAGGACTGCATTTGAAGAATTTATTAATTTCCGTTTATAGTTCCGGTTGTAAGTATTTATTTACTCATAATATCTTCCAGACTGTCATATTAATTTATCATTTTTTAATTTCTTTTTGTAGCTTTTTTATCAATGTTCCTTACATCGTTCATGTTCTTTAATCATCCACATGTATGTGTCAGTAATTCCAAGAAGAGCACACATTCGACCTTCATATCATGACCCGAGTGCACTTCTCATCGTTCTCACGCTACTTAGACTGCTTCTTCTAATGACAGTTGTTTATATTCTTTTATTGTACAGACATACGTAATTTATTGTGCAGAAATACGACATGTTAGTCCAGTTTCTAGTGTTTAATTTTTCAATTTAAAGTTGGAAAAAAAATTCTGTTACAAGCAAAAAAATTAATGTTGATCAACTTAATTGAAAAAAAAAAAATTATTAAAATTATCCGTGTTATAAGTAAGTAAAATAATCACTTGATATTTGATCTATTAAATTCCATTGATAAGACGTTAATTCAATAAGTAGTTGTACTTGAATACCCTAATTGAACTCTGTATGATATATTAGCACATTGGATTATATTACAGTGGTATTGTGATTTCTTTCAATGTCATAAAGAATTGATTTCAACAAAAGATATTTAATTAAATTTTTTTCATAGTTAAAATAAAATTTTATTCTTACTTATCTAGTATTACAAATGAACAAAAAAATATCTAAACAAATAAAATAGTTGAAGAAATATTGTGAAAAATGTTCTGGTAAATGAACCAATATCAACTTTATATAATGAAAGCTTAAAGGAAATTTTCACTTTCATCTCGTAAAAACGAATCATCCAAAACTTTTTTTCACCTTTCTTTATATATTTTATAGATGTTCTAAGCAAAGTCATCTACTTTTCTAAATAATATGTAGTTATATTGCAACAAGTTTCAGTCGATTGTTACGCCTCGTTAAAATAATGTTTGAATAAGCAGTAAAAACTTTCAAAAACAATATCGTGGATATTTTATATCTCATTCTTTGAAGGATATTAAAAGTTTATTGATCATGTTTTCCAACTGTTACAAAGTTGTTGAACCACAAAGAAATTTATTGTTGATAAATATAGAGTGAATATCTATAACATTATTTTTAAAATAATTTATTTTAACATTTTATTATTTAATCATTCATTAAACTTTTTTTCCAATAAATTTAAGTTATTTTGTAAGGAGAAATCACATTTTCAATATTCGAGTTTCCAATTTCCCGGCAATTTATCGCCAATTCAATTGCTAGTGTCAGTATTGCATCCAATCGATTGCATCTAATCGATAATCCTGTAAATAGTAAGAAAATAATTTACTCGATTGATTATTTACTCTACAAATAATTATATACTAAATAAATATGAAGGTTATCATATCACCTTGATATTATTATTTAAAAAAAATATAGTAAACAATTTCACCATGTCAATTCTTTTGTACCTGTACATTAAAGGGAAAGCGTTACATTTAATGTCATTATTTTTATTCACAGCGACATTGAGAGAGTATTAATAAAATAGAGGATTCAACAAAAAACTTTCTTTTTATCTATTGATCTTTACGTGAATTTTTTATCAACATGACAAGAATAGAATATTAATGTTCTCTATGACTGTTTTCCTTCTAATCTAACATTTCTAGGATATACCATGACAAATGTAAATATCCTAATTGAATACAAATAAGATGACTGAAATAGTTGATACATAATAAATATTATTATTTATTTAAATATAGTATTAAAAATATTTATTATTACTCTGGAGATAAGAAGATTAATAATAAATTGATGCACGTCTTCGGTGTGGTTCAAGGTCTTAAGCATAAATTATTGATAAAACTTTGAAATATATTTTCAATATGACAGATCTTATCAACTAAAATGAAATTGGCAATAAAACAAAGTAGCAAAAAAAAATTCTAATCCAAACTCCTACGATAATTGATCAATCCTTTACCTCCTACATGAGCTGTTTGCCTTGACTGACCCACGTACATCACTTCTCCATATCCTATTAGTATGAGAAGCCCTACAGAAAGCTATATAACAATTTACTGTTTAATTCAAATGACCTGGAATGCAGAGTACGACAGTATTATAAAGTGCAAGTTATAATGTGCGAGGAGAGTTCGGTCAAGTCGCGAATTGCTTATTTAGAGTGTAAATTTGGTAAACATGAAAATGAGACATGCTATCACTTTATGAAAAATGAGAATCAAGGTGTTTATCATCATGTTTTTATCATTTTTTAAATTTTTATTCAAGTTAAAATTATTCTGTTTATTTAATATTATTTAATTATTTGATCCATTTATGTTTTCAGGTAAGGAGATGGCTCCAATGATGGGAGTTCCTCCACCACCGCCAGCTCCTCATATGGGTCCAGATGGTCTCATTCTACCCCGTAAGCCTTATAACCCGTGCCTGATTTCCAATAACCACAAGGACCTTCGCAGAGAATTGCTATTCAATCAGAAAATGTAAGAGAAATGATCTTTCTTATTTTTTTATTGTCAAAAAAAAAATCATAGTTATGTAAATTTAGAAAAATATAGTATAGTATTTTTAATAACGATTTTTTTTTTCTAGAGGAAAAAATGTTCTTAATCAAAAGAGTGAGCTTCAGAGAGCTTTGGAAAAACAACGGGAGGCAGCAGTAAGAAGAGAAGCTGAAAGACTTCGAGAAGAAGTTTATAAAGATGATCCTAGGACAGCTTTACAGAGAGCTCTTGAACAAAGAGCCAGACAAATTGAACTTATGGTCAGTACACATCACTATTAAAGTAATATTGTTTGATATTTTATTTTTATTTTAAAAATCATTCGAATTTATTGTAATTTTTATTTAGAAATATATAAATAAATAATCTCTAGAATCATTTAATTAAAGGTAATTTTTTTTTTACCGCAGGAACACCCACAGAGTACAGAGCCACAACCAAACCTACTGGTAACCGCAAGAGCAAAATTACGGACACGCACAGATTCTCAATGAAATAAAAAATCGATTGCTTATCTGATTGAATTGTTACACTCTCTCCTAAGGAAGAGAGAACTTATAGAACTAATCGTGTGTTTACGGTTGTATAGTTAATTTTTGACATTTTTCTAATCAAGATTTTTAACCGTGTATATAAAAAAATGAAAGCAAAAAATATGTAGAGATTTAGAAATTGTTTGTATCGTTCGTATTTAAAAAAAAAGTATACAACAGATATTTATAAATAGATTAATTGAATTTCATTCAATTTTCATTTTCTATTAAAAAAAAAGAAAAAACAATAATAAAGATATTGCAGGTAATAAAAAAAGATGTGTCTTGCATAAAAAAAGAGCTCTATTTATACGGGACCAGGTGCAGTTTAGGAAACTAGAAAACTGTACAAAGACAAAAGGCTCTCAATATTGTTCAATTGTCTGCTAACAAACTTTAAATAGCTATTACTCTTGAGCATCTTATTTTGTTTATAAAATAATAATGATAATAATAATGATAATAATAAATTTTCGTAATTAATTCTTCATCTGTATCATATACTCTAATATTAAAATTATATTGATTTATTAATTATATTAATTATTACGTACTAAGTTAAAGAATTGTTCTTTTATTGTAATTAATTACTTATAGCAAAAACAGTATGTTGTAAAACAATTTGCTATAATAATATAAATATTTCAAAACGAAAAGAAAAAAAATACACAAAAATTCTGTTATTCCTTTATCTTTTTCTTTATCTCCATAAACACAAAAAAAAATTATTTATAGTTTCAAAAACTTTTACAAACACATTTTTGTTTATAACATTAATGTTTATCTGATAGTTTTGAGTAATTCAAAAAAAAAAAACAAAAAAACATTGTTGATAAAAAATAATAATAATTACATTATTAGTGAAAAAATTATTGCATGTTCAAATGATGTGTAAAAAATGCGTTACAACAAAATAAACGCACAAAGTGGTTGAAGACAATATTTCCTGAGGAATATTTTCATCACAATCTGATTTATGTTGAAAGATGAATAGTTAGTCAATAGTGATAGTTACAATTACAAGAATGTAAAGTACACGTATTTATTTACTTTCATTAAGATAGTCTGCTGAATTTTGAAACCAAAATATTCAAAAATTAATAATCATCTCCACGAGAAATAACTTCTTTACAAGTGGGACGTAATACAAGAGTATGTTCAAATTGGGCAGTATAACAGCCCTTGACATCGACCAGTGGTGGATAAGCTTCAACAGCACCTTTATCACATAGATCTTTCAGAGCCATTTGATATTTGGTACAACCAATTCGATCTAACCATCGTTTGCAGAAGGCTAAAGTACCTAATGATGACAAAAAAAAAACAATAATCATAAAATGTAAATACTTTTCAAATATCTAATATAAATTTATCCAAAATACTTACTGAAGTTTTTATTTATTGTGTTTAACAATAATTTACTACTTTGTAGTCTTAATGGAACAAAACCAGCGTCAAAGCTTTTCATATAGTGGGAACAATCAGCATCATCATGAACAATTCCTTTACCAGTAGATCCAAAAGTTTCAATTGCATAAAATTCATTTTCTTCCATTCTCGTGGCTTCTCCTCCTTTAACAATTGGCACGGTTTTTCCAGCATGTATACGGTACGGGGCAATAGAATGACCATTTAAGTTTCTAATTGATTTAACCTGATAAGTCTTTCCATCGATTTCCACTTCATATGATTCCATAACTTCTTGAATAGCAGCTCCAACATCACATAACTGTACATCAATACCTGCGGCCTTGATTCCGGTATTGGTGGCATCACGAACTGCTTCAATTAATTTGTCGTATTTAGGATTAAATGCTAAAGTAAATGCACAGTCAATTATTCGACCGTTGATATGAGTACCAAAATCTATTTTTGTTACATCATCATATTCGAGAACAGTTGGATCACCAGCATTTGGTGTATAATGAGCAGCACAGTGATTTCTAGAGCATCCTGTGGGAAATGCTAAACCAGCTTTTAAACCATCTTCACCGATCAATTTTCTTGCAGTATTTTCTAGCTCATTACAAATTTCAATCATAGTCATACCCGGTTTCACCCATTTCATAATGTGTTTTCGTGTTTGTCTATGAGCTTCTGCAGCTTGCCTTGCTTCGTTATAGATATCATTTTGACTTCGATCAAGAGCTTTTGCTTCTTCACTAGTAAACCGATCTTTCGCTGTCCTATCATCAATACCAGCAGCACTAGGATGTTCCATTATTTGACCAATTGGGAAATTTCCATCGGGATATAATTCAGCTACCGGAATACTAGGAGGATCAGTTTGTTGTTTATTACTTTTGCCACGTGGTTTACGTTTTTTCTTTTTTTTCTTAACATCTTCAGCTTCCCCATCATTTTCACCAGCTAGACCAAAATAGGAATATACAATTTCTTATGTACTATTTCTTATAAACATATATTAATACTCATTTAAATGTTTATTTATACCTTCATCGTTATCATTCTCTTTTTTGTCATCTTGTACATCGTTTACAACATTGTCTCCGGTACCTAATTTAAAAATAACCAAAAACTGTGATCAATATAAAATAGCAAGTTTCATGATTTTTTTATAGTTACAATTATTTTTTTTCTTTTAAAAATCTTTAAATTAATGAAAGATTTTTAAGGTTAACTCCAAATATTTTGGAGTCAAATTAAATTTCAAGTAGAATAAAAAATTTTAATAAAGACATGAATATTCTTGATTAATCATAAATACATGATTGAATTAACTTTTTAAAAATATTGGAAAAGCGTTGTAGAAATAATAATAACAAATAATATAATTAACAAAAATTAAAAGGTAAGTTTGATTATTTACGGAAAAATACCAACCTGCTTTCTTCTTCTTTTTCTTTTTTTTCTTTTTCTTGAGAGCATCTGGAGGACCATTTTCATCTTCATCATCTATAATTACATCCTGATCTTCATCAAGTAATTTTTCAGCAGACTTGCCGACTTCATCAAGTACTGCAGCCATTTTTAGAAATAGTTATCTTATTCACAAATATAAAATGAAGTATGATTTTACACTGTTGAATATATATTGATTGATACTTTCTTCAAAGGTTGTAACATCAATTAATTATTAGTAATATGCTATTACCACTTTTGAAATACTTCAATAAATACTTATTTTTATTAAATATCATTTATTTTCCATTCTTCAATGCAATATACTCGACATCTAGCAGTTTGAACTTACACTAAAAGCCAACAGTGGGAGAATAATGCACACATGTATGTAATCCCACAGATGGAGATATTTTTACATTAAATACACGCATATTATATGTCGCAAGTATGTGGTGATTAAATAACTCACCTCATACATATTTTTACATAAATTTTATTAAAACAAATATACATATTTTTATTACTTAAAGATAATTATGACAATAATAAAAATGTGAATAAATTTTTAAACTTCTAGGATAATTTTTTTAATTTAGACGAATAAAAAAGATTTATCCAACAGATGACATGACAAGAGATGCCACATCTGGATCTTGAGAACGCACAGACAATTGCATAGTTACTTGATTATTAGCTAAAGCTAATCTAGCACGAGCAAAAATTTCTTTTCCTCCTCGGAAGAATCCATGAAGAAGTAGCATATGAGAAGTAGCTCCAGGCTGAATTCTATCACTACGATCAGCAGGTTCAAGACCTAAAAATCCAACTAAACTCTGAACGGCAGCCTCTAAAGTAGTAACATTGGCACCCAATGCAAAGGTTTCCTCCATACACTCAAAACCTCTTGATGCTGCTGATTCCCAAGCAGCATTTATATCCATTCCCCTTGTGCCTGATCCACGCATTTGATCTGCAAGTGTAACTTCGAGATCTTCCAACTGTAACAAGATTTAATAAAAGATATTATAATTGTTTGATGTTTAATTAATTATTTAAAAATAAGTGTAAAACTTACCACATAGTCATCCTGATAACCTTGATCAGCTTCAGGAATACCAGTAGAAGGATCACAATCTCGAGCAACAAATTTCAAAGTTGTTGGAGTCGTCATAACGCTTGAATGAATATCTTCTGGGTATTGCAAGACAGTGTATGTTGTTCCTAATTCATTATAAGCTAATTTAGGACAAGGAATTTCACAAATAATTGTATAACCTTCTGGTGCTTCAACTGCAACTGTAACATCCTCAAGTAATTGATCAGAAAGTGTATTTAAACAATCAAATTGTAAAATAAGATAATCCCCACAAGAGTGTTTGACGCATTTTACATTGTATTCAGTTTCAGACTCAGTCAGCTCAAATACAGGTGAAGATTTGAACAATGAAGATTCTTGAAGAATCATAGCTAATTGTGGAACTTGTGACAATTTTTCAGCATAACTTTCTTCTCTTGTTAATCTTGGTTGAGCTGGTTTTGTTACTAGTTGAATTTCAGCTGGTGTTGGCTCTTCAGCAACTTGTGCTGGTGGTACTTGACTAATATCAAATGGTTCCTCCATTGAAGATTTCGTGTAATTACGGAGTGCACGTTCAAGACTTGGAATGGATAATTGTGGTGGATGAATAAGTGGTAATACTGATGGATCATTATGTTGTTGTAGAATAGTACAATAATATGCAGCTCTATCACGAACTTCATCATCAGAATCCAACTGACAACGTGAGAGTAATACAAGTACATTAGGCAAAAGATCTGGACAAGCAGCAGCAAAACGGGCTAAAGCAGTAACAGCAGCAGCTCTTACGCTTGCACTTTCAAGAATTACTCGATTGTAAATAAATCGAATGTATCTAGAAGGTTGTTTAGATGTTGGACCTTCTTGACCAAGCAAATGAAGAATTCTTACTGCAAGAGATGTATGTTCACAATCTTCAATAAATTCACAAAGATGCGCTAATCCCGCTTCTTTTGCTTCAGCATTTCCTTCCATTACTGCAATTATTGTATCAGCAATCGCAGCTTTGTATTCTAATCCTCCTTCATCCCTCAACATTGCTGAAAGAAAGTTCATGAGCACAGCATGTTTCCGTGGGAATTTTTGACATAAAGCACGAATTGCTTGAACAACAACTACTTTAAATTCATCTGAAATTTCAGATACAAATGTTGCTATCTGTTTCATTAATCGATCAACAGAACTCTCAGCTCCAGTTTTAAGAAGAGTCGTGATAGCCAAAGTAGCAATAGATCTATTTGAATCTGTAATAAGATTTTCTAAATCTAAATTACATGCAGTAACAGCAGCTGGATGAGTCATTGCAACCTTATTAAGTGTTCGTACTGCAGCAAATCTTAATGCTGCTTTTGGTGATCCACAGAAAAGTTGGAGAACACTTATTGCTGGTGCAATTTCACGAATTCCACTACGTCCAAGATTAACTAGAGCATGTGCTGCTTCATAAACAACCATCTCAGATTTATGTCTTAGACAACATTCGATAAATTCTAACAATTCTCCACTCTCATTTACATCATCCAATAGTTTACAAGCCATCCTGATAAGCATACATGTTGCATAAGGACTTTTTGGACTTGTCCTAATAAGTCTTGCGACTAATTTAATTACTGCATGCTTATCAGACTTTCTCGCTTGATATAAAACACCAAGAGCGTGATATTGAACCATTACATTATCAGAATTAAGAGCTTCTTGGGCTTCATTTGCCCATCTACGTGCTACATCTCCAGATACATTACTTAAATGTAGGGAAGAAACTAAAGCAGCACTTGATACTGCTGGAGATTTATCAACAATAGCTTGTTTCATATATCTTTCAATAGCAGCAAGCATTCCACCGTCAGTAATTGTGCATAATGCTCTTATTGCAGCAGCTCTATATAAATCTTCTTTTCCGGTCATATCTTTTGTTAGACTCGACGTAACAATGATCACATCTTCTGCAACCGAGCTTAATTCTTTGATTCCCAGATAAACTAAACGCCTCAGTACCACATCTCGGGATTGGAAGAGTTTTGTCATGGCGAAAAATGCCTCTGTGGCTTCTGTGGTTCCTAATTGTTCGCCTTGATTCAATAAATACAAAATTTTTGTCAATATGTGAGCACATTTTCTTGGATTAACTGGGGTATCATTGAATGTTCGAGCTTCTTGAAGTACTGTAGTTTTTTCTAAATTTTGAAATGGATTTCCTCCACCTAAAACATTTATCAATAAATAAACCAATAGAAAAAAAACATATTCAATTAACTAATTTCTTTTAAAAAAAGCAAAGTAAACAATATTTTTAATAAGACAATACATTAATACTTAACAAGATAAAAACTTGTATTAAACTCACCATCTTCCTCTTCTTTTTTATCTCTTTTAAAAGCATTCATTGTTCTCGATTTTTTGACACTTTCTTAAAAAATAAACTCCAAAAGATTAAAGAAATAACACGGACACGTCACCTATGCCGTGCACACAGCCGCCATTACACGATTCAGCCAGATCTACAATCCCTGTCGGTATTCATTACCGACATGTGAAATTTTGTTGACAGATGGCGTCTTTTGTATTTCAATCGATAAAAAAGGATTTTTGCGATATTGATCAGTGCACGTGGAACTGTGTATGTGTGAAAATGTCCTCACACAATATATTGAAGTATATTATTATGTATTGTCAGTAAATTATGTAGTCAGCAGTTACGCGTTGACGAGACTCAAGAAATAGTAAGTTCTTAAAAAATAGTTTACACAAAGTATTTAAAATAATCGTTTATTTTTATATGACAATAATTTTTTTATATTAACATAAATAATTTGATTTTTCATCAAAAAATATTATATCACTATGATCATGATTTATTTATAGTTATAAATTTTTTCTAATTTTATCTTAGATAATAAACAAATTAGTATATTGTTCTTAGAACTTATTCACAATCAACAGTTTTATTCCTTTTTTTAATATTTAATGATGAATTATGTTGTTCTAATAGCACATAAATAAAAAGACCAATTATATTATTTGAGACAAGAGAATAAATTAATACATTTATTATTTTCAGATTGAGTATTAATTCTATTTAATATGGCAAATAAGAAAATCTTAGGATGGGTCGATTCCTTGGTCATTTCTATAATGATTGCCATCAGTGTTGGAATTGGAATTTATTATCGTTTGACTGGAGGCAAGCAAAAGACGGCTGAGGTAAATGAAGAATAATAAAATTAACAAGTTCAAATAAAATACCATTGGAATAAAAGACAATGACAAAGCAATATATACTGATTTAATTCTATTGATTGTAATGGAGAGGAATATTTCTTCGAGTGAGCACATCAAGTTTCTAAAATAAATCAATCTTAAACAGACCTTTATATTAGATTTTACCACTCGAAATTTATTCGATTGATTTATTTCTCTTTGTATTCTCAGAATTAATGTAAAAATTTTTTTTTGTAGGAATATTTTTCAGCCAATCGATCCATGAGTACAATTCCTGTTGGAATAGCTCTTATGGTATCATTCATGTCTGCGATTACACTTCTAGGACTATCTGCTGAAAATTATTTCTATGGCGCTCAATTTGTAGTAATAAACATTTCTTATCTTATTGGGACACCTTGTGTTTGTTACGGGTTTTTGCCCGTTTTTTATAAATTACAAGCATCAAGTACATATGAGGTAGATAAAATTATTTTATTTATTTAATCCTTGAATCTTTAAGTAATTAAATGAATATTTATTTCCATAATTAATTACTGAGTTTCATAAAATAGAACATTGTGTAATAATACGTTGATGAAAAGATTCCTCAAAAGATTAGTTAATATTTTATTTTAACATATATTTTCAGCATCAGGCAAAGTTCATTATTGAGCAATTAAAATTTTTACTCATAACGCTATTCTTGTTTTTGTAAAATTTTTTACAACACTCTCGATTAGTACTGATATAATAATGGCTTGGTTTTATGAATTACAATACTTTTATAGCAATCTACTATTACTGCTATCTTTAATCTATTTACATTCTCTACACTTACCTCTTATTCATAAAGTTATCTTAATTTTGTTTACAAAGGTAGTCATAAACTTATTTCGTCAAATTAGCATTCTTATTTCTTATGCGAGTTTTACTTCCTGTAATTATCAAGCCTTACATAAAGAGAAAGCATTGTCATAAGTGTTAAAATTTTTAAATGATAGATAATTAATAATTTAATTTAATCTAATAAATATTTGTATTTACTACAATAAATTAAGTAATACGGCAATTTAATCATTATATTATAACTGATATTTAAAAATATCATTTTATTTTTCAGTATTTAGAAAGACGATTTGGCCGAGTAGCTAGATTTTTAGCAAGTTTCGTGGTATGGCTACAAATGTTATTATACTCAGGAGTAGTTTTATATGCTCCTGCCTTAGCACTAGAAACAACTACTGGATTATCAATGATTACAAGCATATTGTCAGTTGGCCTTGCTTGTGCTTTTTATTCAAGCATTGGAGGAATAAAAGCTGTATTAATAACAGATCTTTTTCAAGCTTTATTAATGTTTGCTTCTTTAATTATTGTAATAGCAACTGCTGCCAGTTCTGTTGGAATCGATGGAATTTTAAAAATTGCAAGTGAAGGCGGTCGTTTGAAATTTGACAAGTAAATTTTTCTTTATTTTATTTATTTTCAATTTTCAATAAAGTAACAGTAATTAATATTTCATGATTATATAACAGCTTTTCACCAGATCCAACTGAACGTCATACATGGTGGAGTCTTATTATTGGAGGTTTTTTCACTTTTTTGTCTCTTTATGGAGTTAATCAAATTCAAGTACAAAGACTTTTAACTGTTAGGTAAGTAAATACAACATTTTTTTATAAAAATTTTTTTTATATCATTTGATTATTTTTTTTTTTTCAATTTTAAGGAGTTTAAAATCAGCCCAAAACGCTTTGTGGTTGTGCTGGCCAGTACTGACACTCCTTTCAATTTTAACATGTTTCTCAGGATTAGCAATTTATAGTAAATATTATGACTGTGATCCAAAATCAATGAACTATATAACAGCACCAGATATGCTGATGCCTTATTATGTTGTGGAAACAATGTCTTCTATACCTGGTTTGCCAGGATTATTCATAGCCGGTAAGTTCTTTTAAATGAAATTATTTTTATTTCTTCTTTGAGTAATAATCATCATTATATTCTAGGTATTTTTAGTGCTGGATTAAGTACCATATCAGCAGCTTTAAATTCTTTATCTGTTGTAAGTTTAGAAGATTACATAAAACCTTGTTATTCGAAAATTACTGGGAAAGAAGTATCAACATCAAGATCGTTAATCATTGGCAAGATTTTAGCATTTTTACTTGGAATAGCGTGCATTGCTCTTGCTATTTTAGCTCAATATTTAGGAAATATTCTTCAAGTAAGTAAAAGTATTTTTTGTTATACATATTTGTTAAACTTGAATTTATAAATTTTTGATTTTTATTTTCAACATGACAAGATATCAAAGATAATAAATAAATCAACAGACATTTGCGTCATTGATGTAAATTCTTACTACACATTAATCATTGAAAATGAAAAAAATATATTTTTCTTCAACCAGTTAAAACTAGTTACTAAAAAAACTAGAATCTAATCGAAAAAAAGTCATATATCAAATATTTAGTAAGTTGATGAAAACATTTTTATTTTTTTCAGACAAGCTTAACAATATTCGGTGTTGTTGGAGGTCCTCTATTGGGATTATTTACATTGGGAATGATGTTTGAATCAGTTACACAACGTAGTGCAGTATTAGGAACTGTCATTTCATTAGTATTTTTATTGTGGATAGCATTTGGAGTGCCAAGACCAATACCTCATGCTTCACCTGTGTCTACAGCTGGCTGTAATAGTACAATCATATCAACTCCAGATAATTTGATGGATGATTCCCAGTTTTTCTATCTGTATCGAATTTCGTACATGTGGTATGCACCTCTAGGCACACTTATCACCATTGTTATAGCATGGATTACTAGTAATCTGTTGCAATGTCTTGGAATTGAGAATCAACAAAATGTTGACCCCGATCTTTTTATTCCATGTATTGCAAAGCGTATAATTAGAAGACAAGAAATGCGGAGAAATTTAACTTCTAATATTATTGCTTCACAAAAATATACATTTAATGAAAATCAAAAAACTGAAGTAACAAGTACTTAATTTGTTATAAAATTAGTACCAATTCATTTATTAACTTCCTATTAGGGAGATATTATGGGGTCGATTTTTGAAAATCGTTATTTTGTCATATCTTTACATTCTGAGACATTAAGAAACATATCAGAAGATTTAAAAATAGATTTATAAAAAGGAAGGAGTGTGTATGAAAGAAGTTTAAACAAATTTGTTACTTACTTATTATATGATAAGAATTATTAAAAAATGTGGTCAATATTGATGAAATATTGTTGTTGATGACTTTATATAATTTGTAACAATTGCTAATTGTTTACAAAAATTTTAATTTATTATAAATAATGGAAAAAACCAACAACAATGATATGAAAAAATCACGAATTTCAATAAATACATAAAATGTAAATAGGAAAGTTTTCCGTATAATTGTAAAAAAAAGTCTATAATTATAAACAATTAACAGGGATGGGAAGTTTATCATGTGGGCACAAACACCCAGGCCCATTTTTTGCATTTTTAATTTATTTAGTAAGTTGTTTATAAATTGAACAAACAGTTCGATATGTTGTTTACTATTAAACAATCATTTCACGTGTCAAATTCATAAAATAATGAACCTTACACAATTGTATTAATATTATTATCGTTGTAGCGTAATAATGGATTATGTTTAAATCACTTTGATACATTAATTAAAAACAACTCATGATTTGAAAAAAACATTCGAATTAGTTGCTCATATGTTAATAGATAAATAATTTAACACGCGTCAGAGATTATTTTTTTGTGATTATACGATAAATATTTTGTCTTTCATAATTTGGGGATTACATTGATTTAGCCTTGAGCATTGCCATAATATATTTCAATCAAGATGTTGAAATATGACTAAGGTCTGTGCTATTTGGATATCAAATATATTATCTCATGGGAAATTTTTTTTGATTAAATTTTAATAAGAACCGGAAATGCTGATGAAGTACAAATAATTTTTTAATCGTTTTTTAGGATATATTATAGACCGACTGAATTTAAATTCATGATTGTTGACGTAATTGGTAAATCCCATTTCTGAATGCTATTTTTTAAGGTTTATTCAAGACAATAATAATGAGTTTTAATATTAACTAATTTTATTGGTAAAATTTATTATTAAATAGGTCATTGATCTGTATAAAAAAATAATCCAGTATATTATTTATACAATGTATCTGGATTATATCGTAATGAAACAAATATCAACACAAATCTATACAATATAAATAATAATACAATCATTTTACTTAATAATTGTGACTTATAGTTGAAATTGTAATTTTGTTATTATTTATTAAATGTAGTGTTTAAAAAAAAAAAAAAGTAATTATAGCCATAACATTAGTATCCTAATTTTTACGATATATATGTTATCTATTGTCAAAGTTTATGAGAAAAAAAACATGTGTTATAAGAAATATTGGGTACTAAGCTTTTTTAATTTAACTATAACAAAGGTGTATAGAAATCTACGATGAGTATTTAAAAGAGAATAAATATAATGTGAGTTATTACGATATATGAACATTTTATTCAATAAGATTTGTGCTTATATCAATGTACAAATATTTTCTGAAAATATATTATTTTTATTTAAACATTTTTATCGGATTATTATAGATAAGCATTTCCCTCAATTTCTTATCGATTTAATTTGAAACAACTAGAACCAATCGTACATATCAGATAATATTGATGGCATTTTTACCATTATGCTTTCATTTCCTATTGTATCCAACCTTTTGAAACTAAATGAATTTATCAAATCTCAGTTATTAAAATTTAATTGGAGAAAACTTTATCTATTAAACCATTAGTAGATTATCCTAATTAGGATTTATATCAAATTTAATGTATATACCAAAGAATATAGAGTGTTAACATATATTTATGTTAACAAGTTAGTCTCTTTATAAATTTGTACAATATTTAGTAATTATTATAAATTAAAATGTTGGCCCTAAAGAAGATCAACACCAATTAGCCATGAATTAGGCAATTAAAGTGTAAGACAACAATGCGTCTTGCGTCTTTAAATTCGAATAAAACTAGCTGCATCTAGATCAAGCCGGTTTTAATTTCAATTCTTATATGACTACAATTTAACACTATAAAAACAAGTATCTTTATGAAACCTCCCTTTCAATGTTAACAAAATAATTTTATATTTTTTAATAATCATCTATAACATTTATCATTCATTTATTTGTTAATAAAGTTTAACCTAGTCACTAATTTAATTAACGAATCAATTTTTGACTCTCTCTATTATTGAGGCATCATAAATTACTTAATAGCTTTTGATTTCAATTAATATTTTAATAATAATTCACTTTAATTTCTTTCTCGATTTTGTTATACATTAAAAAAGAATATTCTCAAAAAAAATTGTAACTAGAGTATTGCTTTTTCATAACAATTAGTTGTTTATACACAATCCATTTCATATTAATGAATTTTATTATTTTCTCTTCATTTCACTGTTTAGGGAGAACTCTATTAGCAAATTAATAAGTTAATTTATAACGAAAGAGGAGAATATCAAATGAATAATTGGTTTACTCATATGTCACAAAGAACATGCAAAACATCATTGTTTCTTATGGCATTCAATTGTTTCTTCTTTAATAATCCTGAGCAATTGTACATAAGAAACTGGTATCCAACCAGTTTAAACTCGCTAATTTTATACATGATAAGATTTGGTGAATGCTGTATATATATATTTCAGTTAACCAACCCTCTTCATAAGATCGTGATCGCATGTCGAGATTAAACCGTGCGAAGACACACTACAAATCGTACGATTTAATATTTTTATTTATCTCAATTAATACATCTGATTAATCTAAATTTGTGCTAATGAATTCTTCAACAATTTTTGGTTAATTTATTTTTGTTTTCTTTTAACATTCTAAACGAGCCTTGGACATTGTCCTTCTTGTAATTGTGTTTGCCATTTTAATGTACTATTCTCAAGTTTTTTTTTTAACTTAAAAATAAAGATGAAACAGGCAATAACACGAGAAATAATTCATATCTCAATTCCAACAAAAGATTGTAATATTTTATGAGGTTTAAGATTGGATTTTTCATTTTTATTTGCCAACATTAATTAACTGTTTACCATTCTGTTAATTCGAACTGCGTAGAAAACATAACCCAATGAAAAATTTTTTTTCCAAAAATAGGTAAAACTTTTATTAAGAATGGGTTCTTCAAGTTATTTTAGCCTTTATTGATATTATTATTATCATCAAACTATATTCCTGGACAAAAGTAAACAAAGATACATATTTAACACAACACAATAACAAAAATATCAATGATTTGTCTTTCACAAAAGAATCTGTTTGTAATCAATATCAATACTTTTACCTTAATTTGATACATCAAAAGAAGAGGAAGAAGAAGAACACCAAACAAAATTATGATCTGATGAGCATTTGTAAGCTATTGAATCATGTTAACACCAATTAATTTTATTTTCCAAAAATTTCACAGTTGACTTTAATGACAGAATCATCACTTGGATTCTTTCGAATTCACATTTGATGCAACATGATCATAAACAATTAGTAACAACGTGCATTTAATTCATTAATAAATATATGAATCAACTATTGTCCAGTTAGTTGTCATCGTGATGGCGTAATCGTTAAATATATGATGAAGTGTAGATCGATTTTTGTGGAATTATATTATATATCTACTACTTCTCGCCCTTCTATGTTCCACTTGAGTGTATAATATTTTGAAGGAATCAACTAACGTATCAACCACGCGGCACTTTAGTGGTAGGGACAAGTATAAAGGCGCATATGACAATTAAAACATCAGTTTCAAAACTTCACTCCGGTTCAATCCAGTCGTTCATTATTATTCTTTTTATTACCAATTTTTATTACACATTTATCCAACTATCACTTCATTTTATTCTTCAGTGTTATATTTAATTTGTTTAAAAAATTTTTAATAATTAAGTAAAACCATTTTTACTCTGTATAACAATACTGTCATTATAATAATATTATTAATTATTTTTATCATTAATTAATTCAACACAACTATATGCGTTATATCAGGCAAAGTAGTAAAATCATTCAATTACAATTTCGAACTTTTTTATTGATCAGAAATTTGCGTTGAGTGATTTTAATTAATTTAAAGGATTCATTTATTATTAAGGTAAGTTTGAAATTAAATTAAACCTATCATAAATCTTTTAATTATTCTCTACCTGTTGAATTTAATATTCAAATCCTACAAATCAATTTTTTTATTTCAACAAGACATTAATTGTTGGTTAAGTTGACGTTAATAACAATGGTCAAGCTACGGAAGACAGATAATATTATTTTTAGCGATTATATCAATATGACTAAGATTTATATTCGCTAAAAAAACAACCCACCTGTCATAACTACACCAAATTATGTTTGTCACAATGATAATGTGATGAGGATGTCGTGAGAAAACATATGATATGTAGTAAATATCATTTAACTATAAACTTCCGACCGGATACACATTAAATAATGTTTTGTTATAAAGTTTTATATTTAATTGAAATGTCATTTTATACTATGAAAAATAATTTAAGGTCAAACAAGTAATATAATGAGGTAACAATAAGTAAAGGATACTCACATTCAACATATAGCACCAAATTTTTTGTAGCATTGTCATATAATTCTAGCATCTCAATTGTTAGGTATGATTTAATATCAATTAATAATATTTACACATTATTTAAAATTCATTATCCTGTTATACATTCTTTTATTACGGTCAATATTGCCTTAACAACGTGGTGACTTCAATGCCTCAATCCGCTTTAAACTAGAAATGATTGATACTTATACTCCCAAGTAGATATTTATCATTTTAAAGAATCGTTTAATATCTTGAATTGATTATTGCCAATTGTAACTGTCAATATTTTATTAAACACAAAAAAAGGATCGTTTCTTATAATAATAATTATTATTTTATAATTAAAATCCTAAATTGATGATGATGATGGACTAAGAGAGAATAATTGATAGCCATCATGTTTGATAGGGTATATAAAAATAATAATAATGTTGATTATTTCTTTTTATTTAAAGGAAAAGATTAAGTATAATTCAAAAAGATGCAATTACGACTGCTCATCCTCCTTCTTATTGCCTTATCAACATCATCAGCAGAACAACGTAAAACAAGATCTGCTGATCAAGCAGAATGTGAAGCAAATAATCCAGCACTGCTTAATACATTTTCATGGATTGATTATACCGTACTCTCTATAATGTTAATAGTATCATGTTTAATTGGTACATTTTATGGATTTTTCTCCAAAAAACAAGAAACAAGTAGTGATTTTTTACTTGGTGGATCCAACATTGGTACAATGCCAATGGCCATGTCTTTAGCAGCTAGTTTTATTACTGCTATTGAACTTCTTGGCAATCCTGCCGAAATGTATAGTCAGGTATTATATGATTTATTATTATTATTTAAAAATATTCTTTAGATAATTAAATAATATCATGATGTAACGAAGTATTTTAATTGTTTTTTAGGGAACTCAATTTTGGATGACGTGTATATCTTTTATTTTTGTCGTTCCAATTACTTCTCAGCTTTATTTACCTGTATATATGAAATTAAGATTGACTTCTAGTTATGAATATTTAAATTTGCGCTTCCACAAATACTGTAGATTATTTGCTAGTATTCTTTACATGCTACAAATGATTTTATATTCTTCGGTAGCTGTTTATGCACCTGCATTAGCTTTAAGTCATGGTTAGTTGATTATTTATTACTATTTTATCCTTAAAAATAATTATCAATTTAATATCTTAATATTTCAGTTACTGGCCTGGATACTTATCTAGCTGTAGCTCTAGTCTATGTTGTGTGTATTTTTTATGCTTCACAAGTAAGTGTAAATGATATATTTATCATTGAAGAAATTGTTTGATAAAGAAAAGAAAAAAAACCTAATGAGTTGTAATGAATTTCTTCAGGGCGGTATGAAAGCTGTTATAATGACCGATACATTCCAAGGTGCTGTTCTGCTACTTTCTCTGTTTGCTATCCTCGGTATAGGGATGACTATGGAAGGCGGAATAGTTGCTGTTTGGGAAAAGAGTCAAAATACTGGAAGAATTGAATTTTTCAATATGGATCCAAATCCCACAGTACGTCATAGCTTTTGGAGTGTGGTCATCGGTGGTACTTTCTACTGGGCTACCATGTTTTGTAGCAATCAAGCATCCGTCCAAAAGTACCTGAGCGTTGAAACTACTGGTCAAGTTAGAATGTAAATTGAATCGAATTTGAATTAATGAATTTTTATTCTGCCTTTATGTTATCAAGACAATTAATTCATTTTATTGTTGCTATTTTAGAGCACTTTGGGTATCATCGATAGCTTTGATCCTCATTTATACAGTCAATTTCCTCACTGGAATGATTCTCTACAGTGCAAATAGTAAATGTGATCCACAGCTTGCTGGACATATTTCAGAATTGGATCAACTGTTGCCACTTTATGTGATGAATTTCTTAGGTACATATCCTGGAATTCCAGGCCTTTTTGTAGCTGGAATTTTTGCTGCTTCTTTGGGGTATAAATAATGATTTTGTGTATTTTTTTAAACAATTTATTGTATTAATGTCCCTTGAACTATAATGATTAAAAAAATATTACAGAACTGTAGCAAGTGCTCTAAATTCTCTTGCCGCAATAACATGTGAAGATATTCTTCAAGGTCTTCTAAAAATCCAAGTACCAGCAAGAAGAGGTGCAGTTTACGCAAGATGGATCAGTATTTTCTTTGGAATCTTTAGCTTTGCGTTTATCTTTATAATCAAAGAATTAGGCGGTGTTTTACAGGTAATTTATCAGCAGATACAGAACTTTTTAATCATGAATCATTTTTTTTTTATTTTATTTTTTTTTCATGAATGTTGAAAGAACGATGATTTATGATTTTTTATAATCTGTTATCAAGGTTGCCTTATCATTCAATGGAATGGTTGGAGGAGTTACCTTGGGTCTATTTTCTCTAGGAATGTTTGTGCCATGGGCCAATGCCAAGGGAGCAATGACTGGTTCTATTACTGCTTTAGGTTTAGTAGCATGGATTGGAATCGGAGCACTTGTTGCTTCTTTTAATGGACAAATTCATACTGAATCTAAACTAATATCTGCTGAAGACTGTCCATGTGTTAATAAAACCATTTCTTTTGATTCTGATAGAATTGATCATTCTGACGAAGTTTGGTCACTATATAAAGTAACTATTGATTTTTTCTTTCATTTAAGAAATTAAAATTTTTAAAAATTATATGTTTATACTTATTTTTCTTACTTTCAGATAAGCTATTTGTGGTATAGTATGATTGGATGTTGTGTTACAGTTATAGTAGGAAGTTTAGTCAGTTATTTCACTGGTATTCAAGATTTAGATGATTTAGATTTTGATTTATTAAGTCCTTTAACTCTATACTTTTTGGGTGATCGAAATACTAATAATAAATCAAAGCCAAATAAAGTCCAAGGTATTACTAATTTTGCCCTCGAAGTAGAGGATGAAAAAAGTCAAACAAATATAAACGGAACGAAAAGTCATCATTGATAGTCAATTATTGCAACTTCCGGTTTCAACACATCCATATCAGAATAAAAATGGGCAACTATTAATTAATATCATTAACAATTTATTTCACGGTCAAATAAAATTGTGAATGATGAAGTTAAAAATGTTTATAGTACAATTTTTGAGTGAATTATATTTTATAAATCATGATTTGTATTAAAAATGAATTAGTTATTGAAAAACTAGTATTCTATTTTACAAAAAAAAAAGGATTTTATCTAGGTCTTGTTGGTCACGTACTTATTTTAATTACGTACAATTTAGTTTTAAGATAATAACTATTGTTATGATTACATAAATAAAATTTTGTAATCGTCATATGTGTATAAATGAAGGATGATTAAATAAAACAATTATTTTATTTTTAGAAAAAAGACAATTAATTATTTCTTAATATTGAACAAATATTTAATATGATGTTGAATGAATATAATATCGATTTGGTCATAAAAACTTAAAAGATTAAAACTTATAAATATTTAAATCCCTTTTGTCTTTTTCGTTCAATTTACTTCAATTAATGATTAATAATACAGTAATACAATAATACAAAATAACTGTACTTAGTAAGTGATTATTTCTGGTTAATGGATTTTTTACATTTAGAAAAATTCTATTTTATTAAAAGAATTTGTTATTTATCAGGAAATATTTTTGTAGTGATATACAAATACTTTTTTTCTATTTTTGTTTATCAAATTAAATATTTAACGAATAGAAAATAAATTCCTATTTGTACTTCTGTATATTCATGCACCTTTACGTATGGTTTACTTCAGTCGTTTTGGCTGGAAAATTATTTTTCGTTATCCAGGATGTATCAGGGCTGTGGAGGTATTCCATAAAGTTTCTGTTTAACATTGAGAGATGGCGCTGTTTAAATTTTTTTAAATTTCTAGCGCGCTTTTTTTTCATTGGTTGAAATAAAAAAAACCGAAGTTTAAATGAACCAATCTTAAATTAGCCCGAATTATCCCGAATATTTCCGAAGCGATGAAACTACTTCTTCTCTCTTGATGTTTCCTGGATAATAAAAAATAATTTCCAGTCTTTTTAGTCATGAATAAGTCAAAATAATGCTGTAAAACTACTCACTTACGACGGGCGAGGGAATAATTCAATTGTTTATGAATCGAAAGATTAAATAAAATTATAAAAAAAGATTAATGACATGTAATAAAAATATTTAAGAGATTATAATAAATAAATACAAAAATTTACATGTTGGAAATCAGCGTCTCCGACATATTTGAGTGTATAGGGCCTGTACGAGTGTTCGGCCCTAATCGGTTTCCCCCGTAGCCTTTCGGCTAACGTCTCTCGTCGTGCTCTTCACTTGATTCAAGTTGGTCGTCTATTACGGTTCAATAATATATTCATTGATAAATAAAGTTCTAATTTCTAATTAAACTAAGTCTTATTATTATTGTTTAAATCCACATAACCTCTAACATTACAATATTTAATTGAAAATATTCAAAAACTTCTGTGTGTTAAAAACAAGTTCTTTCAGTTTTGTAACTATGTTGATACCATCTGGTCTTCTCTTCGATGGAATTATTTCCTTGAAACATTCATAATTGTATAATAAATTCAATTTCTTCGTACCCGATCAATTACATTTCGATACGATTACGCATTTGTGGTATTAGTAAACATCCACCACTTCAGCTGTCCATCAAGAATATTATATTACATTATTTTTATCCACATTCTATAAGGTTTAATATTACTGTAGTTCAAATAAATGATAGTGAAAATGAATTGTTGAATTTATTATTTAAACAACTAGAAATAGAAATAATATGTGATATTAATAAAAATAACCTAAATTTGAATAAAGCTATAATATAGTTCAAGTGGTTCCAATAAGATTATTATCATGAATGAATATCAAGAAATAATTAAATGGCATCCTCATTTGGTTCTCATCAGTGAAAAACCAGTCACGTGGTATGGTTTATTAAATATTAATAATGAAATACAAATGAAGATTAAACTAAAAGTACCAGAGTATCCAAAATTGCAAGGTGCAAGAATATTTTTTGGTGAAAGTGTTTCTTTAACTTATGGAACTGATTTTACTGCTAAAGTATCTGTGATGTTAGAAAATTCCAACTCAGTCATGGCATTTTTAAGTCAGCTTCAAAAGTTGCTGGTAAGTACTGAATTTCATTTAATTTTTTATTATTATAATCATTTAATACGATTTTTTGTTTATTTCAGAATACTGTTATGAAGAAACAGACCTTTGATTATAAATTTCAAATTGATTGGTCTAATCACGATATTTTAGATGAGCTAAAGACTGCTTTAACAATTCCTGTAAGTAATTATTATTTTTCAATATCAACATGATTATTTATTAAATAATGTATGTATTTCAGGATATAACTATATCAGCAGGTGATAATTTAAATCTAGTAAAACTTGAATATAAAAATACATCTATGATTCTCAAGTACAAAAAAATATCTACTAGTCAATGGACATTTGTTTCATCTGATTTACCAACGTTATCATCCTGGTCACCTTTAGAAACTTGTATATCAACATTGAGTGAAGCAGCAGAAACATTGAAAACCAGAACTGATGTTTTAGAAGATACTTGGACTAATTTATACGATATTGATAAGTTAGTTATTCAATTATTTTTCATCATTATTTATAGTTAAAATATTGAAATTTTTTTTAGAAATTGCTGGGTTTTAGACCCTATCAATCCAAAACCTTTCCACTTGCATCGAAGGATTTATTTAAATCCTGCTCTATCACTTCTTATCACACTTGATCCTCTTAATCCTGATGCTCTTCAAGAGATTAAAATTTTAGGAAGTGAAGATGAAGTATCGAAATGTCAAGATTTAATTAGTAACAATCTACAAGTAAGTTATTCTGCCTAATGAATAGATAACTAAAAGATAAATTCATTAGAGTTTGATTGAAATATTCCATTTCTAGATGTGGACCAGTCATAAATCTGTGGTAAAAAATTTATTAGATTTATTAGAACTACCTGAATTACCAAAGCCTAAACAAGAGAAGCTAATTGAATCAGATGGTATTGTTTCTGATAAAGAGTGTTGTATTTGCTTTTCGAATGAAGGAGAAGATGGACAGTCTCCATCGATAGTTTGTAATAACGGAAAATGCCAAAAACATTTTCATACTTCTTGTCTACGTCAGGTAAGTAGTATAGATCTTTGATAAAATCTTTCCTCACTTTATCTTGATGATAAGTTTTACCAAAATTATTGTATAATTTCAGTGGTTGCAAGTAATAGCAGAAAGTTCCGTGCTTTTTGATAGAATACATGGTATCTGTCCTAATTGCAAAACGAAAATATCCTGCCCTTTATTAAAATAATTTATTAGATAGATAACATATAAAAAATAAATATTATCGTTTACTTAAACACATAATAGTTAATATGATTGCACTCTTGTGTCCATTGTGATAGTGCTTCATTAAATTCTTCATTACCACATATCAATACTAAAGTTGATTCAGATGATTCTTTTTGTAGTACTGCTTTATAATTATTTTCATTAATCTTTTCTTTTTTAATTTGAATATTATGGATAGTTGTTATTTCTTCTGAAAATGACATTTTTATAAATTTAATAAGCTTAATTTGCAATTGTTATATACTATTACATACCTACTTCTGTTACATGAATTGTAAACTCAACATTCCAATAATCAGCCAACAACTGCAGTCGTTGTTTTAAAGGAATTTGACACACAGATCTGAAACCAGCAAATAATTTAATTCGAGTTTCTTCTAAATCATTATTAACTATAGATTGAATTATTGGATAAAATGCTGCTATTCCACTTCCAATACAATACATAATAATCTTTTTGAAACTATTCTGAAAGTATAAAAATTCGCCATAAGGACCTCGGACTTTTGACTTGATCTCCAACTTGAAGATTTTTAATTTATTTGTAAAAGTACTATTTGGATAAACTCTAACTAAAAATTCGATATTATTATTATTCCAAGTAATTGGTGTAAATGGTTTTGACCATGTCAGAAGGTTGATGATAACATGCTGTCCAGGATTTAGAAAAATACAGCTGTGACTATCATCTTCATAATGCAATATTATTGTTAGGTAATCATCATTAATTTCATTAATTTTAATCACTTTAAATGTTTTATATAACGTTGGTACAAGTAAATTCTTAGATTTTATTTTTGAATTACTCTTTTTATTATCATCCCATTGGTCTATTAACTTTTTATGAATATCAAAGATACAAGGATTACATGAATTTCCACAGCAATCTTCTTCTGTTGGAGTTGGTGGTCTGTCAGATAATGATTCTTTGTCATCCATTATCATATCAAGAATTTTTAAATTGATCAAAGTTCTCAATTCTTTGTTGGTAAACATAAAACAGCTGTTCTAGTGTGCCCATATTTTCTTTTAGCCTTGACGAACAATCATTTTACTTTAAATAATAGAAATGTGATATTGATTACAGGTATGAATATTATCACTTTTAAAAAAGGTTTATTCTTTAGTTAAAATAGTAAATACTTGATTGAAATAATCACTGATAAATTTATATTTACAGGCATTGCTAACAGAGTTAATTATATCGTATGACATGGCGAAAATCTAAGCTACATCAGATAGACAAAGAGAATTGTTAACTTGTTATCATGTTGTGAAACAATTCTTCACATATGAGGTATACCTATCAAATCTACAGATGTTCATAGATGTATGAACAATACTGTCACCAACATCCCAGTGTCTTTATTATTTGTTTTATGAATTGATAAGTTTTACACAAATCTTGCCACTATTTACTTCTTCTTCTTATGTTTAACCTTAAAATTAACAGTTACATTAGAAAATAGAGAATGGATATTGAAAATAAAGCTATTTTAACTAGAGGATGGCGAAGATTCACTTATATGGAACCTTCTATTTTTTTATTATTCTTTAATTATGGAATGACAGGTAGAAGTATTGATAATTAATTATTCTTTATTACTGCATTATAATATCACTAATTAGTAGGCAACTGTTACTTGATTATCACAATTGAAAAATAAAAATTTCTATTATTTGTCTGTTCACAGAAACGATTTTTTCTGATATGATAATGTATCGCACTTGCAAAACGTATATCTCAAATAAAAACTCATGTGATCTTCTTCACACCAATAGTAGCAGTCAAGAAGCTCTAGATATTGATAAGATTGTCCAACCACATGCTAGTTATATTATATTATGTGATTCACTATTAGATGGCATTATTCCGGCTGCTTTAATATTATTTCTTGGTCCTTGGAGTGATAAATTTGGTAGAAAACCATTATTAATAGTTGGATATCTAGGTACTGACAATTTTACAATTTAAAATTAAAATTTCAAATGATATGAAAAATATATTATGTAATATTCCTTCTTCTAGGACCTGCACTTCATTATTTTATGGTATCAATATTAAATTTATGGGATGTAAATCCATGGTTATTTCTTTTAACCACAATACCTTCATCTCTATGTGGTGGTGGAGCAGGAGTAATGTTAGCATCTTTTTGTTTTATCTCAGACATTATAAGCAGTGATAAGCGAACTTGGCATTTAGCTTGTTTAGAAGGTGCTATTACTTCTGGACTAGTTATTGGTACTTTTATTGGTCCACTAATATTTAAACAATTTGGATATTTAATTTTATATGCTATTAGTTTTATTATCGCATGTATTGCTTTTCTTTATGTTACATTTTATGTACCTGAAACTATTCAAAATGAAACAAATGTAAGTATTTTATTTTACTTTACTGAAAAATTATGAATAAAAAGAGTTAAATTAAATTTAATTTAATTTTATTTAAAGGAAAAATGGGGGAAATCCGTTTGATTTAAAATTGGTCAAGGAATTATTTGTAACGACTACAAAAAACGTCCTGGATTAAACCGTTGGGTTCTTTGGAGTTGTATTTCAATACTTGCAATCTTCGTAATAATTGCAGATGGAAATGCACAGATTAATTATTTATTTGCAAATATTAGACTTGGCTGGGATTCTGTAAAGTTTTCAACCTACCATAGCATATCTATTTTTTTGTCAGTTGTAGGCATGTTTCTAATACTCAAACTTATGAAAATTATTTAGGTAAATTATTTTATGATTACATATGTATTTAATTATTACATAAACTTGGTTTAATAAAATATATATTTATTTTAGGTTTTTCAGATGTTCAAAATGCATTAATGGGATGTTTATCTGGATTTATAGCAGCGATAATAAAAGCTTTTACCACAAAACCTTGGCACTTGTACGTAGTAAGCATAACAGGATCACTTTCTGGTATAATTTCACCAACAGTTAGATCAATTTTGTCTACATCTGCTCCTTCTGAAGATATCGGTACTATTAACTACGTATTATAATTTTTAAGTTAATTTAGTACATTCATTTAAAAGTATAGCAAGTAACAATAATAATAATTATTATTATTATACTTTATGAACAATCAACAATTAACATTTATTTTATTTCAGGTAAAATATTCTCAATAATTACATTCTTGGAGACATTACTACCTCTAGGAGGTGTCACTTTGTACACTGTGATATATTCAAATTATATGCCACCAATATATCCTTTACCAGCATATCTTTTATCAGCTGGATTGTTCTTCATTATGATATTATTAGTAATTCTCATTGATTGGAGAATGATTAAGTATCCCTCTGCATATCATCAACCAATTCAAGAAGATTAGTAGTTAGATACAACACTCTATATTGATAATATAGAATTTTTTATATTATTCACGATCAAATTTTTGATAACAATTTTGTAAATTATTTGAGTATTTAATGTTTTATATATTATAATATTTTACGATTAATATCATTGATAATCCATAACATTAGTTATGTAAAACTTTATAAAAATAAATAAAAATATATTTATATTTGATCAAAATAATCAATATGATCGCCAGAAGTATATTTTTGCTCTTTGAGTATTTGAACAAGACGATTGACTGTTTGTTCAGTAGTGAGTTGTCTTTTTTCTTGTCGCATCGTAGTAAACATTTCTTTTGTGTCTGCATCAGAAGCTGTTTCTGATGCAGTACGTAACATGCCTGTTTCTACTGGTCCTGGAGAATAATTAAGAACGTTGACTAATGGAAATTCATCAGCAAATACCTGTTTAAAAATTAAAATAACATCGTCATTTATATTTATATTTTGTAAATAATTGTAAAATAATACAGGCTCTTTTAGTGTGATAATTACTTTAAAATACATCTCTCTAGCAGCTTTACCAGAACAGTAGTATCCCATTGATTTAAAAGGTACAATGCCACATTTTGAAGTGATGTTAATTACAAGTTTTTCAGTTCTAACGTTGTTAAAAATTTTCATAAAAACAGAGTTCAACACTGCTGGGGAAAATACATTTAAATCATAGTACTTTCTCCAAACGTCGAAATCGTCCATATCAACTGTAGATTTTGATAAATCTCCAATCGTACCAGCATTTTGTACAACAACTGCACGATCATATTCCAATGGATTCACATATTTATTTATAATTTCTAAAATTAAAAAATTATATTTATAACTAATTTTTTTTTAAATAATTAATAGATCATAAGAGTAATCATACCAGTAAGTTCATTAGCTTTCGCTAATGATAAATCAATGCTAACGTAGTTAACTGTAGTATTCTTGCCTATCCTTTCGACAGTTTCCTTTAATCCCTTTTCATTTCTAGCGAATAGTAAAATTTGTGAATTTTCACTTAATAATTCGGAAAAAGTTACAGCAATTTGCTGGCCAATTCCTTGACTTGCACCGGTTATTAAGAGAAAAACCTTTCCTGATAACACTTTAACCGCCATAATTCCAGCTGGACTTGTAACTATGATCAGAAAAGACAGATCAGTTGATATAGACACTTATCAGATGAGAATTAAATTGTCTATCGTTTGAAATCAATTCAATTTTGCATTTTTTCTTGTTGTAAATAATTTTCTCGAAAAACAATTACAAAAAAAGGAATAACTTATTTAATAAAGAATCAAATTCCTTATCAATGAGTGGCTATAAAAACCGTTTCGTAATCTGACTTTGATTACTCTTCTATCTGAGCCACGAGAACTTAGAAAATAATGTAACCAAGAGAAACTATTTCCATTATTTTCATATCCTTTACAATTGTGCTTTCATACAATCTCTCGGCTACTGTTTCTCTGTTTTTTTCCGCTCCCTACTATCAAAAAACGAAACTGAGCTCCGCCTTTCACGTCTTGAACTTACCACGTCTCAAGTTGGCAACAATGCAGTTTGTTCAGTCTTGCCATCGTAACTGCACAAAAAAAATAAACAAAAAATTCAGTTCCCATAAAGTGGATTTTTTTATATATATTTTTCAATAAAATTCGACATAACGTTTAGTTGTAAATTACTGAATTAATGACGTTTAGGTTTTTAATCATTTTTATTCGGTACTGATTACTTTATCCTGTGATCTATATTTTGTGAGCATAAAGTACATTTACAAGTTAATTAACGCATTATGAATGAAGTTCGATTAAGTTATAGAATAAAATAATTTATTATTAATATGTAGAGATAAATTTTTTGAATATACATTAATAATAAATTAATTTTGAATTTTCTGTGAATATAATTTTTAAAGGAAAATGTCCTTTTTACGGTATTTATTAGATAAAATTGTATTTAAATAATTTTCATTTGCTTGGCTTGATAATCAATATAAATTAGTTTCATAGAAGCATAATACTATATTTTAAAAATCAAACTAAATTAACTATTTAGAACCTAGAAATCATGTAGAATAAATTTTGAAAAATTGATAATAAATTATTCTCTTATTATCTTAAAAATATTTCAATTTTTTATTATCAACCTTTCCACACATTTATTAATATCTAGTCATTATAATGCATTTTTCTAAGAAAATATAGCAATTTTATTCATCAAGTTTACGATTCACCATAATTTAGACTTTATGCAAGCACTAGAAAATATTATTACTTTTTAATAATTGACTGCATGAATCAGCTACTTTTTGCTTGCATTAAGATGATGCACATTTTTTGGATGCATATCACTAATCATCCAATGATTATGGAAAAATTTCAAATGGGTAAGATATATTTTTTATCATCCCTGGATGGATAAGAAATTGATTATTTAAAAGATTCAGCTGAAGTTTTTTAATTCATCGTATCAATTAATAATAATAATAATATTTATATCATTTTTCAGATAAAGTTATCCAAAAAGAAGAATTAAACTGGTATTATTACAATTAAAAAGAAGCAAAATGACTTTAGAAAGCTCGCAACCATTACTATCATCAAAGCACAGAAGAGATCTTGATATAATATCTCGTTATGGATTTTTTATTCTAATGTTATTATGCATGCTTTTTGCATCAGTGCAACCTAGAATAGGTGGTGCAAATGGTAAAAATAAATTCAGTGTCCATCTAAATAGAAAATTTCGAATCTTTAACATACATTTAATAAAATGAAAAGTCTAGATACTCAATGTATATGATAATATATATCTTATTCTGTCAAAATTTCAGGAGTAATTAATGGAAACATATTGTATGGTATTTAGCAGTGCCAATAACGTATTTTGAAGCCGGCCTGATTTGTAGCCCTAAAGCATTATACTCTGTACTCTGTGATGGATATCTCATAGCATTTGTCATGGCTTTCATGTATATTTTAATGCCTCTTTAGCTAGAGTTGCAAGTTGTCTATTAATTTATGTTAATGTTAACATATGGCTTTTGAAAGGGATGGAGGTAATAATATGCACAAATAAATATTAATTTATATACAGAAAAGTATTTAATATTAAGTAAATATTTTATTTGTTTATTATTATAGCAAAATTTCATTATAACTTATTTAGTTTTTATTACAGTTATTTTTATTTATAATATTCTTCAACGTTTATTTGCTATTCGTATTCTTATGATTTATAATAAGTATATTTAATGAACTTTATTTTCACGGTACGTAAAATGTTTTACATTTATTATCTTTAAGTGTTATCGACTCACATTTTATTATTGTTATTTAATTTCACATCTATGTTTTTTCTATAAAATTAATATAGTTATAACATAATTTCACAGTTTTAAATATTAATTAATTTAGATTTTTTACTTTTGTCACACATTAAAATTTTTTAGAAAGAATAAATTTTTACAATTTTAATAATTGAACATCCATTAATATATCTCTCATTATCTTTAGATTTTTTACTGTATGCCACCTCCATTTAATGTAAGTTTTGCTCTAAGTCGTTTAGCAAATGCTGATTTAGCAACAAGTATCATAACGACTTTGATCTGTCACTTGGGAGGACTTTTAATATCTCCATTTCTGCTTTATTTTATGGTGATAAAACAAAATTATTACAAAAACAAATATATATATATACGAATTAGTACGTTTAATTAAAACAATTAATATTAATAAATTTCAGTTAGGAGCATCCACTCCTCCTCTTGTAGGAATTAACCTTGGAGAAATAATTTATCGTACCTTAGTGCCTTTAAGCCTTGGAATAGTTTTTCGGACATTAATCCCCAAGTTAGATTCCTACTACAATGGCCTTCAAACAAATTGGATACCTTTAGGATTGTTGCTAGTGACGGCCTTCCATTGGTTCTGTGATGCAATTACTGCTGATTCTGCTTCTCTTCAAGCCCTAGATGTTTTACTCTGTGTATTAATTGGTAAAATTTTTCTAAAATTCTGAAATGAATTATCAATTTTTTATTATTAATTAACTTTTATAGCATGCCTGGGACAATGTTGATAGCTGGACTCTGTTGGATGCTCTGTTCTCAATGGCTCTCAAGGAATGTTCTCTTAGCTGCATTATTCACAAGCACAAATAAGTCCGTAGGCCTTGGAGGATGGGTGATCCGTGGAGCGTATCATGGATCGTCTCATAGTACTGCTGTTAATTTACCAATGGCAATTTTGCCAGTAGCCCAATTACTTTTAGGAAGTCTTTTAGCCTGTTGGGTTTCTCCATGACGAAGGTTTATACCAAAAGAATGATTCGAATGAAATAATCAAAAGTACTTCGCCTAACAAAGGAGCAGTCGTCGTTGATATTAATGAATAATGGATCAAAAATCAGAGCTTTTTACTAGATATTTTCAGTATTAATCATTTTAACGATCATGATAATAATTAAATGGATCTTATAATAATTGAAAAATATTTTAAAATAATAATCAAAACGATAAAATAAAATTCACTTGAAGTACAAACATTATATTTTTTTGATATTTGTCATTTCATATTTTTTTAAGTATTTCTTTCATGTCATTTAAAAGAAAAAATCTTGAGAAATTTATTTTTACAATGAAAATAAGAAGATTAAAAAATGTCACATAAAATTAAATTGATGCATCAGAATTTATAAACATAGACTTTGAAATAGACTGGCACATTTTTGGCGTATTCTTAGTCTAACGTTTGATCGTGTGCATTTAAAAAAAACTATAGGATATTGGAAAGGACAAAAATAATATATAATATTTATATATATATATAAGTAATACACGAATGAAATTATAGCCGAAGGACAATTGATAGAATCGGAGCAATAATTTGCATAAGTCCCATACAAAACATAGCGACTTTATTCTACAAATAATGAGATAATTTCGCTTGATTGATTTTTTGTTTGTTCATTTTTTCTTTTCTAATAATTAATTTTATCTTTTTGAAAATTTGTATATTAGTTTTGTCTATGTATGATACTTAGATTCGATATGTAGCATATTTTATGCTACCAATATCGCGCATGGTACATTTAATATAACAAGTATAACATTTATAGTAACGTTGACGTGCATACGTCTTGAGAGTTTAAAAAATGAAAGCCCAAATGCACTAGTCGACATTGGTGCACGTAGACACTAGAACCGGGCATGCGCTCACTCAAAAGATAAGTGGGTCTGTGACTGTATTTATTAGCAGCAAAATATTGTCACAATTGTCGATGCTGCTATCGTCGCCAACTTCTAGATTCTCCGTCTTCATCTTCTTCTTCTTCATTTTCTTCCAAAAGTAACGTTTCCGCAGTTCCCTATGAATTAATCATTGAAAATAAAAATATCTCAGCTTACTTATTAAATTAATTTAAAAAAATATAAATCAAATAATTGTAAATTGTTTCTCTCCATTGATGAGATAGGAGCGTAGAGCCAATTTTCTGATTAAAGCTATGATGATAAATTTAACGACAATCGTATTAATTTTTTTTATAGTATCGTGCCAACCTCTAAATCGATCTCTTCATCAGGAACTTGCGCTTGCTCGGAACGTGCAGCTACGACTGCATTCGAATTAGCACTTATTCCACCTCCTCCACCACCACGATGTAAATGATGACTGGAACCCATGTCACAGATAATAGTCGATCCTGGAACGTTCGACCTTTTGCCATTGCAACCTCGGCTTCTTTCTCGATTTAAAGTTCAAGACAATTGAAGGCGTTGCGTCATCGACTATTTGATTTATAATTTCTCCAAATTGCTGAAATTGAAATGATTATTTTTAAACAATATTTTTCTCATTTTTACCCAAATAGGTTTTTGTAACAATTAATTACCTGGAAATGAGCAAGAACCTCTGCTTTTTCTCAGTTTCATAACCAGAAATCAGTAGACTAGTTGGCCGATGATCTACAGAAACATGCGTGAAACCTCCTCGGCCACGACCACGATACGTTAGAGCATGACCACCTCGGATTACTCGCGTAGGTTTCACACCTCTTCCAGCTGTTGTACTTGTATTCAAACCTAAGCAGCAGCCTGAGCTTTTAATTCATTTAACCTTTCTGCAGCTCTCCAGCATCTTGGCCCTCTTGCTGTGCAGTCATAAGATCTAATTCAGCGTCAAGAATTTCTTTTTGAGCTTGCTCTCGTGATTTGATTGGTGTTTTTGTTGTTCCCGTTTGTCCATTCGAAGCAAGATCTTTTTGAAGTTGATCAATAGCCTGTTGTATCATCTTAATCGTTGACATGATCGCTTCTTTCTGTTCCGGATTTTTCTCAGCTTTATCAATCAAAGTACGGATTTCCCCTAAATGCTTGGCTAATAAATCTGTTTTCGTTTACGAAGATCAGCAGTTAACTTAATTGCTTCTTTACGCTTTTCTTCCTGTTTTTTCTTTAATGTTCCTTGACAGCCAACATTTCCTGTGTCTTTTTATTGCATAACTTTCTCCTCTCGTGAA